TTAACAATCAATATTAAAAAATATTACAAAACAAAAAAAATATTACAAATTTTAAATATTAATATTTATTTTAGTAAATTTAGATTATAACCACTTTGATATTATTTTTGATAATATAATCTGGTTTAAACTAAAATTAAACATTTAGATAGACTAATTTAAATAAAACAAAATATTTAAATGTTTCGATTATATAGTTTTATGCTTACACAGCTAAATTTATAATTTTTTTTAAAAAGAAATTAATAATATAAAAATTATATTTATTTTTATTTATAACAAAAAACAACATTGAGGTTACATTTTTTACAAAGATAAAACAATACATATATTTATAAAATAACAATTTTAATTAATAAAAATGTTATTTATTGAGTGTCAAGGTTTTTTAAATTTCTAATCTTGTGGGGGTTTTGAGAAAATGTTAAAAATTGCATACACTTTAAAATACTTCATATTATTTATTTAAATAATAAATTTTTAAATATTAATTTTAATAATAAAATAAAAACATAATAATATTATTAACATAATCTATTAAATTTTAATGTACAAAAATTAATATGCTAGATTACTTTACTATAAAATAGATACTAGAATATTGTCAATCTTTATAATAATAATAATTTTAAAATTCAATATAAAATTAGTGTAATATATAAAAAGTCATATGTCTTTTTATAATATTAAATAACTATATTACTGTATATTAAAGTTAATGTTTTTAATGTTGCTTTTATGAAATCGTTTACATTTTAATATACAGATTGTCATTAATGATAAACATATTGAGATAAGAGACCAGCAAAAGAGTCAATTGAATTGATTATTATTTAAACAAACATTTTTTTCGGAGGGGTTTTCTCAGCGATCAAAAGTCAAGACTGTGTAACATATTATTGATGACAACACTTGTATACACACAGTAGTCGTGTTTATTATGTTTAATGACATTCAAGAGAGAAAAAATATAAATATATTAACTGATTATAACTACTGATTAGTTATAATTATTGCACACTATTTTTAATGATTAATTATACCAATGATTTTGCTTATAAAGTATAAAGAGGTTTATAATAAAATAAAAATTGTTGTCTTAAAGTGAGCTCACGAGACAACACTATTATCGCTATTGAGAAAAGTGAGTAAATTGAGTGAATAGTGAGTGAGTGAGTGAGAGAGAGAGAGAGTGAGAGAGAGTGAGAAAGAGTGTGAGAGAGAGAGAGAGAGAGAGAGCACTTGGACTACAAGTTATGTCATGTTTTGTTTGGTTTTATTAATCAATTGAAAAAAACTTTTCATTTATTTTTTAAAACTATTTATTTTATACACGAAATACACGTGTATTATATTTAAACATAATTGTGATTAAATTAAAACATATTAATTTATTTTTAAGTATTAAAATTATAAGGCAAATGGCATTTAATTTAGTAAATAAAAATTATCAAAAATATTAAATTATTAATAAGATAATACTATTTTTACTGATAAAAATTATTAATACGTATAGTTTTAATAAAATATAAAAAAGATATGATTGTAGGTATATGTGATTTAACTTCTTAAGTGAGTGCATAACATAACAGGGCTTTTAATAATGGTATCAATGATTTCACAATTGCTTTTAATTTGATAATTATAATTTATATATTATAAACATGTAATAATATCAATCATTAACATTTTTAAAATAAAAAATTAATAGTTGATAAAATAATTATTTATGCTAAAAACACATAATATAGTTAAATGAAAAATATTATTATAAATATGTAAATATTGATCAAATAAATATATAATATAATATAAATTTTAAGTTTATAGCATAATTTTTGAAAAAATCAATTATCTACAATTAAAAATTATATAATAATATGTGGTTATTAATAAATTGTTTAAAATACTATAATTGTCCCAACATTTATTTTAAATTCACATAAATGTATAGAATTGCAAAATTATGTGATGACAATGCTATTTTTAAACAGTATTAGTTATAAATAATATTACAATAGCAATAATACAATTTAATTAATACAAATTTGATCAACACTATAAAAATAATATAAGTAAATGTTTTTATTCATCTATTATTAAAAAAGTTTTTACTGTATAAATGATTGTATAACGCAATATCGTAACGCAATCTATTGAATAAAAACAATTTATTGAAATCTTTATAAATTAATTTTAATGTACTTATTATAACTTATAAATAAATAAAATACTAAAATTGAGAGTATAATTATATGATAGATAGACATACAGTATATTATTAAATAATTAATCATAATAGATATCTAAAATTTAAATTTATAAATAATTTTTAAAAGTAATTTAAATTAAAAAAAAATATTTATAATTGTTTAAAATTAATGTATAACAACAATATTCTCAAAATTTTTGTCATATACTTAATAAAATAAAAGAGTTTAGAGAGAGAGAGAGAGAGAGAGAGAGAGAGAGAGAGAGAGAGAGAGAGAGAGCTAAGTATGTGTGAGTGAAAAGTGTTTTAAAAGCAAATGTTAGGAAAAATAAGACCTCTTATCAAGGCTTTCAACGATTAACTTGAAGGCCATTGAATAACACACACACACTATGTCTTGTGCTATCCCTATACCTCACACCATAATTGTTGATATATTGTAAATACAAATACTCACAAAACAACACAATTTTATATAAATATATAAAGTATATATAAATTGAATATAATTTTTACAACAGTATGTGTTTAGTTACTGTTATTTATTGCGATATACTTTATATGTCTAACATAAGGGAATTCCCGATTTATTTGCCACAAATTTCATTAGTTTTTTCTATTTATTAAACACGAAAATTTAATTATTTATAAATATGTTTTATGTAATATATATATATATTATGATACAATTTATATTTCTTATTATTAATAAAATATAAAACAATGCACAATATAATAATAATTAATTTTAAATATTCAATTTTGTCATATTTGTTATGTCCTTATGCCATATATTGATTATACTGTATACTGGATAACAATAAAAAAAATTATTAAATAAATGCTTATTATTTTATATTATAAAAACATAAATAAAATCCATTTTATAATAAATTACTACAATTAGCCTAAATTAAAAAATTATTGTAAATTTTATAAGTAAATAAAAAATAAATATTAAATCATTGTTGTTTTACACGCTTTTATAATGAATAAATATTTTTTCAATTGTATAACAAAAAATATTATTAATTATAAAAAAATTGATAGTATCCAGGCAAAATAGCTAATGATAACTTATCAGTAACAATTTAGAATCAAATAATACTAATAATAATAAAATAATTATTATAATAAGCAATCAAAATCCACTTTTAAGTAAAAATACTGTAATAATATAATAATGAAATGAAAATAATTATATTATTGTATTAAAATACTATATAAAAAAATAAATTTAAACATAATATTAAATGTCATTCAATGTGTGATTATTAATTTAAACGATTATAAGTTCATTTCATAGCATAATTAAAGCTAAGAGGTGTCACCAAAACGCTACTACTCTTAACCTAAGATTTAATTTTTTCGCATATATTTATAGTATATTGTATGACAATTAATAAATTATAAAATATTATTATTAAATACAATATAAATAAAATAAATGTAAACATATGTAATTGTTTTTATATATAAATATATTGATTAAATGTCATATTTTCTAGAAATATATCTTGCTAATGGTAATAAATATTCAAATTTAAATATATTAATTATAAATTAAATTGTATTACTGTATATTAAATATAATAGTATAGTACATAATGTATACTTAACAGCAATGGGCAATTAGAAGCACATGTTTTCTCAATATAATGTTAATGTGAAAAATGATTGCTAAAACTAATTATAATAAATGCAATATTAAGCAAAATGAGCTTGGTAATTTAATACAATGCCTTTGTTATATATATATATAATAAAACATTTGTCCTTTTAAAAATTAAATACAGTATATAAATCATTATAATTATTATTACTAATAGCATTAAAAATAATATTTAGTAAATTATAATTTCACTTTGTTTGCCATCACATGACACTCTACTAAAACATTATATATGTATTTATATTACATTACAAAGTGATTGTCTTTCATTTATATATATATATTATTATTGTATAACAATAACAAATCATAAAATAGTTTTTATTAATATGTCTGCTATAACTTATAAATAGCAAACTTTATATTAAAATTACATTACATTTTGATAGACTATAAGTTCTTTGTTATTTTCTATCAATCAGATAGTCTCTAACTAATGAAGTTTATAAACAAATAAAAGTTATATAATTCATGGCTTTTGCACCGAGTTTTTTGATGCCAATGTCTTCAATGAGGACACAAACACATGCTTTTTATATGTATTTAATATTTATATTAGATTTTGTTGTAACAAATTATAGTCTATTTTAGATTTATTACATAATTTCTTAATTAAAAGTCTAAAATACAAGTAATGCAAAATACATAAATTAAAAAATATATGCATTTAATAAAATTGTAAAGTTTGTTAAATATAATAAACATAGTAAATTAAATTTATAAAAAAAATTAAATATAAACAAATAAAATAAAATAAATAAATAAATAAATAAATAAATAAATAAATAAATAAATAAAGAGAAAGAGAGAGAGAGAGAGAGAGAGAGAGAGAGAGAGAGAGAGAAAGCAGATGAGACTTATGTCAAACTAAATACATTTTCATAGCAAAGCCTGACCTCAATTACCCTCACTATTACTAAATACATGTAAAACAGTTGTCGTTTAATTTACATAAATATTTAATATTTAGTCAAATTTGATATTTTTACTATATTTTAAAAAAATATTATTCCAAAATAGAAATAATAAAAAATAATAATAAATATGATTTATAAACAAATGACTCGTAAAATTAATTTATTGCAATATAAATAAAAAAAATTGTTTAATACTTACTTATTTGTTATTTTAAATCATTGGAAAACTTGTTAGTATTATTAGCCATATTATAAAAATAACATTGATAATTTAAGTTATATATTTAAAAAATATATATACAATGTATAATTATCTCGCGATGAATTGAACAAAAAATAATAACAATAATAAAATAACTTAACTTAACTTATTTATATCACTACTTATAAATTTATATTATGAACAAAAACTTTGTATTATATTATAATTTTATATATAAAAAAAATCACGAATAAATTATTATTAAAAATATTTAAAATAACTTAAACAATAATAAAAAATACAAACACTATGAATAATATATGTTGTTATTTGAAAAAATAATGATTATATAATCACACACTTCTCTCTCTCTCGACATTACTGTATATTATTAAGTTAACTGTTGTATACATTGGGTTATAATATTGAGTGTATATTTCAAACACAATTATCAGTGAATGAGAGAGACCTATGAAACTGAGGAATAAAAGTCGACACAAAACACATGTTTTCATACATCACTAGTTTATGTGTGTATTTAAAGATATAGTGTTTGTATATATATATGTATAATATATAAATATATATCACTAGTTGATGGCAATTCTCTCTCATACTCTCTCTCTCTCTCAAACACACACACAAACAAACTGGACTCTCACGCGACTCACTTAATACTGTCTCTCTCTTTCTCTCTTATATCTCTCTTCATCCCGAATGAGAGTATATAAACACAAATCATTGAATTATCGAAAAAAAATTATTGAAAATATTGTCAAAAAAACAAAAATTACTGTGTCGTGACCAGGATTCGAACCTGGGTTATTGCGGCCACAACGCAAGGTACTAACCACTATACGATCACGACTCGATGCTTAACCATTTGAATACTTATGCTTTTAAATGCAATGATATATTATATAGTATATAAGTTACAAATACAGTGATACAAATACAAGTTACAAATACTAAAAAAAATATTTTTATAATAATTTATGTAAAGATCCTGGATAAAATTTAAACATACACATAAACTAGTACAAAATAATATTACTTGTAGTTTAATATAAAGTTGTAAAAGTTTTAATTAAATTTTTCCAACAAAAATTAATAATGATATATATGTATAATATTTAATGTTATATATGCCATAAATGATATCTGATAAATAAATGAAAAATTATCATGATAACACTTAACTTTTATCACTGTTATATACAATATCTATAATACTTATACGACTGCATTAGCACACAGAGGTAATGCGTTCATTATATTTATGGGTATTTCATAGTTAGTGCATTTACATGAAAAGGCATTTCTAAAATGAAAATCAAAAATAAAGAAAAACAGACAAAAATAAATATTGATATTAAAATATTCATGATAATTGATAAAAGATATTTTATGATTTTTTTATTACCAATTTTTTACAAACTACATTGAAATAAGATTTAGGGTACTCAAAGTATTGATAAATTTCGATTTTAGACCTAGAAGCTCATTATCTCAAAAACTATTATATTTAATGAAATTTCGATTTAAGATATGTTATCTACATTAAAAATTACATTGAAATTATGTATCATATTTATAAATAACGTTAATTTAAAATTTTTGACTTTCGACTTTAAAGTTGAATATCGGAAAAAATATAACTTAATAATTGTTTTGTGAACTATGAACGACATTAGTAACATATAATCAATTGAAATACATTATAAAATTATAATTTTAAGAAATTTTATTTTAAAGAACTTAGTTATTTATAACTACATTTTTATTTTAATTATGACAACGCTATCTACTCATTGCATACATTGCATTATTGGAGGAGTCGTACACACGATTTGATTGGTTTATTTTTCTTTGATTGTATTAAAGTATATGTATTATATGTATGAATGACGTGTATATGACGCGTATACCACATGATCAACAAATACAGTATTGTATATAATTTAAATTGTATATCAATTTTATATCATTTGTTGATTTCGTAAAAACCATATTTTATATACAAGTTTGTTGTAACAGAATTGTTACAAATAATAAATAATAATTAGTAAGAATTAGAAATAATTAATAATAATTTTTTAATTATAAATTTTATTTAAATATATTTTTTAATTATAATGAATATTAAATAAAATAAATGTAATAATTAAAAGTTATAATAAATTATAGCTAATATTAACTATTAATAGTTACGGTAATTTATTTTTTACAAGATCTCGCATTAATTGTTTATAAATTTCATTTACAATATATAAAAATTATTTAATTTTAGAAAATTTCTCATTAGAATTAATTATTAGTAATATTAACAGAAAAATTCTAAAATTAAATAAATTTTTGTAATTTATATGCAATTTATTAACAAAAGACGGACAACATCTTACAAAATGTGACAAAACGTGGTTTTGGGACAAAAACAGCAAAAATAATATGTATTTAGTATATAGTCTATTGAATAAACATTTTTGTCAATTATACAATCGATATCAATATTTATTTAATTATTTCTAAGCAATATATGATATATTACATAATATATACTTAATTGATTTACTATCAAATATTTTACTTTATATAGTAGAATAGTACGTTTAAAGATATAATAATAAATACTAATTTGATTCTAAATATTAAAATAAAAGTTTTAATTTTTTAAATAGAGATAATTTTTATACAATATTTAATTTTATATAAACGCAAATTTAAATAAATGCAAGACATTTGCAAAATATTTACTAAAATATAATATAAATATATTTTCTAATAATTATAGTATTAGGGTTTAAACATTAAATTAAGATATAAATTACTATTGGTAAAATTATTTTAATTTATGTGAACTTTAATAAAAATAATTTTACAAAATAAGATTCACAATGAATTAAATACAGTAATTAATTTAAATAATATAATTATAAGACACAAATCGAAACTCAGTTGATTGGAAATATTGGTTGAATTATCTTTAAATAGTTTTTCATTGGGAAACACATATTTATCGACCGATGAATTACTCAGTTTAATACCATAATTATCTTTTGTCTGACAATAGCAAGTATAGGTACCGCCATATTTGTCGGACACATTAGTCAATTGTAGAGATCCCGGCTTTGATAGCGGTTTGATATTAGAAATAGCGATGTCATCGATAGACGAATAGTTGACATAATCTATATTTATTTGAAAATTAAATATTAAAAAAATATGAATAAATAAATAATTAATTTTTAATACAATTATAATTCAAACGATAAAACTCTTGTCTGTCCTTAGAAATGGTTAATATATCGAAATACTCGATCTTTTCGTTAAATTGAAAAATACATTGAAGTATAAAATCTATTGATTTATCAGAATATTGTGGAACTGAAAATGATTTAATTGTTATTAAGTGTACATAATTTACAGTTAACAATATTATAGCTACGTTTAAATCAAAATTCATTTTTATTTAATTTATATAAAACTAATTGAATAATTTATAAATTAGTAAAGTTACTAAACTTAATATTCAAAGCATAATAATATTAAGAAATTAAATATACAGTAATTATACTGTAATAATGATAATAACCAATTTGCATCATAAGTCTCATCTTTATTTATCTAAAATGCAAATATATTAATTTTGTTTATCTTGTTGTTTAAATATATATAATAAAAACATAAGTATAGTACACTTAAAAGATTTAATTAAATTATTGAATAAAAAAATATTTGTTGACGTCAACTAAATAATCACAATTACTAATGGATTAATACTAATATTCAATATGATTGCTTAATATTATATTATTATTATTATTATTACTATTATTATTATTATTATTACTATTATTATTATTATTATTATTATTATTATTACTACTACTACTACTACAACTGTATTCAATTTTGACTTAGAGTATATTTAATTTAAAGTTTAAACTTAATTTATTTGATGATAACAGAAAAGAGTGTTAACAAATTTGCAATTTAAACAAATAAATTACTACAATAATTTAAATATTTTATTATTATTTTTTAAATATAGTCATAAACATAGCTAACATATAACTGAGGAAATATTTAGAAAAGCTGTTAATGTTAAGCCAAATGCTACCACTGTTTGGTGATAACTGTGCTTTACTATCAATGGTAGATATGATAAGCGATTGATTCATGAATATCACTCTACATATATAATTTCCAGTCGACGACTCATTGGGCGATACGATTGTCACCCGAAGCTGTGGCCAATTGTTGTCATCAAATTGATTGATAAATTGGTCGTCACCTGACATTCTCATCATATCAGCTGTTGATAACAATTTAAAGATATTTTTAAAATATACTAATATTTTATAGTAAGTATTATCATAATAAATATATAAAATAGTTTACTATCACTATCAGAGTAATATCTAAAAAATGTTTGTCCATTTTTAAGCAATGAAATTTTAGTAAATCTATAATCAGATATCGATAAATTATAACCACAAGTTAACGTAATATTAACATCAGGTGTTATTTTGTCAGGTTCAATTAATAATGTTATATTTTCAATGTCAGTTTCTGTATAATAAAATATTATCATATTATATTATAGTAGTTTTTAGTTAAATATTTTTTTAATTCATGCATCACTTAACCAAACATGCCAGATTGTAATATTTTTAATTTATCTATTTAAAAAATAAAATAAAAGTTATTATTGACAATAATGATAAATACCATCTGAATTATGTGCTTGTTTAATTATTTAATTATTTTAATTATTTTGAAAATGCAATAAAATACCTGAATATTGTTGTTTATCTAAATTAGATTTAATTTCTGGTTTAGTTTGCAAATTAACTTTCAAGTGAAACGCCCGCGAAATCAAGTGTTTGCCATTTGTTAGATAAACGGTACACAAGTAGTGACCAGCAGTTGTCCGACTAATATCGTTTAAGACAAAAACGCCCGGTTCTTGTTTTATAATATTATCCACTCCCGGCACTGGACTAAATATTGGATCTAAATAAATCAAAAATATATTTCAACAAGGTAAAAATTAATTGAGTTCAATATACTTAATAAAGTATTATTGTCATAATTGTATATTAAATAGCCATCTTTGGTAATGTTAAGACTACTAAAATACTCATTTTCCCGGCGGTTAAGTTTATAACTGCAATTAACCAAAATATTGTCTGTATTACTGGGTTGAGGGCGGTTAGTGAAAATGAGATAACCTGATTCACTAAAATATGGTATTGAAATAAAATATATAAAAATAAATATATAAATTCTATACATGTTGTTAGATGTTTGCAATCATTAGATTAATATAAAGTAATAATATATTAAATATAGAATATTCTGAAAATTATTTGAAACACAAAATGTCAAAATAAATAAGTACTGTATTACTAAAAATGCAACGAAAGTATTCAATCATAATATATTATTGCAATTATCAGACCATATTCATATAAAAATGACAATTGTTATACAAATTAATTGTTTACTTGAATTTTAGAAAAATATTTTCAACATATTTAAGTTATAACTAATTTTGTATTATAAATAAATATTTATATAAACATATTGTTCAAATTATTATTTTATACAAATAATAATTTTGTGTTTTGACATCTATTTATTTGTTTATTTTAAATATTTAGTATACTTACGAAATACAATAACATTTGTAATAAAAATTGCCAATAAAAAATATCAAATAGAAATAGTGTATTTTATATTTATTATTAGATCTAAATAATAATTGAAATAATATGCAATTTTATTTAAATAAAGTATAATATTTTTAAAATCATATATCATTTTATAGAAATATGAAGTAATTTTTCTAAAATAGTAATTTTCAGTATTTTATAGTTCATAATAATTTTAATATAGTAAAAGTTAAGTTGTTTACAAATAATAATATAAATTACATTAAAATGATGATTCATTACTTAATTGCGTAAATTATTTATATATAAAAAATATTTGTCTTGTTTGTTAAATTAAAAAAATTATTAATCACATAATTAAAAAAACAAAAATTACATATTGATTTCATATAAGTTATTTGCTAACAGCAATAAGCATAACTGCGCATATTAGAGCCAATGTCCCGGACACAAAATTGTTTGAACCGGCATTGACCTTAAGGTCAACTGATTTGGATACTTTTTGACCGTTGTTGTATCGTACTTCACACGTATATTTACCGGAAGTGGTTTTGTTAACATTATTGATGATAAACACATTGGGACTTAAGATTTTTATATTTGTTTTGTTGATACCAGATACTGATGTCAAATTTGGATCTATTTTATATTAATAATAAAAGACATATACAAACAATTTTTTTGTAGTTGTTGGAAAAATAATATAATTAATAAAATATAGTTTTTTAACATGGATTGTCTATATTAAGTAAATTTTAATTTTAGTAATATTCATATTCATACGGATAGATGTTTTGTTGTCGATAGAGTAGAAAACTTGATTATCTTTGTCCACAAATAAACTGTTGAAATGCTCGGTTTGATTGTTTAATTCATAGGAACAGTTGACTTTTCTATCGGACTTATTATCCATTGATGTTATCGTAAGCATCACTTTAGCCGATTCGCATAGATATATGGTAAACACCATTAGCACAATAGCACTTAATATTGTTGTGTTTTGCATTTTGGATAATAATTTGCTAAAATATTAGAAACTTTTTTCTTACAACTTTACACGACAAGTGAAAACAAGTGTTTAAATTGTAAAATAAAATAATTGTATATTTTATCGGATGACAAATGTTTTTCTAGAATTAATAATTCAATAGTGGTGTCTATATTTATATACTATATTATACAACTACATGAATATTACCCAGATGTCTTATCACAAATTAGCAATGTTAGGGCAATATAACCAAAATATATAAATTGTCATTATCATCAAATTTATGACTAACATTATTAGTCTACTATTGCTGTATCATTTGATTGCAATTATGATTTTGAATTGAAAAATATGTTATTGATTTATACAAATATTACTTTAATAGGTAATATATATGTTTTTAGTAATATTTTATAAACATAAAATATTAATATATAATTAAATGAAAATGTGATTCAGAAAAACAATTTTTAAATTGTGACATAGTTTTGTTAATACTATATTTAAATACATTTCCTTACATTTATATAAGTTATTTTATAAAATTAGTTTTTATACAGTAGTAATTAAATTATAATATTGTAAATTTTTTTTATAATTTGATTTATACTGTTATCTTCTTTAAGTTTGTATAAATATCTTTTTGTGTTATTATACATAATAATTGTTTGTAGTTGTTTATAGTATTTAAATAATAATATATTACAATTCAATTGAAAAATAATATATTTGAAAAATCATTAATATTTTGATAAAAGTATTAACTTATGTTTACAGAGTTATAATTTTATAGAATTATATTTTTATGTAATATTAATAATAGAAAGTACCGGTAATTATTAATTCTGATTAATATTTTTATATATAAATAATATATATATATAAATGATTTATAATATTTAATAAAATGAATAGACAAATTCAATTGTTAATTAATTTAAAAGATTTCTTTATTAAAGTTAAATATTTGAAATGAATAATATTTGTGATTAAAAAAAATAAAATATACTATATATCTAAGTAAATCTACTATATATCTAAATGTTTTTAAATAGTGATTAAAATATATACAATTAAAACAATGATTACTAATTAATGTTTTTAATAAACTTAAAATAAAACCACTCTCTTTTGGGTTTCTGGGAGTTAATTCAAAACCAAAAATATATATTATAAGAAAACAATTATAGAAATTATATTTACAGTAATATATTTATATTACATAGATTTAATAAAATATTAAATTTGTTAATACAATAATTAACACCATTTTTATATAAGTTTTAATATTATTATTACACAGCAATTTGTTTTTAATGACAATTTATGAGTTCATAATATCAATATATAAGAGAAATGTTTAATGCAATTAAATGTTTGTTAAATTTATATAGTATTTATTGGAAAAGTGTTTTTCTAGAATATTAATATTGAATGATTTTAATTAATTAATTTATTATATTAATATTTTATAAAATACAAAAAACATCCTTGAGTAGTTTTCTATAAACACAGTAAATTACATTTAAGTTTAGTTTAATAAAAAATATATACTCAATAAAATTACAACTGAATAAACAAATATTTTATTTTATTGTATTTTAATATTAATAAATAAGAAATACAATTAAATAATTACTAGCACTTAAATTATTAATAATTATTTAGGTTAATAATAATGTATGTGTAATAATAGTTTTAAATTAAAACTTTTAATAAACATTTAAATTAGTTTATATGTATTAGTGTTGTTGAACAAGATATTGTCACGTCTTGGTCTTAGCAATGATCAAGACGTGACGGGTATCATACAAAACAAGACGTGACGGGAATATTAATCCCGTTTTTTCAAAATCTAGTCTCATCTGGGTCTTAAAAATACTAATAATTTTATTTTTAAATAATAATTTAATAATTATAGTTAATATTAATTATAATTAGAAATAATTAGAAATAATTAATAATTTTTTAATAATAAGTTTTATTTAAATATTTAATTTTTTATTATAATGAATATTAAATAAAATAAATGTAATAATTAAAAGTTATAATAAATTATTGCTAATATTAACTGGTTAATTTATTTTTTACAATTTATTACAAGATCTCGCATTTATTGCTTATAAATTTCATTTACAATATATATAAAAATTATTTAATTTTAGAAAATTTCTCATTAGAATTAATTATTAGTAATATTAACAGAAAAATTCTACGGGGTTTGGGACAAAAACGGCAACACAATTATGTATAGTCTATTGAATAGACATTTTTATCAATTATCCAATGGATATCAATATTTATTTAATTATTTCTAAGCAATATATATTCATAGCATAGTACTATGTACTAGTAATATGTACTACATATTAGTCTAAAATTTTTAGGATAAATTATTTTATAGCAATTTTTATTATATAAAAAATAATTTTATATAAACAATAATTAACTAATATAAATATAATTTGTTAAATAGCTTAAATAAATTATGTATTGTAATTAATGTTAAATTTAGTTAATTTGATTTTGTCGTTTTATGAAAACTTGTAATAATATATAATTTTATAGAAAAGTTAATATAAAATAATACAATACAATGCATTGAATAGAAATTTATATAATTATTTAATAAAATATAATTAAATCATAATTTAATTCATAATAAACAACAATTATTTTTAGTAGCCGTTAGTAATGGTTGTTATACTGTAGTCATAGTGTGTGTGACTGTTGTATAGTATTGTATGTTATTTATTACATATATGAGGAAAAAGGCTATAATATTATAATAGTTACTTAGTTTGTGTAAGAGATTAGAGTAAACAACGATTAAAATACTTGAGACTATGAGTCAATCAAATCAAATAAAACATATGTGAAAACTGTATATTAGTTTTATTATTATTATTATTATTATTATTATTATTACAGTCAGTATACGATATTAATATTTTTATAATACAATACACTGTATAATACAGTGCTGTATAGTATGTACTGTATTATACGCTCACACCATATAAACCGTTATACAGTAAATACATGTGAGAGTTGAGTTGAGGCCGGTTTCCAATGTCTTCAAACATTTTTAATGTCAGATAATGTGTGCATAACTATCATAACTATCACTACTATTACTACACTAAACACATACACACACATACTGTACTGTATTTCAGTTTAAAGTGAAAATACGTTATTAATAAAGTGTTTTTATCGCACATATCGTTAACAAATTAAACGCCCTTTCAATCAAACAGTATTTTACTTCATTTGATTTGATTTCATAGTTTTTTTTTGGTGTTTGTCTTTCATTTGTCGTCTATAAGTAGACATTCAATAAATCGTAAGTTCATTACACCTTAATTTGCCATCAAATTAGTCGATCATTTAATTAAACAAAATTTATTATTTTTATTGAAAGTCTCAGCAAAATGCGTGAAATAGTTCACATACAGGCCGGACAATGTGGTAATCAAATTGGTGCCAAGGTTAGTTTTAATATATTTATTTAAATTATATGATGAATTTATTATTAACAAAATTATTAAATATTAATATATTTTACAAATTATTTCTATTTATAGTAATAGTTATTTTTAACATTTATTTTGTCAAAAATATAAAATCGTGATTTACCATGCTTGAAATTATTATTGTGTATTAAAATTAGTTAAGAGTATAATAATTAACAATAGGTGTGGTTTTTTGAATAATAAATACAGTATAATTATATGTAAAATGTACTATCTCAATTTTATATATATCATAATTAACGTGTATTTTATATAAACATGAGTAATATTTTGGCGCATTATTTAATATGAAATTTTTAGTAATGTTTTACTGTTTTTTTGAGATAAAAAGCGATTTTATACAGTAGTACTACTATAGGCTCATTAATATACAATAATTGTCAAAAAATAAATAATTATTTGTAGTAAATGTGTTAATGATATTAAATTACATGATTGTAAAACAAATGGATATTTTAAATAACTATTTGTTTGACATTTAAATTATAGTATTTCTTATACAGAAGTCTAGAGTCTAGACTTACAAAAAATTGTTTAAATAATTGCGATAAAAAATTAATTGAAAAATATCAATATCTTATAAAAATTAAGGTCAAAGTCCTAGTATTGCGATTTTTTGGTTTATATTGCTATTAAATCTTAATTTAGTTTTTAAGTTAATAAATACTCTTTTTTTAAAAAACGGTAGTTTTGGGAAGTAATTAGCGAAGAACACGGTATCGATAAGACTGGCCATTATAATGGCGACAATGATCTTCAATTGGAAAGGATTAACGTATATTATAACGAGTCGTCGTGTAATTAATTTTTAGTTTTTTTTAAATATTTGAAATTTTAATAACCGGTAATTGATTTTAACTGTTAATTTCTCTAATAAACTAATAGCTAATACATATGTGCCGAGAGCTGTGCTCCTGGACTTAGAGCCGGGAACAATGGACGCTTGTCGTAGCGGTGAATACGGACAGTTGTTCCGACCGGACAACTTTGTGTTCGGCCAGAGTGGCGCCGGTAACAACTGGGCTAAGGGTCACTACACCGAAGGAGCCGAACTGGTCGACACTGTTATGGATGTGGTCCGCAAAGAGTCCGAGGGTTGCGATTGTTTGCAGGGCTTTCAATTGGCCCATTCGTTAGGTGGCGGAACCGGTTCTGGTATGGGAACACTTCTCATATCTAAAATACGAGAAGAATATCCCGATCGTATAATGAGTACATTCAGTGTTATGCCATCACCAAAGGTAATGACTTATTTAAAATAATAACTTTATTAAATATAATGTGTATTAAAGGTATCGGAAACAGTTGTCGAGCCCTATAACGCCACACTATCTGTTCATCAATTGGTTGAAAACACGGACCAAACCTATTGTATAGACAACGAAGCTCTGTATGATATTTGTTTCCGTACTTTGAAGTTGACTAACCCCTCCTACACCGATCTCAACCAATTGGTTGCACTAACAATGTCCGGTGTGACCACTTGTCTACGATTTCCCGGTCAATTGAACGCCGATTTAAGAAAATTGGCCGTAAATATGGTACCGTTTCCTCGTTTGCATTTTTTCGTACCCGGTGTCGCTCCGTTGACATCTGTAGGTTCGAAACAGTATCGAAACCTAACGGTTGCCGAACTAACCGCTCAAATGTTTGACGCTAAAAACATGATGGCCGCCTGTGATCCGCGACACGGCCGATATCTAACTGTGGCCGTTATTTTTCGCGGCCGTATGTCAATGAAAGAGGTGGACCAACAGATGGCAAACATACAGAATAAGAATAGCACTTATTTTGTTGAATGGATCCCAAATAACGTGAAGACAGCTGTCTGTGATATCGCTCCGCGCGGCTTAAAAATGTCCTCCACTTTCATCGGCAACACCACAGCTATTCAAGATATTTTCAAACGTATTTCCGAACAGTTCACTGGTATGTATCAAAAACTATTTTAAATTTAAAAAGTTATTTTAATTGAGATCTAATGTATTTTGCTTTATATAATAGCTATGTTCCGCCGAAAGGCTTTCCTTCATTGGTATACCGGGGAAGGTATGGATGAGATGGAGTTCACTGAAGCCGAGTCCAATATGAATGATTTGGTGTCAGAGTATCAACAGTATGAGGCACTTGAGATCGATGAAGAAGATTTCGATGATGAAGATGGACACGAAGAACCCATTGAACATGAAGACGCTTAAACATCATTACTGATTCACTATTATATTTTCAACATTGATATTCATATATATATATTGAATTTTTTATTAAATTACATTAAATTTTTTTATTAGTTTTGTTTAACAAATTTGAATAAATATTTCACTCGAAACAGTTATTAATAACTTATTATATTATATTTGATTTTTTAGACAAATTACGATATATATACTGTATTATTGTATATAGTTATGAAAATTATATAATTATTGATTAAACCAAAGTATTAATGACAAAATAGCAATTGTGATAATTGACACATTTGTTTGATAACAATTGTTTTTAATTTGAATTGTTTTGGATTTAACAGAATATAACTGAAATACTCCGGGACTAACATACGTGCCATTAATATAAAATATTTGACACATATAACTGCCTTCAGTGTCGAGTGTTGTATTAAATACAGTCAAAGACAAAATCATATTTGTTTTGTCCAGTTTATCGTTAGTCACATATTGGACACCTTTTATTTGACTGCTTGAAAATTTTTCACCTAAAAATATTAGTATATAAACAGTGTTAATATTTAATAATTAATATTAATAAGTATACACTGTATATGTAAACTGACTGAACATTTTTATAACAATTCCTGTACTTTTGATAACTTTCAAAATTGTACGGTAATAATATTCATTACCGGTAAGATATGCATAATATGAATACCGGTAGTATAAAAATAAACTTACGGTAATAATTGTGCTAAAAATAACTAACAAAAGTATAATAAAAATTTCTGACAGTATTTTGATATAAACAATTTTGTGATAAAATACTTTAAATAAGTAACTTTAAATAAGTTATTGTATATTATATTTTAAAGTATTTATAAATTGAAATATTTTATACAAATTATTTGTTTATACAAACTTTGATCTGTATAACATAGTGTACTGTTTAAAAAATTATTGTTTTAAACTAAATTGTAAACCGACACTTAATTTCTATCATATCAGTCAGTCTAATGAAGGTAATACTGTATTATAACACTAAATACAATACTGATTGATTCAATAGTCATATTTATATACCTGTATTGTGTAGAAAATAAAAAGGGTTGAACTCATCAATGCCTTCCTTATAATAAGCAATTGTCTGTAATTGATCGCTAGATTTCAAATAGTATTTACATTCAAAAGACACACTCTTTCCAACACTGAATTTATCGGTATTTGCCGTCAGATTCACATTTTCTATTAAATATTAATAAATTATTTTTTTTTTGTAATTATTAAATATAAATAGTAGTAAATAATATATATATATTGGGTGTAATATTTTCAAAACAATAACATGATATTTAAAATTTTATTACCTGTCAATTTAAATGGTACAACATTTTGATAATTTTTTAACATTAAATCTAAATGTTGATAATTTAACAATGGTTGACCATTATCATTTTCAATAGATACACTGGTTACATGATTTATGAATAAAATAATTAATAAATAAAACATTTTATAAATATTTTGTCTTAATATATCATAATAAACAACATTTTTAATAATAATTATAATTATTATGCAATAATGTAAGTTAATATAGTATCATTACAATGCAAGTTTCTATTGTTCCCATAAACTATTCATATATGATAAATAAAGTAAAATATTGCACAATAATAATGTATAAAATATTTTGATAATAACCATAGCAAATACCTTTTAATTTATAGGATAATACAATATTGTTTATCAAATACTGTATATGTTTATTTAAGGTTAAATATTATATCATATAATATTTAACCTTAAATAAACATATACAGTATTTGATAAACAATATTGTATTAGTAATATAGTAACTTTCATATTTAATCATAGCTTATAAGTTATATAAACTTTTATATGATTTATAGAACAATATAGAAATCAATTAAAATATTTTCAAGTTTTTCTATATATTTAAAATTGAATTAAATAAAAAATAACTTTATAGTTAACAAGCTCTGCTTTATATCAATATTCACTTACTGTTAATGTAATTTATTATTTTTTAAAAACATATTTAATTAATTCTAAGCATTTATTATTTAATAAAATTTAAATAATCTATAAATATTTTGCTTTTGAATTTTAATTTTTTAAGTAATATGTAAAAAACCTTTATTGTTCAAATTAAGGGGATTAAGTAAGCAATTTTTACAAAAAAATGGAGGCCTAAACTACAAAAATCGTAGTTTTATGGGATTATAGTTTGACTTCCCATTGATTAACTCTGATACCGGTTCACAACATACATGTAAAAGAAATAGTTTAACTAATTATTAAAACAAATAAATATTTAAATAATAAGCATTTGTTCTATTGTTTAGAAATAATATTTATAAAATAATTAAAAATGTTTCTTATATTTTTTACGCAAGTAAACATTTATTTATTCTCTTAATTTATTTGCACAATTATATTTTTAATTTGTATAAATTTATAAAATTATACAATAATACAATCATAATAAAACAATAATAGCTAATAAAAATGTTTAATTTTAGAAATATTATTGCTTAAATTAATTGAACGTTACATTAATAAGTAGCGTTAAATGTTTTGTTAGGTTTACTATTTTTATTTAATTATTATTTTTATAAATAAAATTAAACAGATCAATATATATTAATTATTATTTTTTTATTAAAAAGTGTTTAATATAAAAATACAGTATTAAAACATTTATACTATAATTTAATAATTATAACATTAACTCCAGTGTTTTGAATTTATGACATATTAGTAATTATTATATTAAAATATTATATATATTACTTTAAATGTAAAATTATTTATTATTAAACCAAATAATTAGTGACCAAATAGTTAGTATACTAATTGATAAATTTAATTGATAGCAATTGTTGGTTAGTTGTATTGGATATGATATAACAGCATATTCTTGATATCTATGAGTATTCCCATTGTAAGTACCATTTGTAAAAATAATGACACATTGATAACTGCCCATGGTATATTTTGTTGTTTTAGATACAGTTAAACTTAATTGCATTCTATTTTGATCCAAATAATCGTTGACAACATTTTCTACTCCTTTAATTCTACGATCAAAATATCGACTACCTTTATATTTATATATATTTATATATTATAGTAATATTATTATTATTATTATTATTATTATAAACAAAATAAAAATATATGATTTTATGTAAACCGTTATTTAAGATTTGAATACCTGTTCTGTTTTGATAATAAAAACAATTAATGCTTTTAAGTCCGTCCTTATAGAAGGCAACAGTCGTTAGTGAATCGATTGACTTTAAATCGTAATCACAAACAAATGAAACGCTTCGTCCGCTTTTATATTTAGTAGCATTTGCTTTGATCGATGATCTCTCTGGTTGTTAGGTATGGCCAACAATAAGTTAAATATATTGTAATTATAATAAACCTTTAATTACTCACAATTTATGACATAGATTTTGCCGATTATTGTTTTCGGCCTTAATTGCGGACAAATTTTGCCTAAAATACCTAAAGACCAACAGTGCTGTCACTAATGTACAGCAATTGTGCTGATGAAGGACTGAGACAATTACTGTCGGAAACATTATTGCAATAATTTGTCCGCAATTAAGACCGAAGACAATAATCGGCTAAACTTATGTCACAAATTGTGAATAATTAAAGTTTTATTATTATCAGTGATTTTCATAACATAAACCTAAATAAACATATTGTAATCAGTTTATTATATTCAATAGTTTATATAACAATTAATAATTTAAATAATACAGTATATAATATTTATTAGATTATGATATACATATGATTAGTTTTTATCTAATAATATTAATTAATAAAAATTGGTTTGTATTAAATTAAATATTAATCCTATTAAATCAAATTACTTATATATCTTAAACAATTATAGTATTTATAATAGAAATGTTTATAAAATTTTCTTTTCTTAAATTATTTTCTATATTAGAATTTAATAAAATCTGCATATTTTTAGATTTTGAATTATTAAACATTGTTATGTTAGTATTCATAGATTAATAATTTAAAATTGATATTTTTTAGTTTAAAATAAAAAACATATTTTGAATAAAATATATATACCTATATAAGAAATAGCTTTTGGTGATAAAGAATTATTGTTAGTGTTATTTACAATTAAAACATTATCAAAATTTTGCTGATAGTTTGATAATGATTGACCATCATGGATTTCAATAGTTTCACTGGTTACATAATTTAAAAACAATAAAATTATCAAATAATTTAACATATTTAATTTTGTTAAAGTAAAATATAATAGCACAATATAGACTAGACTTTATAAAATAGACTTTCAAATACTAATTAAAAAATTTTACTAACAATTGTAACTAACAATACAATTATTATATAGTTTCAATTTATTAATATAATGTGTAAAAATTGAAACAATAATTTACAAGTAAAACAATAATTGTAATATTATCAGTAAATGACTCAGTTTTGTAAAAATATTGTGTTTTGTTAATACAGATAACTATAGAGATAAGAAATTATTAGATTGTACAGTAAATGTGAAGTTAGTTTTAATATTAGAGAAAATTAATAACATTTAACATAAATAATATTTTGAATTTTTTTTTGAATTATTTCTTAATAACTTGTAAAGAATTCTACAGTATATGTATTATTATATATATTTTGTTATTAGTATTATTTTCATGTACTGTTAGTCTAATCATTAATATAACAGATGTAAATTATTTTTTAATTTTTGTAATTTTCAAAATAAATTAATTACTGAAATCTATTTATAGTTATATTTTTTATAAAAGTGTTTATTGTCTTTCTATGTTTTCTAATGTTTGACCACTTTATATCTGATAATTACAATGTATGCCAATATTGTCTAACAATTAATATTTAGTAATCTCCATATCGTTAACAAAAATTATCTATTATGTTAAATATTTAATAAAATAATTAACAAAAGTTTATTAGTTAGCTATTTTGAAATATAATATATATATATATATACAGTATTATTAATTAATAATTTTTAAATTACTACAATTTTAATCAAATTTTGTAATAGATTATATTATCATTTTTTTATTTAACTAATATTGCTCAATAAAATTGTAATAACAAACACATAAAAAATTATTATTATTATAATAGAGATATGTTTTATTGAAAATAGTTTAATTGAAAATATAATACATAATATTGTATAATTGTATTACTTATGATCACAAACTTGAAGTGCCGGATCATAAATGGTTTCCGAAGGACACTGAGTCTGTATGTGTTGGAACTGTCCGTTTCCCTGATCTATGCATCGGTGAAAAATTGTCGGGTCTTTTGGGTCCGGGAATGTGCCGACTTGAGTGCACTGGAAATCACTGGTTGGTGGAGGGTTTGGAGGCGGAGTTGCAGAAGTAGGTTCTGGATTAGGTCCCGGTCCCGGACCGACTGATCCTTTAAGCGCTTTATTGATTTCTGTAAGTAACGGAAATTTACCCTCACCACAAGAGCCGCTGAAGTCGTCCATATCTATCGACCAAACACACGCACCTCCCAGTCCTCGATTCTTAAGGAACGCTACTTTTTCTCTTAAACTTTGTTGGTCATCGTAACCGATCCATTGGTCGCCATACACAGCGTACGGCACCTTCTGGTAGATGTCGTCTCTTAATTTATTCCACGGCTGAGTCTTGAAGTTATCGCAAATCTATTTATTTTTAAATAAAATATTTTGTTTATTTTAGAAGTTTATATTAAATCATTTTGTAGACCAATTTATACCTCCATATATCCTAGAATTCCTGTTTGTCTGGTATACGGACCTTCTTTACATCCCTTACCAGTTGCTGGTGCTTTGAAACCATTTTCCAAAGGGTTGGCCAAAGTGAAGCCACGTCCATATAACGGGAGTCCCATTATCTTAAATATTAAATAAAATATAACAAACATACGGGTAAATAATGTATCTAAATATGCTATTATAAGGATGACTGACCAGTTTTTTGGGGTCGACGCCCAATTTGAGCCAATGATCGACACCATATGATACCGTAAATTGTTTTTCTTTATCATTGGCAGGATTTTCCCAGTGATATAGAGGAGCGTTATGTGCTGTTGTTTTAAAAGTATAGTTTATGTTTTTTACAAATAAAATATATAATAATATTAATAATTACAAGTTTTTGATTCCCAGCCTCCGTTGAAATCATATGTCATTAGATTAATAAAGTCCAACAATTCGCTGACTTCTTTGACATTATAGCCTCTATCAATGGTCGGCGCACCGGCAGATACGGCGGCTCCCAATAGATAACCTTTTGGCTTAAGAGCAGCTCTCAATTCACGTAACAGTATCACAAAGTTTTCTTTGTCGGCTTCATTGCCCGGTTCTCTGTCCTGATCGCCCACTGCTTTCTGACCTGGATACTCCCTAATAATAATAGTAACAATTAATAATAATAAAATAATTGTTTTGTCAATTATTGATGTAATACCAGTCGACATCCAATCCATCAAATTTATATTCGGCCAGAAAATCGACGACCGATTGGACGAACACAGCTCTCGACTGTGGGTTAAAAACCATTCGCGAGTACTTATCTGAGCCTTCATTCCAACCGCCGATTGAGATAATAGTCTTTAGAGACGGGTTTTGTTCGCGTAAAGCATTAAACTTGCGATACATTCCTATTAATCACGAAAAAGATATAATTATTAGTCTTTTTAATTATCGTGTCTACGAAACCAATTAAGCCATACCTCTACCCCACGGGAGTCCACTTTCCCAGTCCTCACTTCCCAAATCCAATCCCGGTTCAAATGCTTCAATTTTATTGGTCTCTTCATTTAGTTTAGCGAAACCATACATTAAATGTGTACATAATTTTGGATCTATATTTTTAGGATCAAACTTAACAAAAAATAAAAAAAATAAAATGTAATGGTTAGTCAAAGTGTTACTAATTTTAATTTGATGTTAAATTGATAATATACCTGTCCAGCATTTGGTCTATAAAATGACCATGAGCCCCAGTAGCATACAACTTTATAGTCAGTGTCTTTACTGTTAATTACTGATATTAAAAATTATTTAAAATAACAAATTTTTTATTTAAGTTTAACAAATTGTTATTTAAAGTTTACGAAAATCAGTTTTTAAATTGTTTTTTATAATAGTTAAAAAAAAGTTACCTTTGGCATAATTGATAGAGTGAGTCAGTATAATTGATAATGATAAAAGTAATATTAATGGGGAATTCATATTTATAAATGACAACTAAATTACTTTATTTATTTTTCTGAATCTATAATAATGTCTCAATTAAAATGAGACAAATTATATAAACTAATTGGTCTAATGTAGGAAATATTTATACTTTTGTTTTATGTTAGAAAACTACTTAAACGTCACTTTTTTGATAGATATACTATTTTTATAATAATATTGATATAATAGCAATAAATTCAGATCATTTAATGATTTATTATTGTTTTAATTTAATCTTTATTTAATTTTTAATTGAGCCATAATGTTGTAAAAAAATTTGAACTTATTATATCTTATATAAGTTTATGGTAAATTGTTTTATTTAAGCAATAGCATATTTAATATATATATATTAGATATAATTTATCAAAATAATTACAGTAATTTAGACATTTGAACACATTAAGGATATAATGTAGATTTTTTCTCTAAAAAATTGTGAAATGTTTTAGGATTAGTATATCAAGATTATTATTTAATAAAATAAATAAAATATTTTTTCTAAATAAATCCTATTAGATTATGATTGATCAAATAATATTGTATTAGCAATATTATATGTAATTTGATATCTAAATATTTCAAATGTACCATCATAAATTATTATTATTAATCAAATGTAACAATAGGTCTACAAAAATATGAAATATGCTATTGATATATTTTGAAAATATATTATACAAATATTATGCTAACCTTTATACTGAGTGTCTAAAGGTTGTATAAGTGTTGGTATTGTGTCGTAAATTAATAATAATAATATTAAAATTTTATGACTTACTTAATAATAAATATAAAAAATTGATAAAAAATTTGATATATTACTTTGTTTACGTTTTAAAAAAGATTCACACAATTCATGTATTAGTTGAACAGTATTATTAATACTGTATTATCTATGTTTGACCTTGTTTGAACTTAAATTAATTAAAAAGTCAGATATAATAATTAATTTTCATATACTATGTTTCACAACATTTTCATAAGTAATTCTAAAAATTTTTTTTTAGGTTTCTAAAATTATTATTTAATATTATATAATAAAAAAATTTTATGGTAAAGATAAATGAAACATTATAACATCTTTAATAAAAATTAATTTAAATTAATCAATGGCAATAAATATTATTATCTTTATTATATAATATTAAAAATTTATTTCAAAACATAATTTTTAATTAATTAATTATTTCGTAGAATCTTAGCAATAAAGTAAAATATTAAGCAACAAACTTATATTACTATACATTTTGATTGAAATGGTATATTATAAGTTATAAGTTTTAAACTATCATTATGTTAATTACATATTAAAAAGATTGAAAAACTAATATAATTAAAAATGTATTAGTTAATAAATCAAATATTTTAAAATATTATTTATATTGTCTGAATGTTTGTGATAAATAACAATATACTACTGAAATGCGAAAAAATTAAAATTATAATAATTTATATAAAATTGCTAAACTAGATTATATTATAAGTTTATTTATTATTTGTTTAACATAATTAATGTTTTTAAAGTTATTTCAAATTACTTCGTTAATATACAGTATATTTAAGGGGTTTAAATGCAAATTTAGTGACCGTATAACCACTGTTATAAATATTATGTAATTTATTTAATATATACAGTATATTCTGTAATATTATACTTAAACTGTACATTATATTGTTGACAATATAAATAATTATTTGTTATTAAATTTATAGAATAGAATATTTTTTAAGTCATATAAATTAAAATATCGTGTCTTAAACTATTTATAGTTATATTAGTTATATTGTATTAATCATTATTGTATTATTTAGTATAAGTAAATATAATAATTAAAGTCTATTATGATATTAATTCATTTTGCATATTATTATGTAATGTATTCAAAATATTGCTTATAATCATTTTTTTTAAATATCACGACATAATGATATAGTTTATTATACTTTTAAGTACATTAACATCATATATAGTAATAATTTGAATGATTTTTAATATAAATTAATTATTATCAATACTATAATATTTCATAAATATAAAAATTTTAAATATAATAAAAAATTTAATTCACAGTGTGCATGTTTGTGTTAATTAACAATATAATATTGAAATGTGACAATTAAAATAATAATAATTTATAAAAGATTGCAAAAGTTGAATGCTCATTTATTATTTGTTTAACATAATTAAAATGTTTTTTAAAAGTTATTAAAAATATACTTTTTTGAAATAGTATTGCTTATTATAATTTTTTGATATTACAATAGTGTAAAGTATTATATTATTTACTAAATTCAGAAAAGTTAAAATGCTTTTAATAAACCAAAAAATTGATAATCTATGCAATGATTTACAATGTTTAAGACAACACATGTATATCACCGGAATATCTCAATTTGTTAGTGGAGATAAAAAGCGATCGTTAATATATAATCCATATATTATATTATTTACAAACATATTATTAATATTAAGACATATTATATGCTTACTAACCGCTCATCCCTTAGTGACCGCACTATTAGGCGACTTCTCGATTGACTGGAAACTCAAACATCACTTTAATATATTAATGATATCTGTATTTAGTTTGCCATTAATTATTCAATTAATGTTTTTCATTCAATACAAATCCAATAAAATTGATTTTTTATATACATATCAACTGAATAGTCGTGAAGAGTATCGGATGAAACGTTTACACAGTCGTCAATTGAGAGTTTGCTTTAAACTGATTGATCTAACATTTAAATTTATATACTCAACATCTATGTTTGCCCTATCATTTGTGTCATTATATTTTCTCAATTATTCTATTGCCTACCTGTCCACTGTGGCATTGTTTTGGTCAACAATATATGCTATGTTTGGTTTATATGACTCGGGACTATATTTTTGGCCAATGATTTATTTTACACTAATATGCATTAAATTCAAACTTGAAGTTAAAAGACTTAACAATATAATTAAAAGCAAACAACCATTTGAAGTAATTAAGATGAAAACAGATTTATTTGCAATTTTTAATAAAAGCAATCAATTGAATCATTTTTGGTCAAAATATTTATTTGCTAATTGGTTGGCTATTGTATCAATTTTCGGTAGTTTTTTATTGCAGGCCATGTATGGAGGACTACCCATTTTCATACAAATAGTGTTTTACATATTATTTATGACTGGAGTAGTATATCTTAATTTGTTACTCATACCAGCCATTAAATTCAATGATGAGTGCAATACTACCTTTAAATTGGTTATCAGTTATATGGTTAACACTATTATAGTAACAAATGCTAAATTTAAAGTAAGATATTTAATTAATTTATTTTGCAATTAAACTTATAAAACATTTAAAAGTTTAAACTTAATATTACATCAATAGTAAATATTAACTTATATAAAAAATAATTAAGCTTTTTGTTTTTATATTTAATTTATTTAAAGCTAATGAGTCTTACAGAATGTTGTACAGAAAATTTAATTGCATTTTATTGTTGGCATCTTTTTCCTGTAAATGCCTTAAAATTTTGGGAAGTAAGTCATATGATATTTTAAATATACAGTATATATAAATTTATTTATATATATTAATTATTTAATATTCAATCTATTTCCATAATAGTTGATATCTCTAATGGTAATAACACTTATAAAGACTATTGAATTAAACCAAGTTTGATAAATAATAACATTTATAAGTAAAATGATATAATAAAAACACTGATTGTACCAACAATTAAGTTATTAACTTTGCTAACATACTGTCCACTGTTAGACACATAGATATATTTAATATCAGAAAATTCGCGACCTCTGACCACATAATAACCAGCGCACCTGTAGTTACCAATTGTCGATCGATTCAGAAATTTTATGGTATTCTTGACAATCACTGTCATTAACTGTTTATCAACTTTGGTGGTAATCTTATCGTCAATTTTATCGACTCCAGCGATGGATCGGAAATTTTTTTCTTTGCATAAAAATATTAAATATAAAATACATAATTTTTTTATATTTAGTAAATTTGTGTTTTTATAAAACAATTAATTAAATGAAAAATTTAATAACAATTACTGACCGCCATTTTCGCCATAAGTAAAGTAGACATTACTGTCTTTACTTAAATCAATTCGACTGAAAGCCGATTCACTTTTATTGTGACTGAACTCACATTTCAATGTAAACTCTTTTCTGTCGCCTTTAAACTCAAATTTTAAATCATGTTTTACACAAATAATTGAATTTATTATTAATAATAATAATAGTGTTATTTTAATAGCAAAAATAGTTAATCTTGATATCATTATTAATATTTTCTTATAAATTTTTATGTATATTATTATTATAAATATTATGAGTAATAATGATAATTTATTTGATTATAAATTAAGTAGTTTTATTTTTATTTTTTTTATAATCACATTAAAAATCATTTACTTATTATCTTCTTCACACACTTTAATTGAAAAACTATTTATTGTGATTAATAATAAAATGCTGAAAGTTAAACAAAATTTTATTTTTATTTAACAGCTATTATAGCATAATCATTGCTTAATATGTTATGTAAGCAAATAATAGAAGGGGTAACCAAATAATATGCTTGAAATAATTGAAAGTTTTATAAATTTTTAAGCAATTTTAATTAAGTATATAAATAAAAATACAATATTATTATTTTTATTATTAGTAACAAGTTGTTACTATTGTTTCATAAAATATTGATTTTTTGAACTTTCTAAATAAACAAATATTTAATTGAATTATTAAATATTAAAAATATTAATGTTAAATATGCAAACGTTTAAAGGTTATCCCACTGTACTGTATATAAATAAATATACAGTATATAGCATACTATATAAGATAAATATTTGTATTATAATTGAATTTGTCAATAAATCATTAAATGCTAACATAAATGCAGTGAACTTATTCACAAAATTATTTGTTTATACAATTGACAACTATTTTTGTTTGTTGTTTTATTTTTATTTTTCATATAAGTTGTATACAAATTATTTTTAAAAGATATTTAGAAATAAATAAAAATAAAATATTTTAGTTATAAAATAAATAATTTTGTTGTTACTAACAATAAATGATTTAAAAGTATACTAAAATAGTTGTATTATTAGAGTAGTAAATGAAATGAGAAAAATTATCAAATGATTAGTCAAATAATGAGAACTATTATTAGCACCAAATCCTGCGATATCTATCTGTTTATCATTTTTTGAGTTCACATAAATAGTTTTGTCGATCTGATACTCGACCCCATTGTCCACATAATATGCCTCACATTTATAGTTTCCCGATGTCTGTCGGTTCCAATATTTAACGGTATTCTCGACCAACACATAGTTGACATCCACCTCTTCCCCCATCATTGTCTTATCCGACTCCAGTCTATCAATACCTTTGATTTGTTTGAACTCTTTATCTAAAGAAAAATATAAATTAGATATTAATTTTTAAAAATAAAATTTGATAAATTAATATTAGATTTTTTTCAATAAAAAGTAGATAACATATATTGAATGACTTACTTTGAATTTTGTCAAATGTAAAATATGATAGGTCATCTTTTTTGATGTTAATGTGACTAAATATTTGTCCATTTTTATTATACCTGAACTCACACGTTAAGGTAAATGAATCGTCATAGAAAAATGATCCGGTAAACAATAAATCGTTAGTATTAACACAAATACATTTAGTAATTAATAAACAATTTATTATTATAACAGAATATAATTTAAACATAATTTAGCAATAATTAGTCAAATTATTATATAAAATAAATATAATTGTCTTAATTTATTTTAAATAAAAAAACGTTATGTTGTCTAACAATACAAATATTTATATTTATTACCTGTCAGATATCGATAAAACTTATTTAGCACTATGTAGGCGTTGACAATTGATAAGTTTACCTTGGTGATAGTTAATAATTACTAATTTCATCAACATTATTTTTAATAAGAGATAGTTTTATCTTAAATATTTAATTAATTAATTTATATTTGAATATAATTTTGAAATAGTGACCTTTACTTGTATATAAAATCAAATAGTCAATACAAATAATTATTTTTTGATTACAATTAATATCGTAAAAACTTTATATCAAAATTAAATATATATTTATAGCATATCATATTTATATTGTTTTCAAGTATTCAATATTTAAATATTTAATCAAAATTTATTGATTGTTCAAATAATTAACTTTAAATGAAAGTTTGTAATACATATATAAATACCATACGAATATACAAAAAAAAATAATAGTTTAAAAACATTAAAACATAAATAACTAATAGTTAAAGTACAAATTTAAAAAATGAATCTAAAATTAATAACAATTATTTTTGGCCTATTATTAATTATTAATAATATAAATTGTCAACAATTTGGTAATTTTGTAAATAATATATTGACTTATAATTTTATTAATATGTTTTGTATTTTTAAGAGCATCATAACAATCAACAACAGCACCAGAACAATCATCACCATCACAATGGACACAATGGACATATTGGGCACAATGGACACAATGGACACAATGGACACAATGGACACAATCGTCACAATGGCCAAATGGGAGGGCAAGGGTGGGGTAATCAGTTTACCAGTGCTCTTCAACCATTTGGACAGGCATTCGACTCAATGGCTTCGGGATTTGGGAATTTATTCAGTGATAGTATAATTTATATTATAAATATTTTATTTATAATTGAAAATTATTTTAATTATAGGTAATTTTGGCAGAGGATCTGGTAATAATAATAACAATAATCGAGGACGTTTTGGCAATTTTCGTAAAAAATAATACTAAAATACATGAAATATAAACAAATAATACTAAAATATTGAGTTTTAAATAAGATTTATTTTAATAATAAAAACCAATAAATTAATGCTTAACATTATATTTGTTCTCTATATATTTTTTAATTTAAATAAATAATTACTAATTTGTAAAAATAATAGATTTAAAAATATTTCTAAATAAAGGACAATATTTGTAAAATTTTAGTATACATTAAATAAGTATAAATTAGTTAAATATTATTTATAAAACAAATTATGATTATTTTTACTGATGATTGTGTGTGTCTTTACTGATGACAAACTTATCAATTATTTTTCCGTGCTTTCAAAATAATATTAAAATCAAATTTTACAAAATAATAATAATTATAAAAATATCAGTGATTACCTGTTCAACCGACACCTGTTCCATAGATATATGAGTCTTATTGTGGACAGTCATCCGACTGTAGCCGTAATCAGTGCTACGAAATGCACTCCAATCGGGAATATGTTTACGAAACTTTGCGTTATCTTCATTACATCCCTTATTTGATTTAATAAAAGAAAACATATTTATATTAATTAAATACTAGACCTTATTCTTAATACTATAACTCTTACAGCACTTCCACTCACAACGACTACCGGAGCTCCCGGATTGTGATATGGATTACTTTGACTGCCATTATAGATAACATTGTTATAGACAGGAAAGAAACGCTGATAATTGTGTTCGTGTCCATAGAGTTGAAGATCGACACCATATAAATGAAACAGTTTTTCCAAACCATACTTTGTGTGACCATTTAGTTGAATACCTTTCCTCAGTCGTCGTCTCTGATAACTAGCTCCAGTGTCACCAATTTCTGAGCACAATTTATCATTAGTCATACAATACAGTGGTTTGTGAGCCATAGTTATTATCCACGGCCTGTGCGCTCTGTTCTCGGGGCTATTGGCTGTCCGCAGGTCATCCTCAAGCCATTCATATTGTTGCCGAATCTGATTCTTTCCATATTTTGTATAGTAATAGAATTCAGTGGACAGGGATACTATGTGAGCCGGTCCCACATCGAAACTATAATAATGATTATTAATGTGTCCATTAGTCTTGTCTATCATTGAAAACCGGTTGTCATAATTTGAGAAATTACTGTACAATAAAAGACACAATTAATAATATAAACATTTTAAGGGATAATATATAATTATTGTCTCACTATTTTTGTTCGTGATTTCCTGGACACACCTGATAGGGAACATACGCTGCTATGGGCTCTATTAAGCGCATAAATTCATCGCCAACCCGTGCGTTGTCCTAAAATTGTTTTATTTAGTCAAATAATTTTAGATCTTAATTGTTAACAAATTAGTCATACAGTATGCAAATTGTAGGCCATATCTCCCACGTGAAGAATTGCATCAAATTTTCCGCGACGAACATCCTGTTCGAGAAACGGCAGTGACCTGGCATTGGTGACACCCATATCACCAAAAACAGCAAACCGTGGACTCCAGTCAACACCTGAAGTCTTTGTCACGAATTGATAGACAAGACTCCATCCGTCATCACTCCCGCAGTGATACTCTTGTAATGAAACGGAAATTCAATATATTATTGTTGATTCCGATGACAATATAAGTGAAAATAAAATTATTTACTGTATTTATGTGAAGGCTTTAAGTCAGTGATAAGCACTCGATGTATATATAGATGTCTTTTCTCTTGGCCTCCGTCGACAAATCGTGTGGTTCCTCCAAATGCTTTCATATCAAGATCTTCAACACCGTATTCAACCCGTGGATGACCAGTGATGTGATGCATTGTCACCCAAGTGACCATCATTTGTGTGGCATCGGCTGTACGTATAAATGTTATTAACATAAAAATAATCATCTTATATAAGAAATACTGACCTCCGTATGACAAATGAATTTGTTCGGGTCTTTGGTCAACATAGCCGATGACTACTGTCCACAATGTGACCAACAGTAACAATATAATCAATTGATTCATGACAAGCCAGAAAAAATTGACAAAAATATTTAAAATAAAAAGTTTATCTCTATTTAGTTCAATGACTACTGTATTATCTCAATAGGCTATCTTGAAAAAGTGTTTATCATAAATTTGAAATTATATTAACAGTAACTTCAGTTGATTTGATTAAACAAATTAAATCAATTATTTATAGTTTGGACAGTTATTGTTTGTATATTACTAATTATCACTCATATTGATAATAAATTATTATTATTATTATGTGATAAAGTCTGTGTTTTCCATAATAACAATAATAATAAACTTTATTTAAAATTAATTACTTTAATATTATACACTGTATACAGTAATGTATAATATACTGTATAGTATTAAACAATCTTCAATTATGTGAACAACAAAATATCATGATTTTTAAACACTTTCGATAGATATAATTATAGTTCACTAAACTAATAGCATTAAATTTTATGATACAATAAAAAACTCAAAATAATTATATTTTAATTTATGTTAAATTATTTTGTAAAAAAAGTATAAAATGAATTCATAATATATTACATATACTGTATGTCATCACTTTCTTTGTATAAATATTTTGTGTAAAAGTTATTTACTACTGTGTATTAAATTGTAAAAATTATCTAATATACTGTACATTTAAAATTGTGTATTAAAATGCTTACAACATTATTGAGTAATTTTTATTAGGAATTATTGATAAATTGTATAAAAATAATAAGAATAATAAAAATGTTTTTTAGTAAACATATTTATTTTTATTACTGACTATTATAACTATTATTATTATTAATGAATATAATTCAGTCAATTGAAATGATTGAATTAATAAATAAAACATGACATAAGCATCTATCAAATAACTCATAATATTTTTATATAACATTTCGTATGAATTTTAATTTAATTGATGCATTAAATGTATATTTATAACATTGTATGCATTAGTAACAAACTAATACCCTTATATAAAATTATGTAAATTTTAATTGATTATTTATATTAATGTTTATAAAATAAATGCATGTTTTTATTTATTATTAATTAAAAAATTATTTGTTGTTGTTTATTTTTAGATAAACAAATAATTAATTTTTATTTAATTATATTAAAATATAAATAAAACTATAAGAAGACCTTGAAAAATATTAAAACAAATTAAGTTATCTTAATTCATAAAAGATTATTATAAAATATTTTTTATATTAAAAATACAATAAAATTATTTCAAGTTGCATTAATAAATAATTAATGAAATAATGTTATAAATAAATATTATAGTTATACTACATGTGGTGCAATCATAACGATTTAACAATGATAGACAGATATGATAGAAAATTATTTATGCAAAAATAATTAAATTTTCAATTAATTTACTTTGTATAATTTTGGTTTTTAATTAAAGCCAAATTAAACTAAATCAATATATAAATTAATTAATACTATTTGACATCAAAATGTATGTATTGTTGTATATATAGTATACGTTTATTACTATGTAATTACAATTTAAATTGAATAATCCTTAATTTATATTATATATAAAAAATTATAAAAATAGTTCAATTATTGAAAATGTCACAAAACATTTATTTTAGTCAATACAACTATTCAATAGTTACAGTAATTTCTGATTTTTCCTGTGTATAAAATTTATTATTCAATTGTAAAAATATTTTAATTAATTTATTAGTTAATTATTTTTGTGTGTAAGTACAGTACATTTTTATTAGTTCAATGATTGAAATAAACATAAATTGATAATACTCAGTAATTAATGTATAAAAATATGTAATTAAGTTTTTAATATAAAATAAAATAAGATGTTAGTTTCATAAATAAGGTTATACATTAGTTAAAAATTTGTGTTTGAATTTAATAATAAATTTATGCGGTACATTTACTGGATCAGCACTGGTAGATCAAATTTGAATTGTGCAAAATTATGACAGGACAAACGAGTGCACTTCAGGCGCTTATGCACCTACTCAAGTCATATATTGGGTCAGGTATTTTGGCAATGCCCAAGGCATTTAGGTTGGTTATAAATATATAGATAATTATTGTATATAATATTTTAATATGTTATATAATATAGAAAGTATGTATTGTCATATTTACTTATATATATATATACACACAGTTATTCTGGTATTATAATTGGATGCATAGGAACACCAGTAATTGGTTTATTATGTCACACTTGTATTCATATGCTTATTGATATCAATGAATATTTGTGTCAAAAGTTGTCTTTACAACCCATGGATTATGAAGAAGTAGTTAATTATTATTAATTTATTAGAATTTAATAGATTATATTTTTTATGTAATTAATTCATTTTTTAAATATATATATATATATAAATTGCAGCTAGCTGAAAAAGTGTTTGAAAATGGTCCTGATAGATTACAAAAATTTTCTAAAGCATTTCGTATTGTAGTAACATCATTTTTATTTGTGGCACAAATGGGTTTTTGTACAACTTATTATGTGTTTATTGCAAGCAATATAAAACAGGTAAGATTTTTAAAAAATAATATAAAATTAAAAGTATAGATTGTAATTACAACAACAAATTAATTTTAATTATGATTTTGTATTATTAAGTTTTCAGAAAGTGTATCGACTAATGGCTGGTCGTGTGTATCAATAGAATACTATCTGTTAATTGTATTACCATTTTTGGTGTTAATTAGTTTTATTAAAAACATAAAACATTTATCAATTGCCTCAATGTTCGGTAATGTCCTACAATTGGTGTCATTTGTGATAATTATTTACAACTTAGTTTCACAAATGGATAACATCAGCGATACAGTACTAGTAAGCGATAAAGTGCCGCAATTTTTCAGTACTACAATGTTTACCTATGAGGGAATCACTGTTGTAAGTGTGCTAATGACCTTGATTATTTTGTGTTTTTGTAAAATTTTCAAATTGTGTTTTATCCATAAAAATATCGCAAATATATCTATTTTAAAATAAATTCATAGTTTTTGTGCTGTAACTCTAAATAATTATTCTTCAACCCCCTCCCCCTATATTTTATGAACGTCTTATTCGGATAACACTTTAAAATTAAAGAATATTCTTATATTTAGACAATGGGTTTGTATCGATCAATGAAGAATCGGCGCAATTTTGATAAGCCCTGCGGTGTTATCAACAATGCCATAGCTATAGTGATAGTGTTTTATGTAACAGTAGGGCTGTTAGGATATTTGAAATATGGGGATCAGGTTGCAGGTAGTATCACACTATCGCTGCCCAAAAAGCCGATCTACGAATCGGTACAATTGATGTATTCAATCGCTATATTTATCTCATATCCCATACAACTATATGTGGCCATAAACATTTTGTGGCCACTGATTTACACTAAACTACATGAGCGTAAAGTGAGCTCATGTATCATAGATGTCTGTAATTATGGATTTCGCACGTGTTTAGTGCTACTTACGTGTAAGTCACGTATTGATATATTAATTAATTACAGTACATGCATAAACTAATAAATTATAAATTTATTTTAATTGTATTTAGATGCACTGGCAGCATTAATACCAAAACTTGATTTGATACTATCTTTAATTGGTGCAATTTCATGCAGGTTAAATTTAAAATAAAATAAAACTATATATTATATAAATATTTTATATTATTAAAAATGCTTGAAAATAACATATTTTTCATTTAACATATTAATAGTACTGTTGCTATAATGATACCACCAATACTTCATACGATGATATTTTATGAATTAAAAAAAGGTTATTAATTTAATTATTTTTATACAAAAAATTATAAGTCTAATAAATTTAATTAAACTATAGAGACATTATCGCGGTTGTGGTTATGTATTAGAAATGCATTTATCTTTTTGTTTGGACTCTTGGGCTTCTGTATCGGCACATACTTCTCACTTAAAGATATTATTGAATCTATAGATATCTCTGATGTTGATAATTGCTAATTGTTTCGTGTAATATATTGTTGACTAAAAAATATATTTTTAATTCGCATAATTTACAATTAATATATATTTTTAATAACAAATTAAACAATTGTAATGTATAATAATATATTTAAATTAATTTATTTATTGATATTTGCATTTTGTATTTAAACAGTAGTTTCAATAGACATTGAATATTTTGTATGTGATGTAATGTAATCTATTATGTGTTACTATTATTTTATGAAATATATATTTTTAAAATTTTCTTGGTATAAAATTATAATTATTTAATCATAATTTTCAAGTGGCTTAACATTGAATGTATTGTCTTATGACAAAAGTCACAAGCTGAAATTATTTTATTAGATTAATATCCATTAGAATATATATATATACAGTACTGTATAAACAAATAAATTAAAACATTTATAAATAATTATTTTACTAAAATTAAAACTTTTATTTAGTAATAAATATAAAATTATAATTAAAAAAAATAAATACAATGAAAATTATAATAATATTAACTTTATTTTATGTATCAATAACTGTAAACTCAATCCCATTTAAAGATGGTTTTGAAAAATCAATCAATGGTAAAACATGGGTTGTATTGGCTGCCGGTTCTAATGAATGGGACAATTATAGACATCAAGTATACAATTATTTAACTCAAAATTATTACATAAAATACAATTTTTGATGCTTTTTAAGGCTGATGTATATCATGCCTACCAAATAGTGCGATCGCATGGCATACCCGATGAAAATATTATTGTTTTTCATTACGACGACATCGCTGACAATGAAAACAATCCAAAGCCGGGAAAAGTGTTCAATAAGCCAAATGGTCCCGAAGTTTATCACGGAGTACCTAAAGATTATACGGGAACTGATGTTACACCTGAGGTAATAATATTAATAACAGGTTTTTAAAAATAATATTTTGTTAATATAACTATTTTTTCGGTGTTTAACAGAATTTTTTGGCCGCACTTAAAGGCGATCTGCAATTGAAAGCCAACGGCAAGAAAGTTGTCGAAAGTGGATCCAATGATCATATATTTATCTTTTTCTCTGACCACGGATCAAATGGTAAGTCTAAGAAAAAACTATTATTATTTTGTCAATAAATATTTAATAATATAAAATAAAATAATTAAAAATACATCAACAGATCTGATCTCATTTCCCGATGACATCCTTCACGGCAAACAATTGAATGATGCGCTCAAAGAGATGCATCAAAACAATAGATACGGAAAATTAGTATTTTATGTGGAGGCATGCTTTTCAGGTAATAGGGTTTAACATTGTTAACAAATAAGTTTGCAAATATAAACTTAATAGTATTTATAAGATCCTAAAGTTTATATATATATATTATATATGTGATCCATAGGCTCAATGTTCAAGAATTATTTGGCCAAAAACATGAATATATTTGTGACAACAGCGGCCAATGAAAAAGAGGAAAGTTGGGCATGCTACTGTGATACCACTGATATCGATACATGTCTAGGTCAATTTTTATATATAAAAATAGCTTGCTTAATTTTATTAACTTTAAAAAATATAATTTTCATTATTTTTAGGTGACTTATACAGTGTTAGTTGGATGGAGAATAGCGACAATAGTAATATGTCTACCGAAACATTGCAACAACAATACGAAATTGTCAAACAAAAAACAGATTCATCGCATGTTTGTGAGTACGGAGATATGACCATGGGCACATTGCACCTGGATCAATTTCAAGGTATTCATTTAATCAAATTAGTTATCTGATAAAAAATATAATGATTTTATTATAATTATACTTTATATACTTATCTATTAATATAGCTAAACAAAAAAGATATATTTATAAAACTATTGAAAGTGAAAGCATTGTCCCATTGGCATCCATTGCCAGTCCTAATGTACCGCTTATTTTGGCACAAAAGAGATTGCTATCGGCTAAAAATAATGAAGAAATTCAATTGTATTATACATTTTTTTGGAAAATTTTCAAACTATTATTTTAATTTTGAAAATTAATTTTAATTTTTTTATAGTTATTCTAATAAATTGGAGCGTTTGGTAAACGGTCGACAACTCGTTGACAAACATTTTGATGCCTATGTCGATAGTGTCTCGCATTTAATTTCTGGCAACAAAAATGATATCATAAACAATATACAAGAAGTTAATGACGGAGATTGTTATCGACAATTAGTTGACACCTTTCATCATAATTGTCTTAATTTAGGAAAAGTAATTAAATTATTTTACATTTTTTGTTTTGTTTTTAGTGATTATTTTTAAATGATATTTTTATTTTAAAAACACAGAATACTTATGGTTTACAAAAACTACAAATTTTTGTCAATATTTGTGAAGACTTAAGTAATTCAAGCAATAAGTTAGTAAAAACTACCGAAACGATCAACATTTTGAAAGACTTTTGTCAAAACAAGTTTGATGTCGATATTGATTATAAAATTGTTTAATTATTTAAATTTTATTTTATATTTAAATAAATTTTTGTAAAATAAACAAAATTATTAAAAAATAGATATTATTATTTATATTATATATTATTGCATTTTATCGTAATTAAAAATATTTATTATTATCAGCAATTTTTTTATTAACTCTGCTTTTAGTGCACTTTCAAGTTTTGACGATTATTTTTAAAGACATTCTAAAACTACATATTTTTAAATATAAAAACTAATATAATTAAAAAATTCATCTTTTGTATAATTAATTTGTATAATTTTTAAAATATATGATTATAAATAATTTTCATTAAATAAGTCATATAATATACATGTGAATTAAAATCAGTTTTCTGATTATATATAATATGATATTAAATCGATAATATTATTCTATAATTACTTTACTGTATTATTTTATCAAAAACAATATATATTAGTTTATTAAATAGTAATCTATTGATTGGGTATATAATTAAATCTAATTCAAAAATAATAATTATTTTCAAAAACATTAAGTGAGGTCTTACAGTGCATAGAGACACATGTTTCTTGAATTAGATAATTTATCTACTATTGAAAAATAATAATGTAAACTATTTAACTTAATTAGTAATTAATTATGAGAAAATTGTTGTATAATAACATATTTTTACTGATACTTAAATAATAGATTCATATATAAATATATTATTCTAAGAATTGAATAACTTTTACTTATAGAATCTAATTTAATATTAATTTAATAAAAATATTTAGGTTTTAAATATAGAGTACATAAAGATTATTATTGCCAACATTTCATGAAATTTAAAGTATAATTATTTATTCTAGATTTTAACTAGATTAAATATAGCAAAAAGGCTAGGACATTTAGTTTACAAATTAAGTACAAGTGTCACATTTAATATAATATTAATTATCAGCTGTAATCCGGTTCATAATTCCTATAAATAAGTTGAGTATAATGTATAAAGTGAGACAAACAATTAAAAAAATTTTAAATGTTAACAAAATTAATATTTTAATTAAAATAACAAATGCATATATTATTGTTAATAGCGTTATTCTGTGCCGGTAGTCAAGCACTGCCGTTTCCCGATAAGGTTAATCAACCCTATAATGGTACTATTTGGGCTGTCCTAACTGCCGGTTCCAATGGTTATTATAACTACAGACATCAGGTATGTGACAATCATATATTGAAGTGGCTTTCATTTAATTATATAATTATAAACCAAACTTAGGCCGACATATATCACGCCTACCAACTACTCCGATCACATGGTATTCCTGAGAAAAACATAATTGTCTTTCATTACGACGATATCGCTAACAACTCCCAGAACCCGAACAAAGGTATTGTCATCAATAAGCCGGGAGGAAGTGATGTCTATCACGGAGTGCCAAAAGATTTTACCGGCAAAGATGTCACACCTGAAGTAAGAAATAATAGTTTTAAAATATTTATTTACAATAGTTTACTAAATACAATAAATGTATAATATATTGAATATTATATTTGTTAGAACTTTTTAGCCGTTCTTAAGGGAGACTCTGATTTGAAGGCCAGCGGCAAAAAAGTGGTCGAAAGCGGACCCAATGATCACATATTTGTATTTTTTGATGACCATGGTGGACCAGGTATCAACTATTGAACAATTAATCTGTTTATAATATTATTAAATACTGTATATTTTTGTTGTTAACAATAATATAGATACCGTTAGCTTTCCTCATAGCATACTTCACGGCAAACAATTGAATGATGCGCTCAAAGAGATGCACCAAAATAAACGTTACGGAAAATTGGTCTTCTATTTGGAGGCCTGTTATGCGGGTCAGTCACATACATATATAAATAGTTGATTTTATAATACTAATTATATGATATTTTTCAAACAAATTTTTTACAGGATCTATGTTTGAAAAATATTTGGACAGTTCGATGAACATATTTGTTACTACAGCTGCCAATTCCCATCAATCCAGTTATGCCTGTTATTATGACAGCACTGTACACACATATGTTGGTCAGTAGTATTAAATAATAGTAATATATATCGGATTTAATATAGATTTGAAACTATTTGATCCACAGGTGATCTCTATAGTGTTAATTGGATGGAAAACAGTGATGAAGTTGACATATGGGGAGAATCATTGCAAAAACAGTTTGAGATCGTTAAGCAAAAAACCAACAAATCGGTAGTTTGTGAGTTTGGTGACCTCAATATGGCTCAGTTACCAGTGGCCGAGTTCCAGGGTATGTCTCTACATGAGCTATAAATAGTGAAACAATTTTAGATAAAATCAATTGTCTTCTAATGACAGGTCCTAAAAAGATGTCAGAATATATGGAGGAAAGAGTTGTACCAAAAGATGCCGTTCCCAGTCAGGACGTTCCTATACTTGTAGCTCAACAAAGACTACTGTCGGCCCAAAATGATTTAGACAAACAAATGTAAATATAATTAATTTTAATTTTATTTGTCATATCATTAATTTAATATATGATTTATTTTAATTACTTATATATAGTTTTGCCGATGAATTGGATCTTTTAGTAAAAGGTCGCCAAATGCTAGACAATCATTTCGAGGTATATGTCGATAGTGTCTATCATTTGATCTCTGGTTACAAAAATGAGATCATCAATGGTGTACAAAAAGTCAATAACGTTGACTGTTATTATCAATTGACCGATACTTTCCATAATAAGTGTCTCAACATTGGAGAAGTAATGCAATGATATTTAGTTTTTATTTTTAAAAAATAATTTTTGTTTTTTTTTGTCAATTCTTTCCAGAATACATATGCTCTGCAAAAACTAAACATTTTTGTCAACATATGTGAAGATTTCAGTAAATCAAGCGATGAATCGGTCAAAACTGCCGAAGCGGTCGACCGTTTAGAAGACTATTGTCAACACATGTTTGTTCTCAGTGGTGATCATCTTATAGTCTAAAAGATATCACTACCTGTGCCTCTATTATAATGATATATTTTTTGTTATACTAAAAAATTTAATATCTTTATAAAAAATATCTATTATTTTATATCTAATAAAAATTATTAATATATTTGAGTAATAATTTAATAAAGTGTTAAATAAACAAAAATATATGAAATGTATAAGTTGTGTGATATTTATTGTCAATATTTAATTTTATTTTGTTAAACAAACTAAATGTTTGAATATAAATAATATTATTTGATAATAAAACAATAGAAATATTTGAATAATTAATGTATTAATTATCAATAATTATTATTTTAGTATAGATTTCAATGTCAAATAATGTCATATCTTTACACTTTTTATGTTAAATAAAAATATAACAATTTTAATTATTTTATATTTATTGTTTTCTTTAAATATTATTTTGTGACATTTTGCAATTTAATATTTTTAAATATTATTTAATAAAATTAATTAACTATTTTTTAATTAATACTATAGTAGACAATTTATCCTTAAAAATTATTTATCAATTACATTTTATATTAAAGGTTATAATTCAATTATAAAAATCAATGTACTTATAATTATCTTACAGTAAATGATTATAAATTATATTGTTATACACATTTAATTTATATATAGTGGGTATTAACCGACATATTATTTGAATTACATGTGAACAGTGGGCTTAAAAAATTGGACTCATTTTAAAGATATGATAAAAGCTTATTAGATATTATTATAATTAATAAATAGCAAAAACAATAAATTAATAAATAAACGAGAAAGTTATGTATTTTATGATTATTTATTTAATTATTTTTATTATTACTTATATGAGTAATTATAGCAACTTTAAGCCGCTTAATAATTGTCATGACATCAGTGATAAAAAGTAGTTTTTTAAATACTAACTCTATTAATATATTAGTAATAAATTGAATCACAAAACACTTGAAATTAATGTTAAAATAAAATATTTAAGATAAATGTTATCTTCAATGGGGTGTTGACTAACAATAAACAGGTATAATATTATTGTAGTTAATGTTCAGTAAAATTTTTTTTAACGTAAATAAAATATAGTTACGAAATTGATAACAAACAAGGCTATTTAATCAATTTACTGTTTATTAGTTATATATATTAATAACGATTAGTATTATTAAAATCAATATTACTTAATATATTATTTTTTCTTAACATTTCAACAAAAAAAATCAATAATTAATAAATACTGTATAACAACAAATAATATCGCAAATATTTTCGAGGTTAAGCTAACTAATTGAGCCCAGTTATGGGGGTAATCGGCCTAGGTGACGTTTTCAATGTTTCCTATAATAAAATATAATAGTTTGACAGTAATTTACTGCTGATATTGCAATGTTAGGTTAATTTAAAAGTGTCATTTATTTAATGTAACCATGTTACATTTGTTATTTGTCTTGTTATCTATAAATTGTTAGACAAACAAATATAAATAATAAATATTTTTTTTAATATTCAGAGTGTAATAAACGTATTTTGTATGTTTTAGTTGTGTTTATATGCTATGATTTAGGGCTAATATATATTTTGTAGCTATATCTATATGTATTGTATTTTTATGAAAAACAATTAGCAATGAAATAAATATCTGAAATGATTAGGTAATCACATGAGTGGTGTTTATTATCAAAGTATTGGTAGAATTGTTTGCCATTTTTCTATAGAATCTAATGCTTGAAAAGCTATCTCCAGTCAAGAGCTGGTATTAATTGCAGCACTGGTTTAGATCTGATGTGACTTTTGTTACCAATTGACGTGATTTTTAGAGACAGTTGCTTTGAAATGCAATATTTAGACATTAATTAAGGAAAAAACAATATAAAAAAGCAATAAAAAATATTATCACAATATAAATCATAGCACTTAGGGATATAGAATATAATAGACATACCAAACATATTAATAATAATAATATTTTTAGATATTATTTGTTTGCCATTTTGTTTGTCTATATATATGAGACATTACACAAATACAAACCGTTTGCTATATGATTAGTCCTACCGATAATATTTAGCACTTGACCGATATTTTGTTAAGTGTTAATACAGTTAGTTCAGATACTAAATGATCAATGTCAGGTAACAAATAAAAAAGACCATGCTAAATTAATTGTTAAATAAAATAAATTCAAAATAAATGATTAATTTATTATATTAGATGTTTGATTAAAATTGATAAAATGTTTGATTATATTAACTTAATTTGATTTAAGCGATAGTTTTATTAATAGTAAAATTGTTTAGCATTTAATCTAAAATGATCTAGATACAGTGGCCAGTTGTAATTTACGTTTGACCAAAATCATAGTACAATTATTGTAGTATTTTAAAGACAATGAAAATAAAAACTGTAAAATGAAAATAAAATTATAATTTTAATATATTAATTAAATATATTGATCACACTATTATAATTTTTAATTGATAATACACTTAATAAATGTTAGTTTACGAAAATATTATTTGAAAACTTTTATTTAAAGAAAATAAGTTCAATATTTTACAAAATAAGTTAATTAATTAAATAAATAAATTCCGTATAAAATTTTTTATTAATAAAAAATAATTATAAGTGATATAATTGTTAAATAAAAGAAGTAAAAACTAATTAAATAATTTTATTGAAATTAATAGTAAATTTTAAGGAAAGCCATCATTGAAATGGCAATAGTAGTGATTGAGGCGAACACAGCACCGGCACCACTGCCGTCATATTTGATGCTAACTTTGTCTGAAGTGCGAGTTTCGGACTTATCATCGGCCCATCCATTCAATCTGAACTGTATGTCACAGGTATAGTCTCCCTGAGCCTTGTCCTTAGCCTTCTCGATATTAATGGTTACTTTTCCTGTGCCGTTGATATTGGGTTTATTAGTGTTAGCGGTGTCCAACTTAATCGAGTCCTTATCATAGTTTTCAGTATCCGTTTGGTTACCTATAAATTAATTATATTATTTTTAAACATTTTCTAAATTATTTATATAAATAATTTCTAATAAATACCCGCAGCTGTACTATTATCGTAGGAAAAAATTTCTTTTTCACCCTTTTTGAAATGTACCTTGATCAATTTAGTACTATCTTGTCTTAATTCATAGTTGCAAACGGCTACCACTTTATCGTCTTTTTTGAAGGTATTATCTTTACGATCCTTTTCAAACGTTGGCGTAAATTTAACAGTTTCTATATATTAATATATATATAATAATTAAATAATAATAATAAATGTAAGTATGTGAAATGTTAAAAATAAATAAAGTATAATTTACATACCAAATTTTGCACGTACGCTAATATCTTTTGACCAAGGACCTTGTGTTGTTTGCTGGAAAAAACTACATTCAAAGTTTGCATCTTCAAGTTTATCGAGTGCACTCAAATATATTGTTTTATTGTCTACAGCGGTAATGTTCTCTTTTTTCACACCAGCAATATCAGTTGTTTCATTAACTTTACCTAAAAAAACGAATAAAAATATTATATAATTAATTTTGCAAATAATGTTTTTTTAGATAAATAATAAATGATTACCATCGCTGTATAATTTAGCAAATGTTGTATGACTTTCTCCAATTTTTCGTCCAAATATAATATAATTGACTGGTTTTCCATCAGCTGTTGTCGTATCACAACTTAGTTTAATTTTTCTGTCTCCGGTATAAGTTGTCTCTTCATAACTTAGAGTTGCATTATTTACTTTTGGATCATCACATACAACCAATTGAACAAAGCATATCAATAATATTAATTTTATAATTGTTTCCATTATTACTACAATTATTAGTATTATACTTAAATACAATAATATTTAGAAACAATTGAATTATGAATTTATTTTTTAAAACAATACTAAAATATTACTAAAACATTAAACCTATATTTATATGTTTAAGTCTCTCTTATCTTTAATTATTTTTTTGCTTTGATTCTATGCAATATATGAGCCAATGTTTGACAATTATTTTTATAACCAACGTTACAATTGATAATATAATATTTAATTGGTATTATAATTACGCAATATTTTTATTAATTTATATTAATTAATAAAAATTTTAATAATTCTATTTAATTATAATAAATCTATTAATAATTTCATTATACAGTGTTATCAAATTATTCATTTAAATGAAAGTATTACATATTTATGTATATATATATATTTACTGTATATATATAAGATATTTATTAATTATATTTTACTTTAAAATAATCAATTTTTTCATAAACATTATACAAAGATATGATAAAAAGTGTAAAGATGATTCATAATGTTTTTTATTTTTTTTGTAATACTATTTTAACTATATTATTTTAAATAATTATATTAAAAAATTTTATTTATAGAATATTTTTTAATATACTTATGACTAAAATATATTTATTATTGTATTAAATTAATTTATATTTGTATTTATCTTAAATTGATAGGAATTTATAACTTACCGGTAATTAATTATTAAAAATTAATAATAACTATTATTAGTTTATAACTATAATTTTATAAATATTTTTAAAAACATTAAAATATTTTTTATTTATATAATTTAAGATTTAAGATTTAAGATAAGATCTGTTTTAATATCAAATTTTAATATAACATTTTATTTGTTTCTTATAAGTATTCATTTTTTAAATATTACATAATAATTACAATATGTTATAATTTTTATTTTTTATTTTCATTAATTAAACGTTTTCTAAGCTCTTTTGTGACTATAAGTAAGTCATCGTAGGGTAGACTAACTTTTTGAACGGTTGGGTCAGATAACAGATTCTGTCGGTATTCATGATATGTGGGAACCTCTTTGATCAAGTAGTCAGTCGTGTTGTGTCCGGACAGGTCTAACAATAGAGTTAATCGTTCAATGAATGGCCAAATCATATAATCTGTAAGTCCGGGTAAATCAGTGCCTATTGTTTTTGGGACATATAAGTAGTGAAATACTTTTTATATAATTTGTATTAATGTTTATCATTACCCGACAAGAACTTGTTGTCACCCTTTCTCTTAGCCAACTGTTGTTCCACTTTATTGAACGCCTCTTTGATGTCATCCCAGACATTGTCGATATTTTCTTCTTTCAAAACTTTATATAAAATACCAAAATTTCGGCCAAAAGTCTCGATAAACACCCGATCGTTGGCCCGAATGTACGGATCCTTTACCTGAAGCGGTCGTTTGTCTGGAAAGGCTTCATCCAAATAGTCGGCAACAATGAGTGACTCGTAGAGCACTTTGTTGTCGTCTCCAAACTCAATGACCGGCACTAAACCCAATGGATTCCTCTCCAACAGCCACTCGGGTTTGTCCTTTAGATTCACGTTAATTGTCTCATGTCTTACAGGATTTTGTTTAATAATACAAAATTTAAATATTATTTAATTTTTTTTTGTAAAATGTATGATTAAATTAAATTAATTAAAATTAAAAATTTACCACAAAATTAATATATATTGTCAATTATTATATTATATAGTAAACATAGTGTCCTCTATGTTTAATAAAATATAGTATATAATAAAAAAATTAAATATTACATAATATAAAAAAGATAACTATATGATAACGTAAATTAATGTTTTAGTAATTATTATCACATAAACTATGACAACAATACTTGTTATTTACTACAAGTTTTTTAAACACATTTATCAATAATATCTTTATATTTAATATAATACTCACTCAATGTCTTTGGCGGCTAACACTAGAAGTGCCCGTTCGGCGAAAGGACACGACTGGTAGCTATAGATGCGGAGTAGGTCTGTGTTCTTACGGTCAGGAAATGGATCGCCTGTTAATATATAATAAATTTTATTATTTTATATTTTTAAAAACTATAGAAATACCCTTCTTATAATTTTTCTCTAATTTTTCCAAAATTCCAGGCATTTTGCAAATATAGTATTTTTACAAAAAATAGTCAAATAAAACTTTATAAAAACTTTGTTAAAAATGATAATATTAAATGTTTTCACAATTTCTTTTATAATTTAAAATGTTTTCATAATTTTAGATTTGATACGCATGCTAAATGATACACATTTTATATAATAAAAAATATTGTATCACTATAATATTAATTTTACCATATTACCTCACATATATACGAAAATATTAAATAATCTTAGATTAGAAATAAAAAATATTATTAAAAATTACATAATAGTATATGGATGGTTATGAAATAATTTATACTTTATTTAATATTATATAATCTAATATTATATTAATTTAATTCTTTTACATTATTTACATAGACTGTATTTAGAATAGTTTTAAAAAATCTAAAAGATTTTTGAAAAACACTTGTCTTAAATTATTTTAATATTTATCAGACAACAAATATAATATTAATACATATATATTTAATGTTTAATTTAATTTAATGTTTGTAATTATTTTTAATATTAAATTTAATGTAAACATTTAAATAAGATTTATTGTGTTATATATTACTTTTTATGTATAACTTATTTTATTTTTTAAATATATATTTTAATGATTAAATAATATCAAATATCGAAAATGTATTAATTATTGTGGGAAGACGGTATAATATTTATTTTATATATTAATTTATTTAAAGATTAAGTACTATTTTAGTGCTATTAAGTGCTTATTTCAAACTTAAACGTTTATATGTGAGTGTCAAGGTTGATTAAAGAAACAAAATGTACTAAATATAGTTATTGTATTTAGAAATATATTTTTTATTAATAAAGTAATTAATTGCACTTTAGGTTTGGTTTGAATTATAAATAAATTATTTTTTTATAACAAAAATATTTATCATAAAAATATTATCATAGTATCACAAGTTTATTTTATAAATTGAAAAAGTATAAAAGCATATAATTATAAATATTAAAATTGAACAATTGTCAGGTTAATATTTTAATTAAAAACAATATATATATTGACTAATTAATTTCTAAACATTTTTGTATTATAACATTTTTAATTATACATAACATGTAATTAAATATTTTTTATATTAAAATTTAATAAATAATAATATTTTAAAAATGTTTTTATTTTATATTAAACATATTCAGTATTTTATAATAAATTCTCAAATATATATTTTGGCATTTTATTTAAGAAAGAATTTTTCAGAAAATAGAGAAAATATTTTATTTTAGTTTTTTTTGTTGAATAATATAATCTACTAATAATAAACAATTAAATTATTTTTCTATAGATGGTATTACATGAATAAAAATTTTAGAAACTAAGGAATAGGTAAAATACAATATAAATTAAGGGATAATGTTTAACTATTTATATTTATTATACAATATAATTATAAAAAATAATTTTATTATTTGATCAATAATTGTTTACTTACAAAATTAATATTATTTAAAATATACAATTAGTTATATTAAATTGTTGTAAATTATTGATTTAAGTGTCTCATTGTATATACATTGACCACCAAAATTGATGTCAATACTGTCAACCAGTTGTTCTTCAGTCAGATTCTGATTTTGTGGGATTCATATAAAAATTAAATAAAATGAGTTTTATTAAGTAAATTGTTATTAATAAATGAAATGTTGAATACATACGATCCATATTCTCATTAATTTTTGAATCACTTTTTTCCTGTTGTCTCTCATCGTAAGCATTGGACAAATAGATTCCGGAGAAGACATATACATAATGTATGATTAAAAACTGTGAAATATGTTCATAACTTATAATAAGTATCCGATTTAGTATACAAATTTTGATTTTATTTATTATGAGACTAGAATTTTAGATATTAATTGTTAAATCATATTATTTATTAAATATATAATACAAAATGCAATTTGTTTTATTAATCAACGGAATTAGTAGAATATAAAAAATAATTTTAAAATTAATTAACAAATATTGAACTAATCGGCAGACAGATTAACAGCAAAACTATAAGTTTTTCCCCTTTTTATGATTTGAAATTTGCACAAAACTACTATTTTACTATTTATTATTGAATTAAATAAGATTAAAATATTTTTGAAAAGTCAATCTATTAAAGTAACACGGTAATTTAATTTTATTGTTAAATAATCCAATTTATATGTTTGTATATGCAATTTAATATTTATTATTATCTAGCTCATCATGCTTTAAATTTTATTTTCAAAATTTATAATATTTGTAAATTCAATTAAATTACAAAATATAAATATAATAATTGTTATATTAAAAATGATAACTATTATTTTTTATAAATATAATTTTAATTTTTAAATAACAATATATAACTACTTTAAATTTGAAAATAACTTAAATATTTCACTTAAATTAATAATAACAACAAATATATTACTTTTTATGAATTTATTACCTTTCAAATACTGTCGACATATTTAAGGGCCAACCCTTTAACAAAAACTAAATATTTATATTTTTGTGATTAATTAAAAAAAATTAACATAAAATAATTTATTTTCTAACTTTCATTAATCTAAAAACTAAAGTAAGTTTACAAATTTTCAAGTGTTTTTAACTATATATTATTGTAAATATGATAAATAATATATTAGTTAATTTTTTTATATCTTGTTTTACTTTACTTTTTACAGTAAATAAAGTTTAATAGAAAACACTGTAACAAAATAGCAAATAATTTGTTTAAATTATTAGAATTAAAAAAATAATAAAGTGTACTAAAAATAAAATATAATTGTTTATATATATATATTGTATGCTATATACTATATAACTAAAATAGGGTTGTCCATTTATTGTTATATTATTATCTATAGTACGATAGGTTTTACCCAATTTCATTGCAATAGGTTTATCAAATTGCCTATAATTTTTAACTATACTTTAACCAATCAGTGCGCTGCAAATTACCTGTATTTTATGAAATCATATAGATTATTTTTTAAAGTTTTCATTTATTAAATCATAATAAACTAAAACCAATAGTTTAATTTGCTTAAATAATTGTTAATTTATTATAATGTATTTTAATTAGAATTTTGATGTCGAAATTATTTTGTAAATTAAATTAGATTTAAGTTATGTTGTAATTTATAAAATAAAAAATAAACATTCTATTGGTTATATAATTTATATATTACTAAAATATCAATAAGAGAAACTGTGTGGGCGATAATTAGTTAATTAGATTGCAACTAATAAATTGTAGATAACACGTTATATTTACAAATACATTAAAAATTTTATTAAATATTACAAAATTATAATCTAAATTTATATTTACTATCCTATTGTAATACAAAAGATGTTACTTTATATAAAAATATTAATTATTAAAATACTTTATTAATTTTTAATACTATGATTTCGGCCTTTACGAAGAAATCCAGTATTTGATAAACAAACTATTAATTAATCTTATTTTTAATCTCTATATTTATTATTAAGATTTATTGTAAATTCAATATTATTTCTTATAAGTTTAAAACTATTAATATTTTCAATTCATTCAACTAAATCTTGCAAATTATTCATTCAGTATTTTTTTATTTAATTACTCAAAAACACTGAAACAACTTTAAGTTTGCTGTAAACTTTAAAAATGTAAAAATATTATTTGATAAATAAGTTAAACTTAAATATGATCTTACACTTTATTACATACAATTTATGATTTACCTTTCAATATAAATAATACTAAAATGTTATAACTAAATTAAATAATAATTTGTATGTTATTGTTGAGAAATGTAATATTGCTTGACATTATGTATCAAAATTAAATGATAATTTACAGTTACGATGAATAATTACGAAGTAATAAACCAATAAATAATAGATAGATATCCTATATTTCAAAAAAGCCATTTTGAATTAAGCATTTACTTTATATATTATAATTGCACCATAACTTATCATATGCCGTAACTTTTAATATTTGTTTTGTTAGATATTGATAATTAAAAAAAGAAAATTAATTATTTTAACGAACTATTCTATGTAAATATAGAAACAATATAACCTAATAATTTAATATTATAAAAAAGGTCAATGATTCATTATTTAATTAACTAAATTTGATTACTTATAAATTTATTATAACTTATAACTTATTAATTTTATAATAAATAATTCAAAATATAATATTCAGTTAATAATTACTATTGATATATCTAGCGATAAATATAATATTTAAAAATGTTACGTATCTTATAATTTTAAATAAAAGGTTCATTAAATAATTTTTTTAAAGAATATAATTTATTTAATTTAAACAATAATAAAATTCAAACATATAAAATAAAACTATGTATTAAAAAATGCTTTTAAAGCATACTTATAGTCTAAATTTAAAGAATTTAAACTAATATATTAGTAATAAAAAATGATTATCTATTATTATATATATTATGATGAATTAGTAAATTATTATGTCTTTGCCAATAAATACTATAAATTTAAAATAAAAATAATAACAAATATTAAAATAGAGATCAAATCAATTGGTAATAATTGTCTTCAAAAGTCAAATCATAAATTTATTATTTCTGTTGTGAATCACTTTTGCGGAAATTTTTGAACAAAATTTGTTTACAAAACTCGATCTCCTTTTCCATTCTGGCAATAGTTTCAATACATTTCTTGTTGTCGTCGATGTAATACTTAATCTGTTCGTCCATTTGTTTTTGTTTCGACCGTTTTGTTGTCCGAAACTTTTTCGACGCCATATTATTCTTATGTCGGAATTCCAGATATTTTCTTTCATTGAGAAATCTATCCAACTCTTCAACACTGGACAGACCATCAAATGAGGTACTGGCGGTCGCCGTCGAGCCTCTAGAAGTCAATGCATAACTTGGAGGCGGCTGTGAGTGTGTATTATATGTGTCTTGTAGTGATTGTATGACTCCGGATGGCATATAACTCGATGATAATAGTGTTGGTGATTGTGTACTACTTGTGGTCATTGTGCTGATACCCATTGAGCTGGTGGTCACTGTGCTTGAGACCACTGATCCGGTATTCATGTAGCAAAATCTTGGCGGACAAGATTCGGATGGAGTGAAGTACAAAGCACTGGTAGATGGAGATGATTGTGCTGTATATGAGTTAATTCCATACAAACTGTGTCGCCTTTCCGCTGGAAATGGTGATTGATATGGCGTTTCGGGTTTGATCTCAATAATACTGTCGATACTGTCTGAGCTAAAAGAGGCCGGAGTTGAGGCCGATTGTGTGGCACTGGCTGATGGAGTATATGTCGAGCTGGCAGTGCTTGTTTTTCTTACGACACCTCCCGTTCCTCTCCCGTATGTCATTGACTCTAAACTTGGGGTTCTGAACATTGTCTGCAATACATCTGGTGTCGTAGGAGTATAGGAAGTAAAGTGAGCTAAAGGTGCTCCTCTTATGTTTTGCGACGTTACGTATGGAAAAGTCGATGAAACTCCTGATGGGGTCGATAGAGTCGATAGGGTTGGGAACTGATTACTTGTGATTACTGGTGTTTGCTGTCCTGTTGAACGTTGAGAGAGATCTAACAAATCACTATAACTTGTGGCTGTTGTTATGATACTCAATGGATGTACTGACGACTGCTGTGTCGTGACGTTAGGTGTCTGTAATGTAATGTAAGGCATGTCTATAGCTTCAGGTGTTTGTAAAACATTAGCCGCTAATCGCCGGTATAAGTCATCAGACAGAAATGTTGGATCAATTTCTGGGGTATTGACCATTACAGTGGTGCACATGTGGCCGATCGGGTGATATCAACCCAAATATCAAATATTGAGATAATATTAATTTTATTTGTATAAACTAACTGATAGAAAGTACAGTTAGATAGAAAATAGTTAACAAAAGTTTACTAAAACTTTTGTTTTGTTTATTACTTATGAAAATATCAACAATTATTTTAAGTGATAATTGTTTCTTTACTGTAGTGATAATATGTTATTACCAAATGATAAATATAAATATAATAATAATAATTTAATACTTTATTTTTTGATAGTTTAGTGTTAGGAAACACTGTACTTCAAATTAAATTTAAAAATATGTTTGAATTCTGAGTAAAAAATTGTTTCACAAATTGGCAGAAATAAACTTTTGATTTTAGTTGATTGAAAACTATACCTTTACTTTGAAAAAAAGTAAACACCGGTACATGTGTTACACACTCAAAGGTAAACAAATTAATTAAAAAACTTTTATGTATTATTGTTGTTTCAATTCAAAAGATGTTTGTTATGTTTTTAGTTAGTATTGTTTCGGTCAATGTATGAAATATCTCTCATATGTTATATATAAATAAATTGAATTGAATGAGTCTTTCATATTTTTTAGCGCTATTTTATATATTAAATATTTTAATGTAATCAATTTAAACGTCATCAAATTTTAATATAAGATAGACTTATTGAATGCTGATATTATATCACTGATATATACTGTATTATACTGTACTGTATATTTACTATCGTATATTTAGTAATCACTATATAGTTATTTACTATTTAATACATGTTGTAAATGCTTGCGTGACTGGTTTATCATATCGGGTATAGTAGTAAAATCAATAACAATGAATCAGATATGTTAGACAAATTGCTACCTAACAGTGCAATACTACCGACAAGTCATACCCATGTGGTGCTACGTATGCCACTACGTAGTACACCATGCATTGACTAATAATGGTGCAATGTACATTTTTATCATTATACTGATTAGATTAGACTAACCTACAATTGGTGCTCGATATAGTTATGGTAGATCTATTTTTTGCCAAATTATATATTTTGTATTTGGCTAATTTTGTGTACAATCCACTTTCTATTAGTGCCATGGACATGCCTACATATGATCACTTAAATAGCCAAGGTCATTGTGAAGGCATACCACTTAAATAAGTAGACTATTGGGAAACCCCTAGTATGTGGACTGGTGTGTAGCTAATGAACGACTGGATAATGAACTATTGATACACAATATCTATTGTTGTTATATAACATCTAAACTGTTATATCATATGTAGTTTACAACCAAAATATGTAATAACAGGTTTATTGTAATAGAAAAAAATGCTTAAAAAAGTGATAATGAATTCCCAGAATTTCTATTATTGTTAATAATAATACTAATAATAATAATATTGAAAACTTAGTTATTTAAGTCCATATAACAATAAGTTGGAAAAAATCTTAAAATACTAATAAACATAAACACAAGCCTTATATAGTATTGTTGTTGTGATTTACTGTATTATGTAATCAGTTTCCGATTTGATGTCTAATGTTATATCACTTGTATTTTAATAACAATTTCCGATAAAATTATTTATAGACATATAGTTATAAATAGAAGTTTTTGCTATGAATTGATAAGTTTATAAATAAATAATAGTTTTTACTGTATCTGTTTAGTTTGAAACAAATGAACCATCATAAAAATACTCTAAATTATCAGTTAAATTATATTGAATAGTAATTACTAACAGTGTTAATGATTAACATTTTAAAAAAATATAATACCAAACTATGTTTAAATTTTCATAATCATTGTGACTCATGTTATTTAGATTGAAAATGTATTTAAATTTACAAACAAACAAATAATACATATTCTGTTACTTAAAATAGTATAATATTAATATTTTCGGAATCATTTAAATAATTCATTTACATTATTGCACTAAATTTAAGAAATTGTATTTCTTTACCCATTAAATGAGTGGTTTTTCATTTCCTTTATACACATTATGTAAATATTTTTAAAAATTTAATCTGAGTTGTAGTTTTAATATGTAAAATCTGTATAATATTAAAATTACTTTAATTAATTAAATTTAATACAAAAAACTATTTAAGTATAATGTGTCGATATACCATATTTGATATTAAGTTGTATATATTTATAATAATTCAAAATTTAGCATAAAAATTATAATGTTTAATATTTATATAATTGGGTTATATATATTTTTATTTTCATTAAAAATTGTTCAAACTAATCAAAAATGTTCAAAAGATCCAGGTGCTATAACAGGACTAAATCATACTGATATTATTATGAATGTTTGTTACATTATTAATTTTAATTAAATTCTATTATGATTTTTACTAGTTATTTATTTGATTTAAATATTTAAAAAACAGTTTAAATCAAATGCAACATTAATATCATGTAAATTTGTAAAATTTGACTTAATAACAAAAAACCATATTATCAAGGTAAAAATTATTTAAAGCAGCTAACATTATAAAATAAAATACAGTGAATTAAAAATATTATATAATTAATAATATTTGTAAAACAAATATTATTGCTATATTGTTACATTTTTATACATTATTACTATCAAAATATTTAATAATATATCTAATCAATAATATAATGACAAATAATATCATATTATTTTATAATATATTATGTAATTATCGTACGATTCATGTCTTATCATTAAATAAAATACAGTATAGCAACTAATTATATTGTGAACATAGTTGTGACGTTAATTACTATATTGCTAATTGTTAAACAGTATACATAGTGTTGGCAAAATGAGAAATTTATAAAATAATAGAGAAATTTCTAGAAAGTTTCTAAAAGAATTTCTATCCCTATGTTATTTTTGTTAATTTTGTTATCTCGATATTTGTTAACTTGTATCAATACATTGTTTTTTATAATTAATAATTAATAATTAATAATTAAATATTATTATTAGTATTTTAGTTATTAATTAAAGTAAAAAATTTATTTATTTAATTATTTTAAACTATGATATACATATAATTAAATGTTATAACAAAATTGATTATTATTAAATAATTATAAGTATTTTATATATAGGTATCCATTATAGTGTAGTATATTATTTAATAGTATATTATGTCTTATTAATAAATTATTATAATAGCTAATAACTTAGATATGGGGATCCCATAGTATAACAATTTAAATTTCTATAGAAATTTATTCTTGAGAAATTTTCTAGAAATTTTCTATTTGCCCATCTCTAAGTATACAATACTATTGAAATAAATTGTTATTAGACACATGCACTTAATGATAATTAAATTATAACATTTGATAACATTGCAATACTTATATTATTTTTTATAAATATAATTTTGTTAATAGTTTAAAGGTATTGGAGATTATGATAGTTCACTGAATATGATTCTGTATTCATGTGGTCACCACAGAAGTCCACTATTAGACTCATATACAGCTCAGGGAGAGTTTGATTGTTCAGACTTTATCAGTCTTCCCAAAGAATTGAAACCCTGTTTAACAAAATTCATGATTAATATTAATAATAAGGATTTGTGTAATGGACTAGAATTTAGGGATAATAGTGGTCTGACTATCGGTGCTGAAGACTCTAAATATTTTATATATTTTGTTCAACGATTGGATAACGATAGAGATAATAGTGAAAAAACTATGGGTACAAATAGTTAGTTTTTAAAATTAAAAATAATCTAAATTTTTATTTATATAACTATAAGGTTTGCGAGCATATCATACAAATATTAATACAATCAATAATGAGCTAGATCATATAATAGTTGGGGTGCATCCATCAATTTTTGGTGTACTCATACCACCAAAAACAACCAATTTTCTAAATGTGGGTCATTGTAGCTCTAAATGTTTTAATCAGGTTTTTATCGATTACATTAGATTTCAATTAATTTTATTTCCAATTAATTTTTAAGTTAGTGTTTGTTAATAATTGTTTTTTAAAGAAAATTCCTGAAAAAGGTTTGACTATTATGGGAGTACAGCCACACGTACACACATCGGGTATTATTTATTAAATATTATTATATAAATGAATTATACATTAATTTAAAAAAATAAAATATATAACTTAATAATCACAAGTTAGGCACTAAAATTAAAATTAGACACTTTCACGATAATAATGAATTGGATGTTATCTTATATGTCGATCATTATAATGAATCGACTAATAAATACTATAAACCCATACATAGAGTCCAGTTCAAGGAAAACGATACGCTATCAGTTGAATGTCTATTTAACAATGATTTGGATAATGAAACCAGAGTTACACTGGTTTGTCATCAATTATATGTTGATTATAAAATAAAATTTATAAATTAATCAAATTTGTTAGACAGGTAAATTTGATCATAATTATGGAGATATGTGTTATGCATACATTTATTATTATCCAAAAATCAATGTGACATCAAATATTTGTTCAAGTATGAATGATGAACAAACTATACTAGATATAGCCGACATCAATGAACTATCAGGGTAATAATATTATTAATTAATTAATATTGCATGAAAACGGGTTTAAAATTAGATTTTTATATTATTCATATAATATTTAGATACTGGAATAGCCCGGAGCCAATCATACGACGACCTATTTATCTAAATAATACACGACTTGAGGATCATTTGCGTAGAAAAATCTATTACAGGGATGACATCCAACAGTTGTTACGATTGTCCCCTAAAAGAATCCGATGCGATATTATTCCGCAAAAAACTGAGTCAAGTCATTTGGCATATATTAATTATCCTGATAGATTTGGTAAGGCCAAAATACCCCCCCCCCTAGGATCGAGATTTTGGGATTTTACCCCCCAGACTTTTTGACCAAATGGGAAAAATTGTCGCTCAAAAACGAGGAGAAATGACCGTTTTGAAGAAATTTTTTTGAAGTTTTTAAAAATTTTAATTTTAATTAAAACTATTTTAGTATGTGTTTTTATGTTTATTTAAATTTATACGAATCTAATTATGAATTAAAAATAAGTAAAAAAGTTAAAATAACGTTAATACTCATCTAAAAATAAAATAATTTTAATTAAAATATTAAACTAAAAAATTAAAAATTACCTATTTGTTGAAAAGAGTAACAATAATTCAATTTAAATATAAGTTTAAGATAGTTTAAGAAGTTAATAAAACAATAAATACTTATATTACAAGGATTTTATTAATATTTTTTCAAATTTTAACTAAAAAATTTAAAAAAAAAATTCAATTTTATAATTAGTATTCAGTCAGTATTTATATAAAAATAACATTAAAAATAAATATATATATCTATAAACTATAAACATAAAGTATTATTTAAAAAATTATTTATTTTAAAAGTTAAAAATTACTAAAATAATAAAAAACTTAGTCTATCATTAATGCTTTTATCAACTATTTTAAAGTATTAAATACATTATTATTTTTTTTGTTAAAATTTAAGTTTTTATTAATTTTTAAAATTTTTTTGTTAAAATTTAAGTTTTTTATTAATTTTTAAGTTTTTTTTAATTTTTTATTTTTATTTTGTATTTTTTAGAAATTTTACCTATTTTCCTGGGAATTTATACTGGAACTTGTGTGAACTTTATCTAATTTACATGGGAATATTCGGGGATTTAAGGGAATGTTAGGGAATTTTCTCTTGACCCCTCCCCCCTTGATTTTGGATTTTTGAAAAAATTGCCGTTTAAAAATGCAATAAATATCTTACCCCACCCAATACCCCCCCCCCCCAAGATTTTTCGAGAATTTTGTAAATTTTACCCCGCTCCCCCCCCCCCTAAAATCCAAAACCTTGCTTAACCCTGAAATTATTGTATTTTAATTGTTGAGCTAATATTAAATTTCTATAATTTATTGATTTTAACAAATTGTAAATAACCTATTTTTCTATTTGTTTATTTACTGTTTAATATTTTATTAATAATATTATATAAATATGATATTATATTTTAAAATATTGAAGTTATACATTATTAAGTTTAATTCTTTATTAAAATATAATATTAAATAATTATTACTTTTAATTTTAGATTTAATAAAAAATGACTAAATATAACAATTTAATTGTTTGAAATGTGAATAAATAAAATATAATACAATTAATTATTGTCTAATATATTTACTTTTCAAATACCATTATTATCAAGATAACACTTTAAGATAATAGTTCTGTTTGTATGCGTGCACATATCATCAACAACCATATTTTAATTCAAATCTAAAAATGTATTGTTATATTTTAGGTTTTTATTTAAAGTAATGTTATTTCTATGGGAATTTCTATGGATAATAACAGCTCAGGTAGGTTTTAGGGACAGGTAGGCAGGCGCTGTGTAATTACATTTTGCTATATTGTATGACTCACAGGGCACCGGGAGGATAGATACCTGTGCTAACTTTTTGTAAAATTTTTTCAAATGCAAAAATTTTTCTCAACAATGATAGAATTTTAAATTTTTATTGAAATTTTTAAATTTTATCAAAGCAATGTTATTTCTATGGGAAATTTTTAATGTTTGTATGACTCATATGGCACCGGGAGGCTAACTTTTTGTAATATTTTTTCAAATGCAAATTTTTTTCGCAAAAAAAGATTAAATTTCCAATTTTTATTAAAATTATTTAAATATATTTAAAAATTTCTTTAGTTTAGACAAATTAATGTCTATTGGTACTGTATTTTTGTTACATTAGGTTAAGTATTTTGATGTATAAAACAAATTAGGAAGCCATTCAAATTATTTATGATGAATATTTTAAAATTAGTAAAAGAATTACACAGCTATACATGATTTGCGGGACAAACTAGTATTTAGTAATCTTAAAAAAAATTAAAATAGTTACAATAAATTTTTAATGTGTGTTATACACATTTTTTTTATTTTTATCTTAATTTATATTTGATATAAACTTATAATATTAAATGTTTTCTTAATAAACAATTTATGTTGCAATAAAACAGGTAAATAAATAACTTTTAAAATATTTTTAAATATATAATATATTAAAGTAACACATATAATATAATTGGGTATACATACATATTGGGTATATAAACCCAATTGGCAAATAAAAACATTTATTGGTACAAATAATATTCATGAATATACAAATGGCAGTACTATTGAACTATATTGTAGATCAAGAAAAACTAATTACACTAAACTTAAATACATTAATATTTATAAAGATACATCACTGTTTGTTTCACTAAAAATTAATAATCATCAAAGTATAAATTTCATTATTCAAATAATATAGTATTGTTTTAAACTGAATTTTTATTGTATTTAATGAATTTATGAAAATATTTAATTTAAACTGATTTTATTTATAACGTCACTCAATTAGATGAGCAAATTGGTGCAGTTATCAGATTTAAAAACTACAAAATTAATAAATGTTTAAAAATTCAAATCATTAATAGCAGTGACATAACATCCGGGCTATATTGGTGTCAATACGATTATATTGATATTAATTATAATAAACGAATTGTGTACTCATCAGGAAAATTACTATACAATGAAAATACAAAAACTTATTTTCAACAAAAATTTAATACTACTCGAGGGTATAGAGCGTACAAATTTCAAATTTTTAATAATTTAAAAAATACTGATAATTGAATATTTATATATTTATACTATTGATTAATTTATTTAATTGAATAATATTATTGTTATTAAAGTATATAAGTTTATATCAAATATAATAAACATCCAAATTATTTAATTATTAAATTGATTGTACAAAAAGATAGCAATTGATATTAATATGACACCCATTGAAAGTGATATAGTATTGCATGTATTGTAGAGATATTGATACGTTGAGTTAGCTAAATAAGTTTGACCAGTAGTCAGATTTTGAAATGTAATCTGACATAAATAGTTGCCTGATGTTAATTTGGTAGTATTATTAATTTTAACATGCATCAATGGTGGTTGAATTTTACTGTTAATCCAGGTCAAATTACTTATTCCTCCAATCCTTGCTTGCGATCCTTAATTTTAAAAAAATATAATATAATGTAATAAATTAAAATATTAAATAATAATAATTTTTTAAATAAAATTATAAATGCTTAAAACTAACTGAATCCATTTTGATCAATAGTAGCAAATATTTTTCTATCTTTAATGAGTGCCAACCGTATGAGTCCTAAATGTTTGCCCGATTGTAGTTTTGATTCACAATATATGCTAACACTTGTATTAATACGAAATGTATGGGGAGTTACTTGAAAGTGAAAGGGTACTGAAATTGCAACAAAAATGTTATAAAATAATAATAATATATTTTGTTATTAATTTTGTAATTTTTATAATTTATATTTTTTGGCTAAAATGACTATTTTTACCGGTCAAGTGTGGTGTGTGATGACTGTGCGTCGGCTTAACAGTGATATTTAATTTACGCATATAATATCCACCGTTAAAGTAAACAACGCACTGATAGGATCCAGAAGTCGAGTGATTAGCGTTATGAATGTCCAAATGTCCAGGTCCTTTTTCTATTATTGAATGTATGCCAATAACTTTAGAAAATTTTGGATCTAAACAATTACCATAATTGAAAACATTTAATTTTGTTATCATTATTATTATGTTTTTACTATATTATTGAAATACAATGTGTTTTTTTTTGTAACACTTACTCGAAATGGTTTTGTTGTCGTAATGATAGAAAACTTGATAGTCTTTCATAATACTGAGTGAACTGAAAAATTCTTTGCCTTTTTTCAGTTTATAATCGCAACTCAATTCAAAATTCATAGGTATTGTTGATGTTTGAGTGGCTTTGAATTTGATGTGATCGCCAACACTGAAATCGCAAACCAGTGCGACAATAAATATTATAAAAATTAAAACAATATTTTTGTTGGTCATTATTGTTATTTTTTAGTGTATTATCAACTTTAAATAATTATTTTTGCGAAAATAAAATTTTAGTTAATTAATTTCAGTATCATTCTAACATTCACGCAATTTCTATAATACTTTAATTATGCATAGAATTGTATGTTTATTAGATATGTCGGTTAGATTAACACATTTTAACAAAAATAAATATAATGAATAAATAAATAAATGAAATACAATGATTATTTTTAAAAAACAATTAAAATTAAGTTAATATTCAAATCACTAATGTTTATATTATTTTGTCATTTGAATTATTAGTGTTGAATCAGAATGTAGTTGTTATTGTTATTAATTTTATTGCATAACGTAAATGAAATAATTATTAATATAATATCATATTAAATTATATTTCTCAATATTATGTGTTAATACAGGTATATATATATAGCATTAATTAAATAATAACGTTTAGATTTTTAAATGAGGTGTGGTTATATTAATTAAGTAGATTATAATAAGGTTTAATAGTTAGCTAAAATTAAATTAAAATAAAAATTAATCAAAAATATAAACCATTAATATACAGTATTAAAACAAAATAATAATATATTATTTGTTTTTATTAAATGTTTGTTATATTTTTAAAATAATAAAAATCAAAAATTATTTATATAGCTTTTAATTGAATATTTAGATTACTTTAGTCTAAATAAATAGTATTTTAATTTTTTTCAACAAAAATAATATAAAGTTTAGTGAAATGTGAGTAAACATCTAATTTACAAATAATTGAATAAATATAAGTAAAATTCTTCAGGATCAAAAGTCATATCAATTAATTACAATATTGTATTATTAGATTTTAAATATTAATGTTATAGTTTATTGTTTGTTTTTAAAATAAATTTATTAATAATATTATTTAATTGTTCTAAATATATCTAATTATAAAGTTTTATAACTTAAAGTTCTCCTATAATAAGAAAACTTTAAATAAATAAACAAATAATAATAGAAATTCATAATTTCTAAAATTTTGTCCTATTTTTTTATTAAAAAATAATTTACAGTAAAACAATGAGTAAATTACAAATAATTGTAACAATATTGGGATTTATTTTATTTATATGTGGTATAACTACGACCATCAGTCCAATAGCCGTACATTGCATTATACCCGGTGTCATACAAATATTAAATTCGTTTATAACAATACTAATAGAGTTACCGATAGCTCTTAAATGGCAAACTGGGACCCAATGTGTGTACCGGATGTTTGGAGGAAAGTTGTATTGGATTAAAATAGGTGTATATCAAGCATTTGCCACAATAACACTTATTATTAATATATTTCTATGCGCTTGTTTTGGTCCAATGTTTCTAATTGGCATTTCATTACAATTTATATTAACCTGGATATCAGCGATTGATAAATTTTTTTTATATTCAAATGAATATGATTTACATTAATTTTCAAACTATTGAAAATGTATTTATTTTTATTTAAGTATTATTATTAATATATACTGTAAGTTATACTTGAATTCTAATAAAACGATAAATATATTAAATAAATAATTTTTTAAATGTTATCTAAAGATTAAAAATACTTTTAATGACATCAGGCATAGTGTCGTGATATCGATGCCTTAAATTATATTGTAAACGGTATTCAACATAATATAAGTCTATTAAACTGTTGATTAAATTGAAAAATTTTTGTTCAGATTCACAACATGTGGCGTGTTTTAGATGTAAATATCTTTTTAATAAATATATGTAAATATTTTGTTCAGACCTTTAAAAATATTTTTAAAAATTATTAATTAAATTAAAAATGATTTGTATTGTAAAATAAAATTACTTGATTTTTTGTTTATCAATTAATCCCGGATGATCTGGATTGTATAATACTATTGCTGTCATCTAAATAAATATGAATATGAATTTTAATTTAATTAAGTAAATACTAATAAAAATACAATAAAAGTTTAATAATTTAATATAAATACAGACTATTGCTATAACATTGGTGTCATATCCCGACTCTTTGATTACTTTTTTAAGAAAATCTTTATATTTTGAGTTTAGTGGAAGTGGACCATTACCCGTCCAATTTTGGCGCCTAATAGCATCTAGCTTAACTTTTATTACACTATGATCATTCTATAAAGATAAAATACCAGTATAATTATAAATTGTGATTAAAAAAAAAACTAATAAATTTATTACTAAAACAATTTTCCAAGTTTCGTCTGTGTCATCAAAATATTGTGTGGATCTGAGCGCCAATATTTGTAAACTACTAAACCTAATGAGATTGGCTCTGTCATCGTCGCACAGTTGACTACAATTGATGAGTGTGTCAATCAATTTGACAATATTGACCAACTCATTGATGTTAAGTCGAGCCACAGAATTGGCAATTGTATCTAAAGTTGTCACTTCATGGGTATGTGTGAGGGCCAGTGTCTCAAACTTTTTGATTGTAACAAACAAATCGTTGAGTCGACACATTTCCTGTTCATTAAATTGTTGATTATAGTGTTTGACGGGTCCGGCAATCGGTATGACACTCATCTCGACCTCAACTAGTCGTGCAAATAGTTTGTCCCACAAATTGGACTGAGCTATTGCTCGGTCATAAGCATCGACTTCACGGTTTAGAAATTCATGAAATGTTGGACGAGTAGCTAATGCTAGACTTGTCGTTGTGACCGATGCTATGATTGATGATAGAGATTGTTGAGGTGATTGAAAATTTGTAAAACAATCATGCTCCAATTCACGTTTAATCTTGTTCATTTCTATTTTAAATTTACGCTCCTGTTTAGCACTAACAGTCCAAACAGCATCCTGGGGTCAATTGCACATAATATAAATAAATAGTTTATTAAAATTTCAATTTAAAGTGCATATACTTTATAATTTATAAACTAACCTTGTTCATTCCATACTCAAAACACTTTCTGAGTCTACATTGTGTACATAATCTCCTTTTATCGATGTCTATGACACAATTATCTTGATATTTACATTTTGGTGGTGTCTTTTATAAAGTAAACAATAGTTTTAGTTTTTTAATTAAATAATTTTTTTTTACAAAATGTTTGTCACTTTTAGAGCATTCCGCCTGAAAAAGGCTTTACACGATTCACATGTAAGCGCATTGAAATTATAACCTTTAAGTTAATAAATTGTAAAAATTAGTTATTTTTATTTTTTATTTAAAGTTTTAGTAAATATTGTTTACCAATTGCTCGATCACCACATATTACACACCGTTTGCCTTTGAATCGATCTGTCATTTTTTTAGACAAAATTTAATTAAAAATTTAAAAAAATAAATTAATGTTTATTTGTTATGTTTTGTAATTGTTATTTATAAATGTACTTTATATTATACACTTATCTATAAATTACAAACTTAAGTTTGATAAGATTCTAATATTTTATGCTTTTTAGGGAACTTTTATATGCTGACACCTATATTATTATATTAATTAGAGTAATTTAATAACATTTATAAATAATTTTAATAAAATTAACGTCATATTAATATAATTAACTTAAATAATCAATACTTAAATGTTTATATAAAAATTATCGTAATATTTCATTTTTATTACTAAAATAACATTATAATTAAAAAAACTTTTATTAATAACAGGGAATATATGAATATATTGGAATTTCTCAACTTAAAGTGATTACTTAAACTTAAATAATAAAAGTATCCATGACATTAAACTAAAGATTATTTTTTAAATGTTATATTGCAATAATAAAATTACATTGTGCAATTTTATTAGGAATAAAGTTTCAAATTATATGTATTATATTAATATTTAATAAATGTATAAAAACTATTTTTTACATAAAGTTAATTATCTAAATGTTTTATTAAAACTTATTTTTATATCTAATTTGTTTTATATTTATGTTAATGTTTTAAGAAATCTAATATTAATTGATTAATACTTCCAGGAAATCAATAAATAAAAATATAACTTTATATTTTCTACTATTATACAGTATATCTAGTAGATTTATAATAATGTCTATCATAATATGATAACTTGTCTAATGCATATATAAATATTTTAAATTTGAAATTATTTTAATTTTTTATCCTTATATTTTTTATTTTTGTTTAAAAATAATGATAATAAACTATTTTAGATTTTATTTAAGTTATTAATATCAGAGCATTAATTCAAATCTATCCAATTGTAATATTATATGATAATATGATTCTACTGTATTTAAAATAAATATAATGTATATAATTTTACTGTTTATTTTCAATCAATTTTCTTAACTTATTAAAATAATAAACATTTCAAAGTTAATTGTAAATATAAAATATTTATTTATATAACATTGAATATCGTGTTATATTGTAATTTTTTTCAAAATTTTCAATCAAAACAAAAAAAAAATAGTCAAATAAACTGTTAGTTTATAACAATTATGTATAAGAGCTGAATGTGTGACACTTGTGATCTGTTTTCTAAAAGACCTAAGTTTTGTGTGAAAACTCATATCAATTGTAAGTGAAATTAAAATTTTTATAATTTCAGTATAGTTTCGACTAATCTCACAATAAGTTGTATGTATTATATTGGCCGACAAATTGTCGTTTACTTAATAATAGTGTACTTACATTTAGTTATACTAATTGTGCAATATTTAAAAAATCATTATTTTATTAAATATCACATTTATTATCTTTATTATTTTACTAATAATAAAAAACAGTATCAATTAATACTGTATTATGTAATGTCTTGATAAAATTGTCATAGTTTTTTATGCTTTATGCTAAAATATTTTATGTTTATGACTACATTGTTACAAACATAATTTAAATAGATTTAGTTTACATTAAACTTATGCAAAATTAAATAAATGTTTTAAAAATTACTATTATTTGAAAAAAGTTTAAATTTGTTAATTTTAACAATCATATTTTATTTTTTCATATTAATTAAATATAATTTGGACATTCTAACAACTATACTAATATTATTAAATAATAAATTCTAATTTTAAAAAGTAATATTATGTTATTATAATTTACACAATAATTTAAATACAATATATCTTCAATAATATAAATCATTTACATATGATTTTGTCTGGACTTCAAATAAATCCGTTTATCATTACTATAAATATAGTAAACGTTTATTTATTAATATTAATCATTATAATTATTCATAATTAGTACTGTATTTACAAATAATGGCCATAAATATTGATTGGAGGGATGAGATACGTAAAAAATTAATTGAAATATTAAGTGATTCAATCAATGAATTGATACGTGTTTTGTGGTATTTGGATGAAGAAGATAAACAATATAAAGATGAAGATAGAGTACCACCCGTTTGGCAAACCTTAAGATCGGCCTCTAAATCATCGGACAATCTTTTCAAACAATATGTTTCTCGTATAGTGAAAGACACAGAAAGTGCAGAAAAAGATCCGGCTTTTAGACAATTCATGCAAACGACTTACTCGCATATGTTAGAGGCCTCCGAACAGCCCCCTCCCGATGGAGTCAACTATTGTCTAGACGTAAGCCGATTAACTAATATGAGTGTCGCTCAGAGATCAGGATTTATAGGTTTAGCACAAGCATGGAGTATGATTCCGATGGTCAGTCAAAAAGCTATCATAGAAACCATACCAAAGATAATAACCAATCGAATGGTAATTAATTCAATTGACGAAATGGTCAGTTTGGTCAACAAAACTGGAGGGACTGTTGTGATGGTAGCATTGGCTGCAATTAGTCTCGGAGCTGATGTTATTAATAATTTGAACCGTTGGTGGACCGGACAAATCACTGGCAAAAGATGTGCCAAAAATATTGTTGATTCAGCCACTACTATAGGCGCCGGAGTTGCTGGTGGTATGGGAGGTGCGGCCATTGGATCATTATTTGGGCCAATCGGTACACTTGTTGGTGGAATAGCTGGTGGTATACTATCGGCTCAGGGAGTTAGCTATTTGATTGATGGTTTAACTCAAAGAATATTTGGTGTTCCTAAAGATGAGGCACTAGAGAGAGCCTACAACTACTTTGGAGTTCACATAAAGGCATCAAATCATGAGATAAATCAATCGTTTAGACAAAAGTGTTTAACCCATCACCCGGACAGGGGTGGCAAACATGAGGACTTCCTATTTGTACAGTTACATATGGCTACTATTAAAATGTCACGGGGTGATTTATCTTAAATTAATATCATTTTTTTATATAAAACTATATTATTATTACTATTAATATCAATATATATTTTCTTATATAATATGTTTAATTTAAGAAAATTTATAATTAAATAATAATTATTTATAACATAACAAAAATTTCTAATAACGTAATTCATTGTAAGTTTTACTGTTATTCAATAAAATTAAATCCAATAAATTGTTTAAAACATGAAAATTAAAATAATATGATTTTATTGATGACAATTGAATTATAATTAGCCATGTCATTTTTGTTAACTAGATTATGTCATTATAGTTTATGGTTAACAATATTTAAATTTTATTTATAGTATAATAACTTAAATAATATTTTATGATATCATTTAATACAATAATTATTATTGTAATAAATATACTTTATTATTGATATCAATTGATATAAATATTTTTAAAAATTATTTAAGTTATTATGAATTATAAATTGTAAAAAAATGTTTAAAAGACTATTATTTTTAAGATAAAATTAAGTTTTAATTATAGACAACTTAAAGATGACAGGTAAGTTAGAAATCATAGATTATTTTAAAAAATAAAAATATAGCTATTGTTTATGTAGTTTAAAAAAATAATTACAATTACAATTGACAAACATATAATTTAGTTATTTAATTTTGTGATAAAATAATCACACATTAGAGTGTAAAATATAATCAATTAATGACCTAGTTGATTTTATAATTTACTAATACATATTACTATAGAGGAGACAGGGGTTAAAATAATCTGAAATAAACATCTGTCAGAAATAATATAATAAATTAAAATATATTATTTATAAATTTAATATTTTGAAATATATTTTATAAATTATATACTGTATAATACTGTATATTAATATTATTAGGATATGAAAAATAAGATTAGAATTGAGTGGGAATTTGAGCATGCTAGATTTTAAGTTTGTTAATATTAAAGTGATAACAAATGAGACTAAATTATACAATAAATATATAATTGATTTATAAAGTTTTATAATAATTTGTTTGAACACTTGTTTTAACTAAATAACTGTTGAAATAATAAAAATAATTAAATTTAAAAAAATGTTTCATAAATTTTTATTGATTTTACTTTTTACGCATAACTTACTGTTAGATCAATCGGTGGTCAACAGTCTGACGTTCGGTAATCTCACTATTAATGACCAGAAATCGGGAAACGATATCGAGTTGCGGTCGAATCACGCGAAAAAAGTGGACACTTTGGTTACCAGTTTTCTGAACGCCAACATTTCAGGAGTACAGAAAAGTAGCGCCAAATCGGCAAAAATTGCGTTTTCGCGCGACCCGAGCGGTCAAAATACATTTGCCATCGTTCAGGAAGTGGTTAACGACCAGAAGATATCTCATTATACTATACAATGGATTAATCCGACGCCTAATGAAGAATATTGCATACATTTGTCTGACCAGCACTGGTATACAACTTATGAAGAGAATGTCCAGCGCTGGCCAATTGACCAGACGGTCCACTTTAAATCGGCCGAACCGTTCTCAACCAATGACCAGTTTCACAATCCAATTGGCGGTATTCTTGAATACCTGTTCATCGGCTCCAATGGTTTTGCTCTATTCGTCGAATATACGGCACCATTGTTTGTCCGACGGGACAGCAATAACGGCAAACCATTGTTTTGTTTCTCCGGCGACTACAATAAGGGTCCCTATATTCACGCCATTGAGAAAAGTCGTGTCAAACTGACGTTTCATTTGGTGTCGGCCGACAACATAATGACTGTCTATAGATATGCGACCGACAAATGGATTCAGAAACCGGTCGGTTATCCCGACGAACGCATGATTACTTACCCGATATGGTAATAGCGCTTATTTAGTAGAAAAACTTATTATAGATGAGTTTACTTTTTTGTTAACCTCCCTGTGCTTATTATAGGTCAACGTGGGCTAAATATCACGCAGACATAACTCAAGACAAAGTGTTAGAGTTTGCCAAAGAGATAAAATCTCACGGCTTCTCCGGCAGTCAGATAGAAATCGACGACAAATGGGAAGCAAAATACGGCGACTTTACGTTTGATACGAAAAAGTTTGTGAATCCAAAACAAATGGTCGACCACTTGCACGCCGAAGGATTTCGTAGCACTTTATGGGTCTATCCGTTTGTCAATACCGACAGTCAAGTCTTCAAAACAGGTGAAAAATATTTTATAAAATCTCAAAACGGGTCGGTATTAGTGCAGGACTGGTGGGACGGTAAGGCAGCACACGTCGACTTTACCGACTACGACGCCCAACAATGGTATGTTCAACGGGTTAAGCAAATCCGTGAAACCACTGGAATTGACTCATTTAAGTTTGACGCGGGAGAGCTCGGGTGGGTTGGAAAAGACTTTAAGCTAAGCAACGAATGCATACAACAAACACCCGTCCAATTGACCGGTTTTTATGCTGAAACCGTCTCTGAGTTGGGAAATATGATCGAAACTAGAGTTGGCTATAAAACACAGCACTTACCGTTTTTTGTCCGAATGCTCGACAAACTGTCCGTTTGGGACTACAATGGCGGACTACAGACACTAATCCCGACAGCTCTTATGATGTCAATCGGTGGCTACTCTTTCGTGTTGCCCGATATGATCGGCGGCAACGCCTACGGAAACTTTCCTTCTAAAGAGCTGTACATCCGATGGCTTCAAGTAAACGCATTGATGCCAACCCTGCAGTTCTCGATCACGCCCTGGGATTTCAAAGAATCTTCCGACGAAGTCATAGCTATAACCAAAGCAATGCTCAAACTTCACGAACAGTATTCACCACTAATCATATCGTTGGCCAAAAATGCCGTCAAAACAGGCGAACCTATACTGCGACCGCTTTGGTGGGTGACTCCTGAAGACACCAACACTTTTGCTATCGACGATGAGTTCTTAGTCGGTAATGATCTGTTGGTAGCGCCGGTAACCCATGAAAAAGCCAGACAACGCAATATATATCTACCGGAAGGCCAATGGAAAGACCACAGAGGGGTTGTCCATAAAGGCGGTCAAACTTTACGAGACTTCAAAGCAGACTTAAATGAATTGCCATATTTTAATAGAGTTTAATACAATTCAATGAGTTTTGTTTTATTGATTTATTGTTTATAAATTAAAATAAATTCTGTTTATATAATATATATAAATTTATAATGAATTATTCAAATTACTACAATGTTATTAAGGGTTATTTCTTAAATATTTTGATTTATTTTGTTAAATTATGTTTTAGTTTATATAAAATTTTACTTATGACCTTATGAACCTTATGAAATATCGAAAGTTATCTGGTATATTTAGTATTAATAATTATAAATTTTTACTATAATACTAATAATAAAATGCATGAATATTAGTTGACATTGAAATTTATGTGTGATATTATTAAATAAAATTTATTACATAGTATACCGGTATTATACTAATATTTGTTTGATTTTTAATTTATATACTGTTATCTTATTAATGTTTTAAAATGACATTTTGTTAGTGAAATACTATAGTATTAACATTTATTATATAAATACCAGGCTTAAGCAAAGGAGTAGAGGGGTAAAACCAAAATATCCCTCCTAAGATCGAGATTTTGGGATCTGCTCCCACAGACCTTTTGACCAAATTGAAAAATCAAGGAGAAATGACACACATCCCATACCATCCCACCCCACCCCACCCCCCAATTTCGGCGGTGAAGGCGCCTAATTTTTTCAAGTTTATAAAAATTAAAATTTTATTTAGTATTATTGTTTTAATAACTTATTACTTATAACTTTGAATTATTATAACTAATTTAGTTAAAATCTAAATGTTTTAAATAATTTTATAAAATATTTTGATAAATAAGGGAATATTAACCTATTTTCTCCCATTTATATGGAAATTTTCGAGAATTTGAGGAATTTTAGGGAATTTCTCTTGGCCCCTCTCTTGATTTTGGATTTTTGAAAATTTGCTGTTTAAAAATGCAATAAAAATACACCCACCCTATACTCCACCCAAGATTTTTTCGAGATTTTGTGATTAGACACCAAACCCTAAAAACCAAAATCTTGTTTATCCCTAATAAATACATATAATGTTTATACTGTAATTTAAATAAAGTATGTTAGATAAAAATATTTTTAAATATAATTTATAAACATTTAAATAGTTTATTTTTTAAAATAATCATTTTTGGCTGATCCATTTATATGCAAATGTATCAATCATTAATTTTTTTTATTAAAATAAAAAAATAGTATTTTTGTCTCATATAAATTAATTAAATATTTTATAATAAATTTATAATTACTTTTATTTTTTCTATAAAATTCATTTTAATTATTCTACATTTTTATGAATTACTGAAAAATTTTAATAATATTTTTACATATGAATTGAATAAACTGTATGTTTGTACCTTAAAACAACAGTATACTTTTGCTATCTATTGAATATGAGTTCAAATATTGTATAATTTAAAACAGTAAATAACATAATAATTTAGTTAAATTTATCATAATCCTATCTACAAAAATTAAATCAACTATTTTTGAATAATTATAATAAAATACTTTAAATTAATAAGTGTTTAAAAATATATATATATAAAACCAGCTGAGAATGCTAGAAAGTATTTCCAGAAAAAAACTTGAATATCATATATAGGTTGATAACCATTATTTTGTAGTCCTAGCGGCTATTATAGTAACAATTTGAAAACTGATCAAACATACATAATAATTATAATCTATAAATTGTATCAATTTTTCAAAAATCATAGCTACTATACGGAAATGTCTTAAAATGATTACATAAATGATTGCCAATTGTTTGCTAATTATGTGGAAAAACAATTCAAATCATAATCAGTATTAAAAAAATACTCAAATTATTATAAAGTTTATAGTAACTTAGTTGTAACATTAATTTTATAATATATAATATACTATTAATATACTGAATTATAAAAATAGTATATTAGTAATTTTAGTAATATTAAATTTACTGATATATTATATTAGCTTACTAGAAAATTCTCATATTTGTTAATAATTATTTTTAAAAACTCAATATTTGTTATTTACATAAATATTAATATTTGCAGTTTTATAAATTACAATATTAAATTTTCTGTATAAAAATTTTAAAAATCATGTATTTTTTGTTGACAAAAAATTATGTACATATGGTTGACAGCATATTTATATAATGCAATTATTGACAAATAATAAAGTATCGTAAATACAGTCAAATGATATTTAAATTACTTTACAAAATATAAAATTTTTTAATAATATTATGTTTAATATTAAATTATATAATATTTAAGATTTATTTGTTTATCAACTGACTGTCAGTCTTTCGGGACAGTTATCCCACTGTTTGTTTGAGTCATTTCCAATGTTTGGTGCCATCGATGGCATCATTGTGTGTCTGATTTGAAAGTCTTGTTGAACCTTATTCTCCAAGTATTGCAAATCGACTAAAGTGTTCAACAAATTCAAAAATTTTCCGTTTGCTTCACATGTCGTATGATATTTGCGATGCAAATAACGTTTTAATAAATACATATAAATTTTTTGTTCCTGTCTTTATAAATATGTAATTAAAAATTAATTAAAGATTGATATTTTATTTTTAAAAATATATTTAATTTAATTTACTTAATTAGTTCTTTGTCTACGAGGTCATCATAATCCGGATTAAATAAAACAATAGCTGTCATCTAGTTATTAAATATGCATGGTTAATTAATAAATGTGAAAATAATGGAAATTTACTGTAAAACTTTCATTGTATAGTAACTTACAAGATCAAGTATACCATAATCGTTGTCCAATTCATATTTAAATCGTTTTAAATAGTCTTTAAATTGTGAGTACATTGTATGAGAATTACGGACGTCATCGAGTCTAAGCATAACAGTGTTGCGCTGATCCTAATTAGTAAATGTAAAAAAGTTAATTAATTTAATAAATTGATCAAATGTTTAGTTTTAAATATACCAGTTTAATATTCCAACTTTCCAAATTATTATCATAATAGGTAACCGATCGCATAGTATATATTTGAATGCATCCGCGTTTGATGAGCTTCTCCTGGTCCTGTTTGTTGATACTATTGAATCCGATTAACATTTTGGACAGTCGTATAATATTGCGAATCTCCTGAACACACTTTGAGTCCAACGCATAGATAATATCATCTTTAGTGAGTGTTTTACTGGCGGCGGCTGTCGATTGACTTTCAATAAGTTTGGTTGCGTTAAACAATTCATTCAAACGATTGCATTCCAACTCATTATAGGTTTGGGTAAAATCGTTAACCGGACGGGCAATGGGTATGACCGACAACTCAAGTTCGACAGCTTTCTGGTAGATAAGCGCCGAGAATCGGGTCAACTCGTACTGATAGGTCGGGTCGATAACCATTTGCTGTTTGGCCGGTCTCTGGTGTGTCTCAATGTCTGTGTCGCGCATCTCATCAAACGTACGTTTATTACGGTTGGACTCGATTTTCATGCGCCGACTTTCCTTTGCCTCGTCGTTCCAAATCCATTCCTATGTGAGGAACGGTAGATGACATAAGTTAGTAAGTCTACCTCTAATTTAATCTGTAGGTCAGCTCATTGTAAACTTTTAGTTTAACCCCGGGTTATGTCACTTACTTTTTTCATTCCACAATCCATACATTTTTTCAGTCGACAGGCGGCGCACATCCGTCTCATAACTAAATCGATGACACAATTGGATTGAAATTTGCATCGAGGGATCTGCTGCTCAGATATTCATACATACATTGTTAGTCAATAATAATATTATATTATATTAATTAAAAAAATTAAATCAAATTTAATAATTAATTCTAACAATTAATAATATACTGCTATATTGTATACAAAAAAAGTTTACATTTTAAGTGCAAAGTTTGATAGATGTCTCTCTAGTCATAAATGAACTGTAAATGCACTGTAAAAGTAACACTAAAGTACTTATAATATTAATAATAGACTATTACTTGTGATTAGAATTTATGTTCTATTGTTTTACTAAGTTTTTAAGTTAACTTTAAAAATAAATTATTATTTAATGTATTAATTTAATGATCAATTTGTTATATGTTTATATATAAAAAATTAATTTTTCAACAAAATTTATAAATAACATTTAAAGAGTTAGCAACTAATTTATAAAATTCACACAATTTATTATCTAAACTTATTGTTACATAAAGTCCTTAAATAAAAAGTATATAATTTCAAAAATATGTAATTTTTGTTGTTGTAAATGTATTATTGATAAATATAGTACTTTAAGTACACTAACATACAGTAGATTACATTAGAATATAGTAATCATCGATAAATAAAAAAATAATTATTCATAAATTTATTAATATAGTATTTACTAATTGTTAGTTATAAACATAATTAAATACTAAATATAAATTGTGATTAAAATTTATGTTGTATTGTTTTGCTAACTTTTAAATTAACTTTTAAAATATAATTATTAATTTATATTTAGAAACTTTTTAAGAAATAACTTACTTTTAGAGCATTTCGTCTGAAAAATGCTTTACACGACTCACACGTTAATGCATTAAAATTATAACCTTTTTATATGAAATGAAAAAAATAAGTCAAAGAAATTAAATAAGTAAATAAAAGATATAGTTTTTCATATCATATAAAACTTATAAACAAATAAGTAATTTATAGAGAAAAAAAATTTAGTTACCAGTTGCTTTATCACCGCAAACTACACAAAACTTATTGACCATGTTGCGAGACATTTATTTTTAGCAATTAGATTTAATTTATAATTATTAAATTTTACACACAAAAAACTAGTAACTAATAAAGTTTGAATAATAAATTATTATTATTATTAAAAAACACAGTTGTCAATACAAAAATGTGCAATGTAATTATAATTACAACAAAAAATAATAATAATAAACTTGATGTACTGTTTGCTGCTGTTGTTAATGTTGTTATGTGTTGTGTATTGAAATAAAAATGCACCCAAACTTTCTATATATGTTTGTGTATGATATGTACTCTAATGTTAATAAATGCTAAAAAGCACACAATTTTTTCTAATGTGTTGCACATATGAAATATGTACTCTAATATCGAATTGAATTACAAAAACAGTTACAAAATCCTTGACAACATTTATTACTCAGTAAATCGGTTTCTAAGACAACAAAATCATTACATAATATTCTCTCTCTCTCTCTCTCTCTCTCTCTCTCTCTCTCTGTTTGTGTGTGTGTTTATTATAGACTATTTGAGTTTAAAACAACTTATTTATCACATTAGTTTAAATTTAGATATTAATTAAAAATGATCAAATTATTGTTAATGAATGTTTGTATATTAAATAAAGATATATTACTATTAAGAAAAATATTTTATTAAACATATACAAGTATCTGTATATACCGTATACCATATATATGCTTTTTGAATATTATATTAAGTTCACTACATATTTTTTATCACTATATATATTATAATATAGTGATAAAAAATATGTATTGAATTTAATATAATATTCATAAAGCATTCATAATATATATATATCTCTTTCTTTCTTTTTTTTCTCTCTCTCTCTCTCTATTGAAAGCTGTTTTTTGAACTAAAAATATACTAATATAGATCACATATTGTATATTGCTTGATGAAATAATATTAAAAGTCTGTTATAATAAAAGTGCATTAAGTACTACCAGGACATATTTAATTAATTAATATAATGATTATAATGTTATTAACATTTATCAAAATAAAATTAACTTAGAATTATATATTTTCTAAAAATTAAATACAAATTTGTAATATATTTAAAATATTCTTAACTTTTGAATCATAAGTTATTGAAGTAATATAAATTAAATAATGTATACATTGGGTATAATATATACAATTTAATTAATAAATAATTTACATTAAAATTGCTATTATGTGATAATTGAGAATGTGATAAAAATTGATAGTTTTAAGATTTTGATAACTTTATTGTTGTTTTTATATCTATTATTCTGTATATTATACGTTTATTATCTTATTTATTGTTATTAAATTTAATGATTCATATTTGTGTTCACATTTAGTATTATTAAATATATTATTTTTAATAACTTTAATCATATCTTTTTTTTACAATAATAAATAATCTATTGTACTGTTATATATATTTTATTAAACAAATATAAAAAAGATAATCTAGATAAATTAAAAACAATAAAAAGAATATGGTAAACATTTTTATTTTTTTAATTCTGTACAATAGTTATATGTTTATATTTGTTTAATTTAATCATTATTAATATATTTAGATTCTTAAAAAAGATTAAAATAGAAATTTTTAGCTTTATATAAAACTTTATAAAAATACAAAATATTTGATACAATTTTGTTAAAATGTACAGAATATTTGATTAATTTACATTATTGATATATACTGTACATAAATATGTACAGTACTTGCATTTATTATGTAAACTATTGTATTGTAAACGTATATAAAACATATATCAATATTTAGTACTTCTATGTCTGCTTAAGTACGTTGTGTATAAAGTTTGATAACAAAAAATATATTTTAATCAAATATCAGAGTTATTAATATCAATAAAGTATATGTAATCTGTTTGTCATAAAAATGAAGTTGATATCTACCCAACGTACTTACTATTATACAGTATATTATATCTAATTATTAATAGTTGTAATAATTTTATTTAAAAAAGCATTAGTTTTATAAAAAATATTTTTTCTTAAAATTTAGGTTATATTTATAATAAATTATGAACTATAATCACTTTTTTAAATTTAATTATATATAGAATAGTAATCAATAAATTACTTAATTTCTTATTATAATTAAATTTATATATAGTAATTATTAATTAATAATTAAAAAAATAATATACTTTATTATCATATTAAATAATATAAACAGATGAGTTTATTATATTAAAAATTATTAAAAATATGTTATTAGACTATTACTATTTGAATAACAATATTTATTTCATATTATATGATTAATAAAATATAGCAATTGATTTATATAATGATTTAATTTTATTAAATATAGCATATATTTTAATATTGCCTTATTGATAAATTTAGTATATCATAACTTATACTAAAATTAATTTTCATCACTTTTATAATAAGCTTGATATCTAATAAATTAGTTTATAAAATGAGTTCATTTGTTATCAGAATAGAAATAAAAATATTATCAATAAATTGTGTATTAGTTGTTTGATAAGAGAACATATGAAATAAGATATAATATTTATTATTAAGTATTGTAAATAACAATTAATAACAATTGAAATTAAGTTATATTAAATTTATACATTGATATAATTTATAAGTCAATCATTTTATACAATGTACTGTATATTGTTCTAAATATATATATATTTTTAAAAATAAATCAAATAAAAAATAATTGATAAAGTACAAATATATGATTTTACAAAATTACAATAAATTACATTATTATTAAAAAATAACATTAATTAAAAATAGATAACAGTTTATATACAGATAATAATTTTGATATAAATATTAGATAAATAATAAATAATTTAAATGTTATTAATTAATATAATTTTAAATATTAATTTTTTGATAATCATTGTGTAAATATAGTTTTAAATTGAATACAGTATGTTATGATAATAAATTAATATTAGTTACAATGAAACTATGTACAAAATATTTTGAATGTACCGTAATATTATTGTATTATGATATAAGCATTGGGTCGTAGAGATAACAATATTTGTACTGTACTTTAATGTTATTTACGTGACAATTACAGTGTTTTATTATTTTTTAGCAAATTATTTTACAAAAACATAGTTATTTTAGATTATAATAATATATATATATATAAATACAATGTTTTTCATTGTTTATGAGGTGTTTGCAGATTATTTTTCATATTGAATGCATCGATAACTGAAAACATTATATTTATTATTATACTGAATGCCATTAAAAACTGTTTTGAGGTAACAAAAACAATAACATATTCAATTCAATTCAATTAAATATGTATTCAATAACAAAATATGAAAACAAATAATATCAAAATATATTGAAAAATACAAAAAACTATTTGTAAAGTCATCAACAAAAAAGCAATAGATAATACAATAAACATTTTACTAAATATAGTACTGTATATAATCCATGTTTTGTTATAATTTATATGTCTTTATAATTAGACAATTTTTATCATCAATTTTATTGCTATGTTTTTTTACCAATTGATAAGTTGTTAATAATTTTAAAATAATTTAAATAACATTTATTCTACAAAAAATAGTACAGTTATTGTATTTTTTAATGTGTCAAATATCAGAAACACATAAATAAATACAATTGACGTAAATAGGTTATCAGTTTATTGATAATATTATGGATTCTCATAATAAATATAATGTTGTATAAGCTTTAGTGATTAAAATATTTTCAAAAAAATATAAATTAAGTATTAAATTGCACTTTATATGTTAAATAAAATAACGTATATCTTATATTTGAGTTTTATTAATCAATAATTATAAAATATCAATTAGTATTACTATTTAGTATCTTAACTATTTTTATAATTGTAATATTTTTGAAAAATAAATTTTATTTTACTTATTATTTAATCTATAAAACTATAATTAATAGTAGTATAATAAATACAGTATAAAATAATAGATTAGCATAACTACAGTATTTTGTGATTGATTATCATTAAATTGTTTGATGAGTTAATACTCTGTCTAATTGTAAATCTTTACTATAAAAAGATGACTATTTCGATAGCTAAATAATCATTCAATTTTAATCATTAATTTATTAAAATAAATTGTCGTTTGATTTAAAATTATCTCTATTTCTAATATGTAGATATAATTTCCAATAAATAAAGTACAAATGTTTTTTTTTGTAAATTTTTATTACTTTACAAACTTTTATTACTTTAGTTAAAAACTAACTTTTAATTAATTTCTAATTTAAAGCTAGCTTTTAATTGTTATTTTTTGCTTTTTGATGAAAATTCTTATAAATAAAATTCTTATAATTGAAAAAATCTTATATAATTTTTAATTAAATTATCAAATTAGAAAAATGTCATATATTTATGATAACATAAAACAAAAACTATATTTATATAAGATTTTGAATGCCAATCAAATGTCAATAATATTCATAGATATTATAAAAGTAAAAAAATGTCCGATATAATGATATGTATTTTTGTATATAACAGCAATTTAATATAAAATTTATTATTATTACAACTGAGTTTAGCTGTATCAATTTGAATATATCAATTTAGTAGCAATAATTAAATAAAAATTATGATAATATATAAATTATTTAAATTTATTTTAATAATAATCTTTATAAATTCAATAACATGTAGTATATTAAACAAAATTGAAAGCAAATCATCAGTTGGCAATCAGTTTGGTTGTCATTATAATAATTGTTTCAAACAAACGGATGCAAACAAATTGAATGTACATTTGGTTGCCCACACTCACGATGATGTGGGTTGGCTTAAAACGGTTGACCAGTACTACTACGGGTCCAACTCAAGCATTCAAAGTGCGGGCGTTCAATACATATTAGATTCGGTAGTCGTAGCACTCGACCAGAACCCGGACCGTCGGTTTATTTACGTGGAGACAGCGTTTTTCTGGAAATGGTGGACACAACAGGACAATCATACCAAACAAACGGTCGTTAAATTGGTTAACAATGGTATAAATGATAGCAATTGCTTAAAGTATTTTTGTTGATATTAAATAAATTTGTGTCTGATTTATAGGACAATTGGAAATAATTAGCGGCGGTTGGAGTATGAATGATGAGGCGACCACTCACTACAGTGCCATCATTGACCAAATGACGTGGGGATTCAAACGGCTTCGGGATATGTTTGGCGAGCCGTGTGGTGTACCGAAAATCGGTTGGCATATCGACCCGTTTGGTCACAGCCGTGAAAATGCTTTACTGTTTGCAAAATTCAATTTCGACGGACTTTTCTTTTCGCGTATTGATTATGAAGACAGAGACAAGAGATCCGCTGATAAGACACTGGAAATGATTTGGCAAACAAGTGATGATCTCTCCAGAGAACAGTCAGACTTGTTTACCGGAGATATGTGGTTAGGATACGGTATGTATTATTGAAATAAATAAAAAATAATATTAATTGTTTTGTTTGTTTTCAGGAAATGTAACGGCTTTTTGTTGGGATCTAAACGGCTGTCGAAATGTCTTTAATTTGAATGAACCCATCATTGATGACCCGGAGTGTGAAGACTATAATGTCGATGATATGGTTAACAAGTTTGTCGACTATATGCTCAGTTACTCCAAATATTATGCCACAAATCATATGATGTTTCCGATGGGGGAAGACTTTATGTATCAGTCGGCCAATCCGTGGTTCAAAAATATGGATAAACTAATCAAATATGTAAATGAAAGACAAAACAAAATCAAAGTGTTTTATTCGACGCCAACCTGTTATCTGAAGAGTCTTCAAGAAACTAATCACACGTTTGTCACCAAAGAAGACGATTTTTTTCCTTACGCGTCAGATCCTCACTCCTATTGGACCGGATATTTCACTAGTCGTCCGGCGCTTAAACGATACGAAAGATCTGCCAATAATTTTCTACAAATTTGCAAACAGTTGGATGTTTTGAGTGCTGGTAACGGTTCCAATGCTAATAAGATAACAGCGCTTAGAGAATGGATGGGTGTTATGCAACATCACGATGCAGTGGCCGGCACTGAGAAACAACACGTGGCCGACAACTATGTACTGAAACTGTATAAAAGTGTTGAAAAATGCCAACAAGTAGTCAGTGAGTCATTGGCTAAACTGTTAATCAAACAACAATCGGCTCCCAAACTGCCGCAACAATTTTGTCAAACATTAAACGTAAGCGCCTGTCCCCTAACCGAATCGGACAACTCACTTGCAATTACTGTATACAATCCGACCGGCCATTCAATCAATCATACTATTAGGTTACCGGTGACTAATAAGATGTTTCAAGTGTTGGACTTTTCAGGTAAAACAGTTCAATCAGCAGTCGTTCCCATTCAAGAGGCTGTCCGTCGAATACCTGAAAGAGTCAGTAAAGCAAACGATGAGTTAGTATTTGAGGCCAAAATACCATCCCTTGGATTTTCTACTTATTTATTAAAACAAAATAGTGTTACATCAAAGTCTAAGACAGCAAATGTACGAAAGATTACCACAAGTTTTACACTAAAAGCCAAAAGTTTTGATGTAATGTTTGATAAATCAGGAAAATTATCGTCAATTAAACTGAAAAATGGACAGTTTGTTGATTTTAAACAACAATTCAAATATTATAAATCTAAATCTGGAAACAATACTAAACCTGAGTTGAGAGCATCGGGTGCTTATATATTCCGTCCGGAAGGGTCATCACTGGCATACAGCGATTACGATTTTGAGGCCAAACTAATCCAATCAGACAGTATTGCGGAAGTACATCAAAAAATCAATGCATACATAAGCCAAGTAATCAGAGTCTATCCAAACCGGGAGTTTATTGAGTTTGACTACGTGTGTGGACCCATACCAGTGAACGACAACATTGGTAAAGAAATCGTTGCATTTTTTCAGACAAACCTAACTACAAATGGCGTATTTTATACCGACTCTAATGGACGACAAATGATGAAACGGGTGCTCAACCAACGGCCCACTTGGAACCTAACGATAACTGAACCAGAATCAGGAAATTATTATCCCGTCAATAGCCGAATAGCCATTAAGGATGTGAAACAAAATGTTCAGATGACTGTCTTAAATGATAGGTCACAGGGAGGCAGTAGTCTTAAAGATGGTTCGGTTGAGCTGATGATCCACAGGAGAAACCTATTTGACGACAAGTTCGGTGTGAATGAACCGCTCAACGAACCGGGAACTGATGGCCAGGGATTAGTTATTAGAGGACAATTAAAATTAGTTGTATCTGATATCGAAACGGCTGCCGAACAGCACAGGGATTTAGCACAAAGACTATATATGGAGCCATTAATGGTATTTTCCAAATATGCATTTAGTGAGGAACAGTACTTCAAAAATTATAAAACTAGTTATTCAGCTCTTAATCAGGAGTTACCCAAAAATATTCATTTGCTTACTCTGGAAGACTGGACATCAGATAATGGGACAGTTGTTTTGCTTAGATTAGAGCACTTTTACCAGACAAATGAGTCGAAATCCATGTCCAAACCGGTTGATATTAATCTAAATAATTTATTTGTACCGTTTTTTATCAGCGAAGCAGTAGAGCAAACATTGGGTGCAAATCAAGATATTAGTGAAATGAAAAATAGATTGAAATTTAAGACAATAAATAAAAATGAGTTCATCGGTACTGAATTGAAACCAATTAATAAATTTGATAACAAAAACAATGATTTAATAATAAATTTGAAACCAATGGAAATCAAAACATTTCTTATCAAATTGAAAAACAAGTTTTCATAAAAATGTTATTAATTTTGAATATTTTGATTCATAAATAATTAAAATTATAATTAATTGATTTACATCGTATTTGAATTTTTAATTTGTACTACAATAAAGACTTATTTTGTGAAAAATTATTAAATCAAAAATATATTAAAAAAAATAACAAATTAAAATTTCTACTTTATTATATACAATAATATAAGAAAATAATTTATAAAAAACAAATACTAAAAAAATAATTAACCGCTTTTACAGTCAATGACTTCGCGTACCAACTCAGGCATATCGTCACGCGCTTTAATACGTGTTTTGATAGTATTAGCAATTTTGTTTAAATCGACTAACATGTTTAATGTGCGCAAAAATTTGCCGGTTGACAAATACGTGTCATAATATTTAATTTCTAAATAACGCTTTAATAAATACATGTATGTTAATTGTTGTAATCTACAAACAAAATGACAAATTATTATATATATTAGATTAAACGATAATTATTAATAATTACTTGACAGCTTCTCTATTGATAAGTCCAGGTGTATCCGGGTCATATAACACTATCGTTGTTAGCTATGTTATTTAAAAAATTAATTATTATATAAGTATGTACTTTAATATTATATATATTTAAAATTTGAATAATTTACCAGATCTATAATTACACTATCATTATCGATTTGATGTTTGAGCTGGCTAAAAAATTTGGCCATGTAGCATTGTTGACTTGTATAGATATTTAAATTTAGTTTAATAACATTATCATTCTAAAATAGAAAATAAAAATTAGCAAAAAAATTATTAAATAATTTATTTGTTAATTTTGATGATTATGACCAATCAAATTGAAAACATACCATCATTTTGACATTCCACCATTCATATTCAGTGCCCACATAATTGACCATGCGCAATTTATGTATGGCCATTGACTGTGACTTAACTAATGTATAGCTATCGGATTCAGTTATATTAGTATAGATTTTCAATTGCTTATAAAGTTGTATCAAATTTCTGATATCTTCTTCAAACGTGAGATCAAGTATACGATAGCATTGTTTTGCCGTAAATACACCGCAATTGAAATGACTTTCAAACAACTGATTGTTCATCACTTGTGCGGCAAATAATAGATGAGTGAATCGATTGCCTTCCGACTCGGTTAACGTATGTCGGGTATCACTAATAGGACGTCCAATTGTTAAGTTTGATGCGCCACTAATCTCCTCTGTATCAGTGATAGTGTTAGCCCTATTGAATGTTTTATATCTCCTTAAACTAGTTATATCATTACTAATAGTTGTGGTTGAGTCTATAGGTGCCGATATTGATCTGATGTTTTCGCTTACTAGTGATGTTTGGCCACAAACCGGATCAACCAATGAACTAACTGACATACCATTGATAGATAACATTGAAGTTTGCATTTCGACTACTTTATGTAGAACTGACTGATCAATGACTGTATCAATGCTACTGTTGCTGGCGTTGGAGTCATTCATATTAAATGAATAGGGATTCTGTAATTCATATGAAAGTAATACGGAATCCAAGTTTTCATCAATACTGTGATTGTATTGATCAGATGGTAATGATGACAATGGAGATGATACAGATGATGACACTGTTGTCGATGAGATTAGTTGACAGTCATCTTCTTGAGTAAAAATATTTTTCATCTTTAATCGGTTGATCTCGACTTTTGTCCGATGAATCTCTTTTGTCTCTTCAGTCCAAATACGCTCCTAAAATATTATAGTTTTAAAATTTTATTATTATATTTTCATTTCAATATATTGAAATTTATTATACAATTTGAAGTTATTTTTATTTTTAAATAAATATGTAAGTTATTCATATATATATGATATATAATTATTAATAGTATAAATTTTTTATAATATGAATAAATTTTATTCATAGAATTTAATTTAAATGAATAATAACTTATTATTAATAATAAGTATGAAAATATGAGAAATAGTATTTAAATTATTTTTATTGTTTGATAATACTGTAAATACGTTATAAACTATTGTATAACAAATATTGTATTGACAAAAGCGATTTTATTGCTTGAGAAATGTTGCAGGCTAATATTTATTTTAATTATATAAATTACAATATATATAATATATATCATTCATTGTCATGTATTGTCATTACTGTATTTTTTTAGTATTGATTAAATAATAATAATAAATAAAAAATCGATAGCTTTAAACCCATAAAACTTGATTATATTAGTAATAAATAAATAGATTTAGTAAAAACTAAAACAACAATAGTATTTAATAAAAAATATTATATATTATCTATGCTATTCATATTCATATATCATATACTATTCAATATGTAAATACTGTATTTATATATCGTATAATTTATTAAAATTTTTTAATTTAATTTAAGATTATCATAAATATTAATAATAAATTATCTAAATATTAATTTATGTAAAAATTTACAACCTTTATTAATTAAAATAAAAATAAATAATATAATAATTATTACCTTTTTCATACCCATTTCAAAACATTTATTTAGTCGACAAAAACCACATTTTCTGCGAGTTATTAGGTTTACAACACAATTGCCATAAAAATTACAATTTTTAATTCCCTGTTACAAAATATTTATTATTATTATTATTTAGTAATTATTTTATAATTAGTATATTTACATAATTATATAAATAAAATATAAATAATTTGAATAAAATATTCATGTTTTACACTTACTTTATAAGCATTTCGACGAAAAAATGCTTTACACGACTCGCACGTCTGGGCATTGAAATTGTTGCCTAAAATTATATAAATATAAACATATTGTTTGAAAAACTTTTTTCTTTATAAATACAGATTTATTTTGTAACAGTTTTTATTTTTTTAAAAAAAAACTGTGTATAACTTATTTATATTAATTAATTATAAAAATTGTACCTGTTGCTTTATCGCCACATATTACACAATTTGCATCCTTTTTGTTGCGTGACATTTATTTTTTAAAATAATTTATTTAGAAATAAATATAATATTTAACTATTTATTTTTTGAAAAAAAACAATAAATATACCACTGGTTGAATTTTTAGAATTATTAAATAATTAATATTGTATTTAGTAACCGATAGCAACACAATTAAACTACTAATGTATTAATAATAGAAAAATAATAAATTGAATGATAGCATCAAAATTTAATGAAAACACAAATTTTATAAAACTTAATACACACTGTATTACATACATATGATAACTCTCTAACACTTATCAAGTTTATTACTTACTGTATTAATATTATACACATACTGTACTTTCGTATCATTTTCATTACTAAATATATTGTGTTTCTATAGTAATGTAAAAAATTACTTATAAATATTCCCTAACATCTCTTAACTTAACTTTTGTGAAAGTGTAGCAAACGTATGAATTATACACTATTTTATAATATATAGGTATTAAATATAAAACAGTACACTATTGACACTTTAATTTACACTTTTTTTTAACAAACTTAATCTCTATGGTAACACTACTGAAGTATTTTATTAAAAAATATTAATTAAATGCACAGATAGTGTAAATATATATAACTACTGTTGTTATAATAATTTAATTAATGTATAAGGTAATAAAATATAATAGTGATTAAGTGAACAAGGATACTTGTTTTTTAATATTGAATAAATTATATATAAATAAATGTGACCTTGATATATTGAGATTACAGTTAAAAGTCTATTTAGGAAAAATAAAACATATGAATCTCTAAAATTCTGTTTTTTAAAAAACTCCAATTTTAATCTTATAAACATTTTATTATAAACACAAAAAACTATGATATTTACTATGTTTATAAACAAATATAATTAAACTTTCAATAGATTATAAATAATATTATATTTAAAAAAATATATATTTAATAATTGTTTAGATCAACATACACTTTAGTAACATTAATATAAATCACACAAAAAAATCTGCTATCAAAATGTAACTCACATTAAACTTACATAACTTTAATTAATAAAAATAAATTGCTTATTTTTTGCATTGTAATAATTAATTAAAAAATTAATGACAACATAAAAATAACAAAATATAGCAAAACAGTAATATTATTTTAAATTGAAATAAAAGTATAAAAAGTATAAATAAATAATATAAGTTAATTAAAATTATTATAAATTAAACAAAAAATAATTTATAACAAAATAGTGTAAAATTAATAATTTAAAGTAATTAACGACAAAATAATTCATTCTTCAAGAACTTCCTTAAGAAGTGGCGGCAAATCCATGCGATTCAATGTATTTTGTCGACAACGGGTCTCAACGTAATACAAATCAATCATTGAATTCAATAATCGGTTAAACTTTTCGTCCGCATATTGTTTATCCAAATATTTTATCATTAAATAACGTTTTAGTAAATATAGATAAACATGTTGTTGTAATCTTAATATATATTTATTTTGATATTATTATTATTATTTATTTAATATAATACTGTATTAATTATTTGAATACCTGATAATCATTTTGTTTTGTAGTCCCGGTCTATAAGGATTAAACAGTACTATAGCTGTCATCTATGATAATAATAGATATTTTAAATAAATTTTTAAATAATATTACATTTGAATTAATTATCTGTATATGATGTAAATATTTTCACTAATATAATACTGTATATATTTACTATATCAAGTATAATGTAATCTTGATCAATTTCCATAAATAAATTGTTGATATAGTCTCTGAAATCATTGTGTAAATGTGTTTCAGCAAACTTGACAAAATCCATGTGTAATATCATAGCATTATTGTTATTCTGTAATTAAAAGAAAAAATGACTTTTTGATTAAAAAACGATTTATAAATTTAATGGAAGTTTAGTCTAAATTACCAAATTTATAGTCCAATACTGGGAATCGTGATTATAATAGCAAATGGATCGCATCGTATGTATCTCTAGTGATCCATATTTTAGTAAAACAATTTGATCTTCGCTGGGAATGTCAATAAAACCGGTGATACTTTTGCACACTTTAGTCACATTTTGGATATCGTTTATCTTTAATGTGTCGATAGCGGCAAAAAACTCTTCCATCGAAACAATTTCACAGATATTTGTTGCGGCAATGATTTCCAGTTGTTTCGCAGCGCTCATCAATTCTCGGAAACGGTAGCCCTCGAGCTCATTGAACGTACGGCTATAGTCAGCGATATGACGGGTAACCGGTATAATACTGATACCCATTTTCAATGCACGCTTGTAGGTAGAGCTCTTGGATACACCATTCCTATCAATATCATTGTAAACATCAATGTTTTCCTCAAACATCTTATTTGTCAACTCATTGAATGATGATATGGACTCATTAGTGGATGAGCTCATTGGACAGTCATGTAATTGTGTAAATAAATGTCTGTATAATGGACTTGAAGACAATATACTTGAAGAGACGATATTTGATTGTTGTTTATTATTTCTAGTAATAATTGTATTATAAGGTGAACCATCAGTTTTCAATCGGCGCTTTTGTCTATTTTGTTCAATGAGTTGAACCCGTTTTGACCTGGCTTCTTTATTCAATATATGATCCTATAATACCGTATAATATAATTATATCATCATCAATATAATTATAAATAAGTTAATATAATAGTAATACTAATTTTAAATAATTTATAATCTAATGTTAAATAATCCATAAATATTATTAATAAATATTCAATAATTTATCAAAAGTACAGTATTTGCACTATTGGTTTTAGTATTGGTTTTGCAAAAATGTTTATAACTTGAATATAATAAATAAAATAAATAAAAAATTGAATAATATAAGACAATTCGTAAAGACATACTGTATGAGTATTTTCTAAATAGACATTGCTGCTTTAAAATGAAAAGTTTATTATATTTATTAATTTATAATAGATTATATTTTTAATATAAAAACACCTGTTATATTTTTAAAATAATGTATTTTAGTACCGTATATTATACAGTAAAGATATACAAATAGCTACAGGTATACTGTATACAGTTTATACTAATATAATGACTATTTATTATATGTTAAATAAAAAAGAGAAAAAATATTATACACTATATAAATATTAATAATATGATAAAATATTGATTACCTTTTTCATACCCATTGCCAAACACTTTTGTATCCGACATTTAGGACAACATTTACGAGTATTTATTTGAATCACACATTCATTGGTATCAAATTTACACTTTAAATCCTATAAAAAGTTTTAAAAATAAATTTATTATTAAAATTAATATTTAACTTATATTTGTTTTTTGTGTAAATAATTAAAATATAATTATACTTTGAAAGCATTGCGTCTAAAAAAGCATTTACACGATTCACACGTTAGGACATCAAAATTAAAACCTAAATTTAAATACTATATAAATATTGATAGGTATTTTAAAAATGTAAATATTTATAAATACCAATTGCTTTGTCTCCACAAACTACACATAGTTTTGATTCAAATTTGTTGTTCATTATATATAAAGTACACAAATAATTAAACAATAAAAATTAATAATCATAACAAATAACTTTAACAAAGTCAACTAATTAAAAATTTTATTTTGTTTTAAAACGATATTTCAAATAATAAGCATAATTGTACAGATTTTAAAAACTGATATATAACTTATGATAATATTATAAATAATAATATTAAACACAAAATAGAAAAAGGTTTATATGACATATAAATTTATAATAATATATAAATAGTATAACTGTATATTATTGTACGCATAGCTTAGTTACAATGTACCCAATTTGAAACAAATAGATTTTATACATAATATTACATATACTCTAAAATAAATAATAAAATAAATAATATATTACATAAATAATAGTATTTTTTAAATAAGAAAACAAACTTAAATCTATTATAAATAATTGTAAAAAATAAGTTTAGAGAAATAAATTAATAATTTAAAAATAATAACAATTGCGTTATAGCATCAAGGTTAATGATTATTATGTACTGAAAAATAAATGTATATACATGTATAATTTAAATTGTATATTCAATCTTTTTTAATTATATAGTATACGTTTAATTATATGTATGTATATTATAAGTATATATATGTAATATTTATAATATTAATGATTGTATTAAAATATTTTTAAAAATAGATTTATATATAAATAGATTTTGAATAATTTATAGTGAAATTATTATGGACAATTATTATAAGATAATTTTATAAATATTAATTTTATGTGTATAATCTAAATTTGATAGTGATATTAATAACTTTTATATTAACTATTAAGATGAGTTTATTTATATCATATTTATAAAAAACAAAATGTTTGTACTAATAGATTAAATACATTTGAGTTAACTCTAATAGTTTGATCTTTACATTTAATAAAAATCAGTTTTTTAAAATTAATTATTATATTTATAATATCATGAAAGAGATACAAGATTTTAGAAAATTAATTTTCTTAAATAATATAAAAGATATTTATTATACCCAAATTGCAAATTAATGATAAAACACAATTTACAAATGATAAACATCAATGATAATAATATGACAACTGTTTTAAAGAAAAAAATCAATTTATGGTCCAAATTATATGTTATTTACTATTTATATTATTTTATAGCTTCTAACAAAATTTTAAAGAAAATTAATATATCAGTTAAATAAGTAAATAGTAAATAAAAAATTTAATGTAAATGCATTATACACTTTACGTAAACAACACCAAAACATCTTGTTTTATGACTATTTTATTATTTATATTGTTATTACTAATATTATTAGTAATTTTAAGAAATAACATTTATTAGAACAATAAATAAAATTAATAGTGAAAAAAACTTAATTTTAATTTATATTTCATGAGATTTAAATATTGGAAATGTGTGTCAAATATATTATACAGTATATATAAAACATGATGATTAAAACAAATGATTATCAGTATTATTAATTGAAAATTATATATTAAGTTATTTGAACTTGAACATTTGATACTTTATAATGTATATTAAATTTAAAAAATATATTTTCAATGCAATATAATATACAGTTTGTGATGAATGTAATTATTATAAATTAAGTACTAAATACTAAGTATCTATTGATTATTCTTATACAATATGCTAAACTAACAATTTTAATACATTTTAAAAATATAATAAACATTTATAACAATTTTTTTATAATTATAAATTATAGTAACAAATTAATAGTTAAAAATTAAAAACTTGAATTTATTGTTTTACTCGACAATAATTTCATGTATAAGCGCCGGTAGAGTTGGCCGACTCATTGACGACTCCTTATAGCGTTTGTCGTAAAAATTCAGATCAAGTAAAGTGTTTATTAATTGCAGATATCGTTTACTGGACTCACAATCGTTTTGATATTTCATTGTTAGATAACGTTTCAATAAATGCATATAAACTTTCTGCTCTAATCTGAATATAAAAACAATTTTATTTAAAATATTAAGACATTTATATATTTATATTTAATTCAACTTAATTTAGAGAAATACAGTATATTTTAATAAATTTATGTTTACTTAATAGTTTCCTGATGTTTCAGATTTGGACGATTTGGATTAAATAATATAATAACAGTTATCTAAATAGAAATAAAAATGTTTTTACAATCATTTATATGATAAATAATGTTAATTAATATAATATTTATTTAATATTATTTAATTATAGTAAATATTTACCAAATTCAGTATATTATCATCCATGTCGTATAGTCTGTATAAACTATTAAGAAATAGTTTAAAATTATTATAGAGATCACAACCAAATTGTTTTAATAAAGTCAATTGCAAAACTGTTGTATTATTTTCATCCTAAAAATAAAAAATAGTAAATATTAAATAATTAAAAATTAAATATAACTGTATTAGCAGTTTATGTTATTTTTTACTTACAATAGCAATATTGAAGGCTTCATTTTGATAGTCATAATAGGAAATGGATCGCAATGTATGTATTTCTAATGCCCCATATTTAATTAAAATCAATTGATCATGGTCACATTGTTGTCGAAATACAGCCAAACCTTTCAACAATTTTACACAGTTTTTGATATCATTGATGCGCTGGACATCAATGGCGTACATAAAATCTTCAACTGATTGCACTTGTGATGTGATCGGAGTTTTGTTAACAAACATAACATTTGAGGCAATCATTAGTTCAGTAAAACGTTTGTACTCTAACTCATTGAACTGACTGTTATAATCGTATAATGATTTTGGTATTGTATTGATATATGGATTAACATTATTAGAGTTATCCATATCATTGAATATTGTGTTAAAATAAAATAACGATTCATTTGATTGATAATTATATTGAAAATTAGAATTATTCCAATAATTATTATTACTATTATTAGTTGAATCGCAACTAACTATTGATTGTTTAGAGCATGTACTACATGTAGAAGTATCACTATCATAATTAATCATACGATCGTATCTATTAAATAATTGATCATCAAATTGACCATGGACATAAGACTTCATTTTACGATTTTGTTCAATCAATGCCATTCTCTTTGATCTAGCTTCATTGTTCAATATTAGCTCCTAGATCAAATTAATAATAATATTATAATCATAATACTATATCGAAATATGATATTATTATTATTATTATTATTATTATTACTTAAAATAAAATATGTTTACCTTTTTCATGCCTTTAGAAAAACATTTGTTTAGTCGACATTTAGCGCAAGCTTTACGAGTGTTTATCTTAATCATACAGTTATTACTACCAAATTTACACTCCAATTCCTTTAAAAAAAATTAAAGAATTTTATAGCTATTTAAAAAAAAATAATTTTTATTAATTACCTTAAATGCATTTCGTCTGAAAAAACATTTACAAGATTCACACGTTAATACATCAAAGTTTAGACCTAATAGTTTAAAGTATAATAATTTAATAGTTTTTATTTTATTTGATTAATAATAATGATTTCAATTACCAATTCCTTTATCGCCACAAACTTCACATATTTTAACTTCACTTTTATTATTATAAGACATGTTTTGATAATACTTAACAATAATATTTTGAAAAATTATGATAAATATTTATGAAATAAATATCAAAATATTAAAATAAAGCAATCTATAAAAATTGAATTAATTTATAAATATTCTAAAATTAATAAATTTTTTATTTTTAATTAAATTTGCTTTTATATTTTTTGGATAAAACTAGAGATTTAATAATAATAATAAAATCGGCAATTTTTTATTTTTAATAAACTAGTCAAAACTTGTCAAGGTTATTTAATTTTAATGCAATTTACCTGTTTTTGTGTTTATATAATAAAACAACACATTATATATTTCCACATACAATATAAGCTTAATTGTTAATAATATTTAATGGTTTATTTTATTAACTAACGTCATTTTGCACTACAGTATATAATATAATAAATATTTAATATTATTATAACTTTAATATGAAAAGTTTTGATTATCTTATTGAAAATAATTGATACTTTTTTTATTATAATAATAAAATGCTCCAATACAACAATTGATTATTGGACTATAAATACATTAAACATAAACATTGATTATTATTATTATTGTGTAATAGTTATTGTTAGAGTACGTTCTGATGTTCGACCTTGATACTTTACTTTTGGCAAAATTTACTGCTAATACTAAAAATAACATCAAGTTTTTTATTGAGTTGTGCTAATGCGCAAAATGACGGGTTATTTAAATATATTAAAATTATTTCTTTATAAATTGAAATCTATTCTTTAGAAAAGATTAATATTGATTAATAGGTTTACTAATTGTAATAAATAAAAACAAAAAATGGGTAAAACTGATTAAAAAATAGAAAAAAATTAAAAGGCATTTAAAATTGCAATAAATTTGTTTAAAGATATATAAAAATAACTAATTTTAAGAAAATTGAATAAAATGAATAATTTTATTTTTTAAATAGTTTTTTTGCTACAATTTCTCAAAATAATTTTCCAAATCTTTGATTGACAGATAAAGTATATTTTCACTTTAATATTAATGAGAAGTGTATGAAAAATTTTATAATTAAATAAATAATTTTTTTGCATTTTATCTAAATTTAATGCCATAATAATAATAATAATAATAAAATTAATAATAATAAAAATATATGTAAAAATGGAATTAATGCTTATAGTTATAATATTTTAACAAACAGTAAAAATATTATAATCGTTGAAAATATATTATTGCAACAAATATTTAATAAATATAGTCAATAGCTAATTTTAAAATTATTTAAGCAGATAACTAACTATTTTAAGCTCATTTTAAACTATGTATAACTTAATTTTGATGAAATTAATTTGAAATATTATCATTATAATTTATAGTACTCTAATTGCTAAATAAAAATTAATTTAATTTTAATGGTTCAGACAAAAAAATGTTTATCTATTTGTAAAATATAAATAAATAAATATTTTTCTAGCTTTTAGTAAATATTTTATTGAATATTATGAAATTTATATTAAATATATTTTATGAACTACTAATGACACAGGAGTTAGCTCTCAAAACACATATCTATAAAAACATGGAATATTTTAATATAAATATTATTTTTAATTATATACTTTAATAACATAAGTTATAACATTTATGATACTTTCTTTAATTTTTTTATTGATTTATTTATATCAAAACAATAATGTACAATATTTAACATACGGTATATGTAACTTTACATTGAAAAATAAATATAAATATACTGTATGGTCATAATTATTAGCATAAATATAAATATGCAGTAAATTATTTTAAACAAATACATTTTACTCTAATAAATTTTATATATTGCTTAATTAAATGTTACTAATACTGCTGTATATCTCAAATGTTAAACATAACTTTATAAATATATAATTAAAGATCACAAAACTAAATTAATTAGAAACTAAAAGTTCATAAATATGTTGTTCATAAATAATAAATTGCATAATAAATTAATGTACAATAATTTTATATTGTTAAGCAAAAATAATTGACATTTTATTGATGTACTAAAAACGAACTTTTCTTTAATTGAATGTTTATAATAAATATGTTTAAAGAGGTATAAAAGATAACTAATTTTAAGAAAATTTAACAAAATATAATTAAATAATTTAATAGATTTTTAATCAATATTCTATTGATTTAAAATAAAAAATGTATTGTTTATTATTTGTAACATTTATAGCAGCATTTAATTTGAGTGTTCGCTGCGATTATCCAATTGAAGATTATTTGGCGGTCAAAAACTCGAGAGATTTTACCGGAAAAGTAGTTTTGGTTACGGGATCTAACTCTGGTATAGGCGCCGGTATTGTCAAACTGTTTTCAATACTCGGTGCTAGTGTTGTGGTCACCGGTAGAAATGCCTCGCGGGTAGTAAGCGTTGCCCGTGAAGTACAACATTTGTCACCAAAAAAATTAAAGGTATGTCTAATTAAAAACAATTATACAATTGATTTATAAAAGTATATTATATTATATTTATAGCCTCTGGAAGTAGTGGCTGATCTAACAAAACAAAGTCAACTCAAACATCTGGTTAGAGCTACTATAGAACGGTTCGGTAAATTGGATGTATTGGTTAACAACGCGGCCATAATGTTTCCGATGACCACTATTACCGACGACTCATTAATGCGAGATTGGGACCTAATATTTAACACAAATCTCAGAGCTATTGTTGAGCTCATACACGAAGCTTTGCCTTATTTAGTAAAAACTAATGGCACTATAATCAACATATCAAGTGATGACGGAGTGGGACCGGTATTTATAAAAATAATTTCTAATATTGATATTTTATTAATTATTATTATAACTTTTCATATGTAGACACCACCACAATTAGCATACAGTACTGCCAAATACGGTCTAAATATGTTAACTAGAAATATAGCACTCGAGTTGGGCTCTAAGGGAATTCGTGTTAATAATGTTATGTAAGCAAACATACTGTAATGTTAATAATATAGTAATTAATCAATAATTATATATATATTTGATTTATATATCAAAATAAATCACATAACAGACCCGGTGGTACCCAAACTGAAAACACGTCCAAATTGCCGGGTGTTTTGGATTACTTTGCAAATCATGCGCCACTCAAACGTGTTGGACAGCCATTAGATATCGCCAAAGCCGTAATATTTTTTGCCTCAAGTGATGCTAAATATATAACAGCTGCCGATCTCATAGTAGACGGTGGTATTCAATATAATTGGCCGGCATATCTCGATGGACTTAATGTTACTAAACATACTAATTAAATAGTCTATATTTAAATAATATTGATGTAAAAATGTATTTTAGTTAAACTAATAAAAATGATGAGCAATTAAAATTATTTTAAAATTTTAATTATAAATTATAATATATAACATATATTATCAACAATTAGTATCTAAACATTTTATGTTTCATTTTTATATTTAAGAATTACGTAATGATATTAGGTTTTTAAAACTAAAACAATAATAAAGTATATTACAAAATAATAAATAATTTTTTGCAAACTTATAATAATATAAAATTACTGTATTACAGATTAACTATATTAAGGTAATATTGAATTATAATTGATAGATATATTGTATTTTTATTTTCTAAATCAATTTTTTAATTAAAAATTTGTAAGTTACTGTTATTTTTTAATTTTATATAAATAAATTTTAAAATATCTATTAAAGTTATTAAAAAATAAATAGTAGTTTTATTTTAAAACATAAATTGTTTAATTCTGGCTGTAATTCATTCATAATACTATAAAATACAAAACTAAATCTTAATGAAGTATAAAAAATTAATTATAAGTAAATATTGTTATGTTCATTAAATAAACGCATTTTTAAAAATTTATTATTTTTTCAAAAAATATATGATTGGTTTAGAATAATTAGTGTTTACAAAAATATATCATAATATAAAATACTGTAATTAAAATATCTATAATTATAAATCAATTACAAATTAATAAATATAATTAAATATAGTTTAAAAATGTGTTTAGTGATTAAGAAAAACAATATATCAGTCAAATATAAAAATTGTTTTCATAGAAGTGTTAACAGATATTTTGAAGAAAAGTTTGAATACATATACAGTACTTTATTTAATAAAGTCTATTGTATAGTACAGTACTATACTGTACTGATGTTGTGATCTCATGATGTCGCAAAAAATAGCAAATTTTAAATTTGATTTTATTAAAAAGTTAATTTTAAATAATCAATGATATAATATCTATTAACTTCAATAACATCTTAAAATTTATTCAGCAATTTTTCAAATTTTTCGGCCAGCAACTTTTTCTGTTATAAATCGAAAAACTCTTCGTTTCCCATTTTGACTTCTTCTCGATTTTCGATTTATTTGCCGCCTAGGAAGTGTTACATTGATCGAAACAAATACTAATCTGACAAAGCAATATCTGGTCAATACAATGATTCATCAACGGTTTTAATACATCATATAAATCCGTCAAATTTTAATTGTAAACAAAATATTGGCAAATTTTTATCAACTTTGCCTATTGTTTAGGAGTGAAATCATAAAGTAATTAACTTAATTACAAATATCCTATGACAATTTAGACTAAATTCCTTTTAATAGTTTATATATCATAGCCGGATATTAATCGAATTTATTTTTAGAAAAACTTAAGATTTATCACCACTAATAGTTTTTATTTTTCGTTTTGAATCTTTGATGATTTTCCCGCGCTTTATTGTTTCCCACGTCAACACCGTTTTCTTTTCACAACTTTCATTAAAGGTGACTAATCATTTTATTAACGGCTTTAAGATAGACATCACTAATATTTATTACCGCCATCGATGGATTAGTTTTGGGACAATATTCAAATTTTATCACAAATCTTATCTGAATGTCATGAGAGTTTAAGCAGTGTAACGGATCCATTTAAAGTGATATAACAAATATTTCTTAGCATACTTAAAGACCAATAATCTATGTTATATTTTATCAAAAAATAAATTTAAAAACATTGCTAGGACTATTACAAAAATAAAATTACTTTTAAAAATATTTTATGCGACAAGAAGAGATCACACTATCAGTATATTATATTACTAAATAATAATGAGTATTATATCAATGTTTTAGGTATATGTCATAAACAAGGCTTATAATAAAAATTATTAATTATAGACATTGAAATCAAACTGTACTCAAAACGAACTTTTTTGATCATATAAATAATACCCAAAAAACAATCATGTTCAATCAGTTAAAATTTAAACAAGATACATTACTGTACAAAATTTAACTAAAAAACTATTAATAGTAATAAAAATTGTATAATAATTTTTGTTAATACAATGAATTGCATGAATTTATTTTGTTATGCAATAATGCTTACATTATATGCTGGCATTCAATGCGATTATCCGATCGCCGATTATTTAGCCGTCAAAAATGCCAGAGATTTTACTGGAAAAGTAGTTTTGGTTACGGGATCTAACTCTGGTATTGGCGCCGGTATTGTCAAACTTTTTTCAATACTGGGAGCCAATGTTGTGGTCACCGGTAGAAATATATCCCGTTTACAGAGTGTCGCTCAAGAAATACAACAATTATCGCCTAAAAAGTTGAAGGTATTTATAATATTAATATTGAAATAAAATAAATAAAAATTTTTTATAAAAATATCAAATTTATAAATTATTTAATTACTTAACACAGCCCTTACAAGTGGTGGCCGATCTCACCAAAGATGCAGATATTAAAAGTTTGTTACAAAAAACAATACAAACATTTGGAAAGTTAGATGTATTGGTCAACAATGCGGCCATTTATCCGGTGAACTCTATCTTCGATAAAGATCTTATGAATAGTTGGGATGATATCTTCAATACTGATTTGCGAGCTATGGTTAATCTAATCCATGAGTCGGTTCCATATCTGGAAAAAACTAACGGCACTATTATCAGTATATCTAGTATTACCGGTTATGTGCCAACAGCCCCGTGGTTGGCCTACAGTACAGTGAAAGCGGCTGTCAATATGTTGAGCCGAAATCTGGCGCTTGAATTGGGACCGAAAGGCATTCGCGTTAATACTATTAAGTAAATGTTATTTTCATTTATTAGTTTAATAATTATGTACTTATTTTTGTAACGAAACAGATTAATTTAATCTAAATTAATAATTATTATTTATATTTATCATATAACATATATTCAATGTATTTATAAATAATCAATATTTAATGTAAAGGACTGACTGTCTATATAGCATTGCTATATAGTATTATATAGCAAAGCACTAGTCTTCCCGTTACCCATAGCAACTCATCCAGAGCATCACTTAGTAAATAGAAAACACTATTTATTCAACTATTGATTAACATTACCTCACTGGCTTAGTGGTTAGCGTTTCACATAGTGAAGCGTAATACCGGAGTTCGCGTCTCCCTTGAGTTTAGAATTTTAAACTAATTTATTTAAATTAAATAAATTAGTAAATATGAAACAAATTATTATTTTTAGTCTTTTAAAATGTCCTCTTTAATACTTTTGAATCTTAGCTCAATAGCTCAACTAATTAAGAAGTTATTAATGTTTTCTTAACTTTTTGCTAAGTTTTAGTTTTACTTTTCTCTGATTGGTCTAAAGTTTATAGAGTACTAAATCACTTTCCAATTCACATACTATTACTTTCTGATTGGCTCATAACATAGAAAATAGGGGAAAAGTTAATTACCTTTCGAAAATTACCGTATAAAACAGTATATATTTTACTGACACTGCAATTGATTCCGACCCCCCTCTGAAGCAGCCCCTCAGAACAATTATACCCGAACACCTATCTAATTAGTGGACTCCGCCGCTTGTATATAAGTAGCATACCATCAGTGGTATCTTCAGATGAGTTCTGGACTTCAGTTAGGAATTAAGAACCTAATTAGGTAGTGAGTCTGCTACCGGCTGAAGTCACTCCACCCCTCTAGCTCCCCTATGGCTCAGTATGCCGATACAGTATGTAGTACTGCCCCTCACGAGTAACACATAGTACATTAGTACTATGTAATGTACTCACAGAGGTATCAATAGTACACAATATACTGTAACACTAGACAGTCTATCCTATGTGCTGTTGACCGTGTCGGACCAACAGTAATTGGTACTCTGTATTTCCCATAATAATAATAAAGTATTTATTCATATACATATGTGTGTGTAATTATTTCATCGGACACTCATCGTATCGTTAGACGGCCTAACATCACTCATCACTCGGAGTCAACTCTACATATTGGCTTCTAAACGGATCGATCAACTCAAGACCCGTCACATTTTAATTTACTTTTATTGATAGTCCCGGTGCTACTGATGTCGAGCGCACTACCGGCCAGTTTCCAGAAATGATGAAATTTGCCGCTTCTAAGACTCCATTGAAACGAAACGGAGAGCCACTCGATGTCGCCAAAGGTGTAGTGTTTTTGGCCTCAACTGATGCATCCTATATAACGGCCGCTAATCTGATCATCGACGGCGGTGTTATGTATAATTGGCCGGCATATATGAATTAATCATATTTTCGACTTTCAATAAAAACTAATTTTCCAATATTAATAAAATGTCTAATAATTTATTATTTGAAAAAACTAAACTATTAATATTAACAAAAGTGTGATATTAATATTTAAATAATAAAATATTTAATTTATTAAAACAGTATAGTATTAATAAAGTATAGTTAATTACAATGATATACAATATTTTAATAAATATGAGATATATGTTTCTCATAAAACAAAAATTTTTAAATTATCATTTTATTATTTTAATTATCACATTATAATAATTTCAAAAAAATCATTTGCTAAGCAATTTCAAAATCAAATAAAGAAAAACTGTTGAGCAATAAATAAATTTAAAACAATTTTAAGCAAATAATTGATTAAATCATATGAACATCTCAATAGGGAACAGTAATTTTGTAGGTCTGGGACACAATAGCTCGTCCACCACTATAGTTAACCTGACACCTGTATGAACCAGACGTAGTTTTGTTGGCATTATTGATCGATATATATCCCGGAGATCTCCTAATTATTTGTTGTATTCCCGGTCGTGGATAGAAACGTGGATCTGGCGTTTATTTTATATTAAAAAAAATTAATTTTTTAATTATTATATCACTAATTAATTATAATCTCTAATACATACTTCCGATAGTGTAGTTGTCGTACGAATAGAAGATAGTATTGTTAACAATAAGACTGAGACTTGAGAACCATTCGGACCGACGATTCAAAGTGTAGTTACATTTGAGGTCAAAATTTTTATATATAGTAGACGTACGCCAAGCGCTGAAGTTTATGGTCGCACAGTTGTACGCATAGATCGTACATATAATGACCAAACACGACACCACAGTTGACTTCATTGCTAATTGTTTTTTGTCTTTTTTACTGATTATAGTATTAATTAAATTGTATTTTATATGTTTTCAAATGAATATAATAGTTTAGAAACCATAGTAATATATATACTATATTGATAATACAGTTTATTTGATATACAATATGTTTAGTCATGAAAAGTGTATGTAAGGTATATGTAGAAAATATTTCCATTTAGATATTTATTAATAATAAGCAAGCTCGTTTGCTTTAATAATTATTTTTTTAAAACCTAAATATTTTGTTTTAAATTATTATTTTTGTATATTTAATCTATAAATTTTTCTAAATATTAATTTATTTATTAAATATGTTTTTAAAAATAAATGTTTTATTATTAATTCTATTTATTAGATATTATACCTTGATTATTTATTTAATTTAAAAATAATATACAATATGTGTATATTTATGTAATAGAAATAAAGGTTTATATTTCCTATTTTATTGTAATTTTGATGCAATACTTTATATAAATATGATAAACATTAATTTATATATGGATTTATTGCACTGTTTGTATAAAACAAATAAATTACTTCATTCTATAACTTGCGTTAATGAATAGCATATATTGAATTAAATATTATTTTAAATTTATTACAATATTATTTAATAAACATATCAGCTATTTTGAAAATGATAAATTTTATTAAATAATCTTATAAAACAAATTAAATAAACTATTAAATTCTAGTTTTAATATATTCTAAAGTATTTAAAAAAGTTTGTATTTTAATTTGTTTGTTTGATTATACAATTTGTTTATACAAAATATAATATACAACTGAAAACATAACATATTATTGATGTACTCTTAATTCTTAATAATATTTTTGTTTATGAAAATAAGTTAATTTTTACTGATTGTATAAAATTTAAATGTTTTATAATTTAAAAAATAAAATAAAATAGACTAAATAAAAATTTTCAAAATTTGACATATAATATGAAATAATTTGCTAATATGCAAACTGTAAATGTGGATAATTTCAATACATTAACAGCTACGCCACTAATTTTCAGTATATTTTGTTTATCCCGATAGACATTGACTTTCTGTTGACTTATAAATTGTTTACGTTTTTTAGTTTGAATAAATTTATTTGTTTGATTGTACTCCATATGACACCTATAGTTTCCCAGTCCATTGTCCTCGACATTCAATATACTGAATCTACCATTTTGTTTATCAAATTTAAGTTTCAAATTATATGATTCCTGTTTTATCGGATCAGGTTCTAATTAATATTATCAACAAAATCAAATCAAATCAAATATATAAATTTTAAATTACATATATTTAAAAAAAACAATTTGTAAATTAAAAAAAACTAACTTCTACCATGATACCATGAATAAATATTACAATCATTTAATGTAACGTTTAGTCCATAAAAATCTTGTTCATCCTGTACTTCATAAACACACAACACATCTAAAGCATTGTTGTTAACCACTGTTATTGTTAGGCCTGTCCTCAACTCACTATCACAACAATTATATAACATATAAAGTATGCATATAATTGAATTAATTGATTTATTAATAAACATTTTTGTTTATTATTTTATATAAACAATAAGTATATTACTAACTAATTAAATAGTGTAATTGTTAAACATGAAACTTGATTGTTGAATGTTAATAATAAATAAAAAAATATAAATATACTTTAATAAAATAACAATAAATATTTGTTTTTTGAGTGTTCAATATAAAATATTTTTTTATTTTATATGATATGATAATGTTATTGATAAGAAAAAAATAGTATGTATTTGTTAAGCTAAAGGTGAACTTATAATAGCATTAAATCATAAAAAGATAATGTTGAGTTTTTTAATAACTTGACTTTAATTTATAGTTTAAATTAAGATAATTTAATTTTATATATTTATTATTAATTTTATACAATAATTAAGATAATTATATTTTTAACTTTGTAAATATAGAGCAAATTATAAATAAAATATAATTTATTGTAAAAATAAATATATTTTTAATTTTATTTAGTAATTATCAATAATACTTTAAATAAAGAATATGTACCTGTATAAATTCAAATTATATATTTGTTATCTATCAATAAATTTGTGATAAACTTTAGAAATATTAAATAACAAATAAATATTATATAATAAGTATTAAAAAGTTTTTTATGAACTCCATTAATACTTATATGATTTTCATCTAACGGATCAATTTTATTGACTACAACTGTATAACCACTTTTGTATTTGAATGACTGATCGCCAACAATATATGTCAATTGACACGAGTAGTGTCCGCACAAAGGCTTCCAGTATTGGCGACCTTTTGAATGCATCGGTATTATGGATATCGATGTTATGTCATTAATAACTGTGCCCTCAGTTTCAACTAAATCATCGCTTACTGGATCTGTTTGTACAATATATATATAGTATATTATATGATAGCAATAATAACAATATAATTACCAATAATTGAGTTAAATATTTGACAAATAAAAATAAATTGTAATTACTTGTAACACTTGTATTATTATAATAAAATATTAACAAATCCTCTTTGTAAATACTAAGTGAATCAAATTTTTCGTATCTATTTAAATAAGGTTTACAATACATATTTAAATTACATGGATTATCATCAGATTTATATAATTTAAATTCTAATTTTCCACATAAAACAACTGTAATTGTATTTATTAATAAAATTAACTTAAACATCCAATTTTTATTAATACTATACATTACGACATTTTATTTCAGGTTTTTTTAAATAACATAATTACAATTTTTATGTTTAATGTGTATTTTATTAATACAGTTTTAATACTAATTAAATTATTTATTATAATAATATCTAGCTTAGTGTTTATAATTTTGTAATGTAATATAAATACCATGACAATATTTATAGCATTATCAGCAATATGTAGTATATGATAATTAACTAGTGTAATTACTTTAAATGTAATCATGTTTTTTTATTTCTTTTAATTTATATGTAATATAATACACATAGATAATATTAATATGACCATAGACATTGTATTCTCTTTATTATTTTTTATATTTAATCACCATACACATTTTAAAATATTTATTAAATATTACTTAGCATAAAAATATTTTACATTTGTTTGTAACTATTATATGTACAGTATATATAAGTGCTCAATAAACATTTAAACTAATTTACAGTATTTAATATAATAAAAACAAATTTAGTAATTAATTTAAGTTTTAAAAATAAGATCCATTAAAACATTTTTGTATAATTGTTTTTATTAAATGTAAATTTTAAAAACGTTATATGTTATGTAGTTAACTATGTAAACTTTATAATACTATAAAATTACAAAAATGGACAAGTTGTTATTTAGATTAATAATATTAGTTAACTTAAAATAAATAAAAATATTAGTCATAATAAATGTAATTAGCGGCAGATATGCAAACAAATTGCACAAAATCTATAATTATTTATTCAATTGTGTTAATAAAAATAATTGAAAAACTCGTCAACCAATTGATAACTAATTCAAACTTAAATCTCGGTTCAATTATAAGATTATTAAATTTTATTTGTAATTAACTATCATTTAATTAAAATGATATTTTTATGACATTAGAATATTTTAGTTAATACATAATTTTTATTTAAATATCTAAATAAAACTTTATAGAGAATGATAGAAACAATAAATTAAAAAATAAATTATGCATTATATTAGTTGAACCGCTATTGCCATTATAATCATAAACCTTATAGTTATTTGTCCATATAATTGATTGAAACTTTGTTGTTTGGTTAATATAAATAAATTGACATTGATAATCGCCATTATCATAAGACAATGTTAGTTTAACCAATGATTTTTCAAAATTAACATCAGCTTTGTTTACGCTAGTGTTTGTGCAATTTTGGTGAATATCATCTAATAAAAAATAATATTATAATTAATATAAAATATTGATATTGATTGATTTATATTGATTATAAGCATTATGTTGACTATTTAGAATCTAAATTTTAGATATTATAAAAATTTTCTAATTAGTTAAGATATAATGACTAAAAAATAACATTTATAAATAAATTATAATTACAGTTTGTTTCTTTGGTAAATGTGATGCACTGTACATTTGATTTAAATAGATTCACCTCGTACAATATTAATTTATCAACCTGGTCATTTTGTACACTACATTCTATTTCAATACTATTATCAAAGTTACTTGAATTTTTGATGTCTATAATAGATGTCACTAAATATATGTAAAGTTATATAAAGTATATTTTTAACAATTAAATAAAAATGATAATTTAATTTAATAAATATTAAATTGGCAAACATTTTATAAAAGTTTTACCGTTAATAGATTTAACATTTAATTGAAGTTCCTGTTTATCGACTTCAATGGTATAATCACTGTTTGATCCGTCAATTGTCTGATATTTTCTATAGAAAACTTGTGACACATATCTACCAGAAGTTGTTTGGTTGGCATATCTGACAATGAATTTGTTTTTGCCGTATTCACTGATATCCACTTCAATGTCATTAATACCTTTTACTGATGAAAATACTGGCGCTATAATTATAAAAATATTTTTTATTAATTTATAAATTATACTTATATTGATGTTTATTATGTTATACATTGTGGCCATTGACGGTATATACGAAAAAATGTTTCATTATCTTTTGATATTATAGTATACTCTAAATTATTTAAATATTTTACATAATAGCCATAATTGAATTCATAATTAACGGGTACAGTTGATGTTTGAACCAGGCTGAATTTTTCATTATTTTTAGTATTTATATTTAAACTTATGGCACTATAGAAACTTGTAATTAATAAAAATAAATTTATAAAAAACATATTAGTTTTTAAAAGTGCGATTTCAATTAACATTTATTATTTAGCAAATTAAAATTTAATAAATTACAGTAAATTTAAAACAATTTATACTCTTTAATCATTTTAGAGTATATTATAAATAATATTATAAACTATAAAATTAAAGATAGTTTTTTGTTTAGGTTTTATCAATAGATGTGACAATCAATGACAAACACAGCAATTAAAACTATAAATACAAATTATTTTATGATATAATTTATATTATAATAATTAAGGTTTTATATAATCTTAAGTTTTAATATGATACTAATAATAAAAACTTAATATCATCTTAATTACATATTTTTACTTAAATTGATAATATTTTAAATATTTATTATTATGAAAATGAGGTAGTACCAATTGGTTAACTTTTTAAAAAAAATGATTTAAACAGATAACTTAAGGTTTTTAAATTTATGAAATATTAAATATAAATTTTGTTTGTTTCAAATTATTGTTTTTTAAAAGTTACTAAACTATTAAATATATAATTATTAATGTTAACAGGTAATTTTAAACTTGCACATTATCAGGTACACTTTTCAACCAATTATAGTGAATATGTTTTTCATCAATAGATTTAATAATTGTTTTGTTTGAATCATAAATGAATTGACCCTCCGGTGGTAAGACCTGATTAAATATGAGTCCATGATATCGTCGTGCGGTTACCGCATGCCTCCAATAGCCGCCCAAAAACTCGTTGACACCATTGATATACTCTTTCACAGCTAATCCCTGTCTTAATTGATCACATCTTTTAATTGCATCAATTTGTGCAATAATTTGTTTGTCTTTATGAACAATCATTTCATATACTTTATCGACAGCCTCTTGTAGTGTCATACCATCGTTAGTGACAAACAGTGCAAACGGGTGTCTCATTTGATAGAAGTTATCGTTGTTTTCCTGGACTTCCTTACGAAACGTATAGTAATCATTGATTAGTATAATCTCTTCGGACACAAAACGATTCAATAATTGAATGAACGGGTGGTTCCACTCCCTGTCCTTTAGTTCAATATTTTTTGCGTACTCTATAAACTGTAACGCCATGTGACCGCCTACTGAACCCAACCTAAATTTAAATAAATAAAGTTAGTTTTATTTTATAAAAGCAAAAATACTATTTTTAATAAATAAAATTAATTAATCATACCTGGCTTGAAGATAGTTATCCCAATTGATGCTATGATCTGTCCATTCACTTTCGCCTACATTTCCCGTAATATAATTTTTAATAGCATTAACTGACCGCTCAATCTGTTGTGGACTATAATCAAAGAAAATTTCTCGCAGTATCTGTTGGACAGCCCTTACAAATACTGGCCATTCTTGTCGACTGTAATATCGGGGCATCAAAAAAGTGTCCAACGCTTCGCTTAATTCGTGCCAAAAGAGCTGACATTGTATTTGATGACCGTTTCCATCAATACAAATGTCATGATAATCATCGCATATGAAAAAAATTAGCGACCATTTCATTAATTTCTCACATCTGTGCCAATTAGCTCCGGGATATGTGACGGCAGCAAACAAACCACAGTCACTATTTTCTATAGCACGACGATAGCGATTGTGTTGACCCATTTGACCACAATTGTCGACTGCCCATTGAGTGCAATACCTGTCCATCCATTTACTGTAATTTGGATTAATTGACACAACAAACGGAGTCTCATATCGAGGATAAATAAAAACAAGATTTTTTGTATCTCTGTATATTTGATCCGATATTACAGGTTTTACGGTATGTTGTGTAATATATCGAAAAAACTATAATTAATAAAATTATTATTTAATTAAAATAATATCATAATGTATATAAATAATTGCATTATAATAGTTAACCTGAGTTTTATAAATATCACTAAAAATATTTCTTTTAATATTAGGTAATAACTTATGAATTGCAAACATTTTACAAAAATTGTATTTAAAAATAAAACAATATTTCTAAATATAAATATATATATATATTTATTTTTTGGTTTAAACAAATAAATATGTTTATATTATCAGATCAAAAAGTTTAATATGTTTGGTTAACATTTGTATTAAGAGTTAAACTGTTATTGTTTTCATAAAATAGTAAATTATTCATATTTTTTATTCAAGGATTTTTGTAATAATATTTTATAAGAATTGTTAGATAAATCTATTATTATTTATTTTTGAATTTATTAAAAATTTAGATATACTTATCTTAGCATCATTTTTTAACTATGATTCAAAAAATTAAATAGTCAATGAAAAGTAAATTTATCTATAAATAAAATAATGAATAATGAATAAAAATATTTTGAATTTTTGAAATGTTATTTTGTTTAAAGTTTTATTTTTTACGTTAATCTATATAATAAATGTTAATTATGTAATAACAGTTTAAAATATGCTAATTCTTATTTATATATTATTTACAAAATAATAACGATTGATGTTAAATAGTAAATAATACATCATTTATTTAAATTAATTTTAAGCTAATTAAATTTATAAGACAAATAAATTTATATAAAATAGAACAAAAAAATCACGTAATTATATACAGCAAACAAAACATTTAATTAAAAACAATTTTTAATTACAAATTAACTTATTTGTTCATGCTAGTTTTAGTGCACGCAAACAATTTTAATGAAAATATATAAATGTGAACTAATTATTTAGAATACATATTATAAATTTATATTTATTATTATTATTTTAAATATATTATAAGTTTTTATAAGTTTTAAAAAATATGTCCAAACTTTTAACATTTACTGCAATATTGATAGTTATGAGTGTATTTTATACACAATATGTATCGGGTATTATAGATAAAGCCATAAATGCCGGAAACAAGGCTTTCCAAGAGGTGGGCGACAAAGCCATTGAACAGGGATTCAAAGCTTTCTGTGCGGCCACTGGTGATGGCGTCAAAGCTATGCAAACATTTGGTATGGGTTTCCTTAAGTGTGATAAAGCGCACGCTAAAGAAGCTCATTGCAAAAGTAAGTAATCAAACAAAATATATTTTTTAATTAATTATATTATATATTTGTCATTAAAATTATTTTAAAAATTTGAGTAAATAAGTCAATAATTCTATCCAATAGTTAATATCGATTATTTTATTTGCTTAAAACTAGATGTCGGATAATATATACAATTTATTATATAAAATACTTTTATAATAATGTTTAATTTTACTAATTTTTTTAACAATCTAGATTATCTAACAAATATTTGTAATAAAAAAAAGATTATAAAAATTAATTTTCTAATTAAAACTGGAAAACTGAACTAGATCAAAAATGTTAAATCCAAAAATTATTATAAATATTAATAATAACTGTAACATTATTATTAATTATAATTATTAAATTATTGTCTATAGTTGCCGATAATGCACCGATGATTCATTCGGCACTTTGCGGTATGGCTGAGGACAAGGCCAGGACTTTCTTCAAACATGGGGTCAATTGCTTTAAAATGCCTGATCCTCACGGCAAGGGTCAGGACTGTATCAAAAATTGGATCGAAGAAATGAAAGATTGTGCTGAATTAGCAAGTACATTTAAAGATCAAATGGGTTAAGTAGTATAAAAGTATGGATGGGTTAGATATGACCCATAAGTGAATAAAAATTTATCAAATAAAAAGTATTAAAGTTTAAGTGTTTTATTTATTACGGATTTTTTTGCATTAATTAATTAGTTAATATTAATTTATTTTGAAAATAAATGAAATAAAAAAACATAATCTCATAATATATTTTGAAAAGTATATCGATAATGTTTATATTACACAATCTAATGTTTGATTAGAACTTTTTTGTATACAGTATTGTCTAAATAAAATAAATAAAATAGTTGATTGTTTTAATATCTATTGTACAAACTGTCATTTTTGTGATAAAAAGTCAAATAAATGTCATTTTGATAAACGGTTTTCACTTACAAATTGACAACTTATATCTAAAATAAAAAAAGTCTTATTCAATATTATAACAATAATATTACGATTTACTAGTGAAACAAATAGTAAAAATATGAATAAATATTATTTTATAGGATATGCTATGCAATATATTTAATTGCAATTAATGCAATCTATAGGTTAATTAAAATATTTAATATTTCTTTAAATGATTTATTAGTTAACTGATTGCACACATTTGTTTAAATAGTCATACAATATAACAGTATTCATTATATTTAAGTACTTAACAAATATTAGGTAATATACAAACAAAATCATTAGTATTTTTATTTAAATTAATTTAAGTTAAATAAATTTTCTACTATTTAAAACACCAATTTAATTAAACAATCAATTAATACTAATAGCAATATACCAACATAAATTATAGTGCCTTAGAAATAAAATACTTATAATAAAAATGTCAAAAATAGTTTATCTAATAATAGTCAGCACATACCTACTAATCCAATGTCACAATATATCAACATTTGTCCACCACATGACCGATGTTGTCGGACACTTCTCAAAACAGGCACAGAAAACCTATACGGATATTGTTCATAAAGCTGAGGGACTAAAAAAAGAGGTCATCAATAAAGCAATGAGCGTTGTCTGTGATAAGGGGGCACAGGGTATACAAACATTGTTTAAATCACTCAAATGTGATCCACAACACTCTGAAGTGGAATTTTGCAAACGTATAAACAATTTTTTTAAAAATATAATATAATTAAAATTTCAGATAAATACTGTATTGGGTGTGTGTTATACTGTATATATGCTGTCCATTTCAGACGCACCGACCGCTGAGGCAGTATTTACATTGTTATGCGAGACATTGAAAGAAAAGGCCGAAGAGTTTGTAACCATATTATTCAGTTGTTTTAAAGCACCCAAACCTAAACAGTTAGACTGTGTGTCAATGCTTTACGAAGAGGCCAAAAAAACGGCCGATCAGATGAAAGGATTGGCAAACGCCGGACGAAAGTGATCTCATTTTGGTATACCTGAGCTGATTAGTTGATTAAATTTTTAAACAATTTTATGGATAACTTTTTTTTGGTAAATAATCATTATAATAATAAATTGTGTTTAATAATATAAACAAATGTTTAACAATAATATTATAAATAAAATTTATTTAATAGTAAAATAAATAATTTAAAGAATAAATAGAAAGTAACTGAATATATAATAAATTTATATTATTTAATACATTATTCATAAATAACATTAAGAGTATCCACATGTTTATCGTCTCTATCTTCAAATATTTTGTCGATATTGTTAACGACAAAAGCGTTGTCACTTTCGCGCCGATTAACCGACACTTTTGCTATGGATTTAGTAGTTTTGACTTTTTTCTCATCACCAGAGAAGTAGTCAACTGAGCACTGGTAGTCACCAAAAGCTTTACTATTGTCAATCCGTACGGCAAATGTCAAAATTCCATTATTTATATCGAGACGTGTTCTTCTATTATCTACCAATTCATTTACAAACGGACCAATACTAGCATCATATTTATAATCTAAATAAATTTAATAACAAATTATTATTTTTCTATAATATATATATATATATAACACTTTACCCAATGCATCTCCATTGCGTTTAACAGTTATTATTGGTTTGCCTTTAAATAAGACAACAACACTCTGGACAGTATCATCGGCGTCGTGATTGTATCGACAGTTAAAGCCAATGGCGTGGGGATAATGGGTATAAAAATTAGTGTCACTCCATATTGTGACAAACAGTGTATTAATTTGATTTGTAAGTGATGTAAATGATGCTATAATAAGCATATAACAAATTAATTGATACCTCTGTTTCATTGTGTGTAAAATTAAAGTACTATTAAAGCTAATGTTTCCAACAAAATAATAAATCCAATAAAACTAGAAATTCTTTATTTTAATATATCTTTTAAATAGTATATATGTATTGATTAGTTTCTCATTCCTAATGAAATATTCTATAGTTTTAATCATAATAACCAAAGCAACAATTGATAACTAATTAATACCAGATTTATTGATTGTTAATGAATTAGTCAATTATTGCTTAAAAATTCTGTTTTTAGTGTAATACAAATTTTTATCTGAAATATTTGTCTTAAATATGTCAATGTTATAATTCGATATTACAAAATCGATATTCTATAATTAAATATTTTTAAAAATATATTATAAAACATACTTTATTACTATTTTATATTAATTTAATCATAATTTATTTATATCTAAGAATTTATTATTTCAGTGAATTTATTTTAAATAAATTTATTAATATCTTAATGTTTATAAAATTAAAATTATTGCAGAAATTTCTAAAATTTAATATGTATAGCTTATACTGTATTACTATTGCTTAATGCTAAATAAAATTATTATTATACTTTATATGAAAAATAAATATCAAAATTTATAATAATCAATAAATTTTTAAAAAGTAATAGTAAAATATAATATTTTGATCTAGGGCATAATTGATAATAATTTATTTTCAATAATTATAACTTTATTTAAAAATCATAAATAATATAAACAGACAAAATAAAATAATAATAAGTTATAAAAATAATTAATTAAATAATAGAATTATTTTTAATATAAATTAAATAATAAATTACAAAATTTTAAGTAAGACATAATACTGTATATACTTATATTACTTATTTAAATAATACAAATGTAAGAATTGAAAATAATGATAAAACAAAAGATAATTTATATGCGATGGCATTGTTATTGTGATATTCAATAAAATAGAGGCTATTGTTTGACCAGCGGGTAGTCGTGTAGTACATCAATGATTTGGCAATTTTGTTGCCGTTGTAGTTAACTTCGCACCGGTAGTCGCCTAATGAATCTCGGCTTACATTAAATAACATGACTGTAATTTCACATTTGTCTAAATGGGCGGCTTGTTTTCGGAGTTTAGTCAGTTTAAATATTTCAGCAATATTTATTTCTATAAAAGTTAATTAATTTAATTAATAAGTGTATAAAATTATATTATTATTATTTATAATTATATATAAGTTTAAAATTATGAGCAGTCAAATATACCGGGAGATATTTTTGTCTCATTAGCAGGGTTGTTCAATGTAGCCAAACGTTTACCATTGAATGTCAGGCTAACTGATCTGATTGTTTCATCCGTGTCATAATCACAATTGCACATGAATTCAAGTGATCTAATAGGACCCGTAATAATATCAGTTTTGGGATATTGTATGTCATTTGTTTTTATTTGGACATAAACACATTGTGCTAATTCAATCATAAATAAAATTAAACACAACGTTATTGTCAATTGTTTAATCATATTTGAAATAAATATTTTAACTTATACTATAATACTGAATAAATACTAATAAAGTATATACAATATATATTTATTAATTAAAAGTAAGGCTTTAAATTTTATTTAAGTAATTAAGTATAGTAAACTAAATTTCTAATTGTTATATATTTTATATAACTTTATATATTTGTATGTGTAATATTCATCATTGACATTACAAATCAAGTGTGCAACTAGAAGTTATTATTGATTATTGGATTAATAAGTGTTTTATCACATATTAATCATAGTAACATAAGATAATTTGAACAAAAGTGATTTTTTTGACAATTATTATAGGATTCATTGATTTTATTTGAAAAAATATATGATTTTTATTAAAGAATTTCAATTTATGCTTGAAATGTATTAAATTAATGTTAGAAAAAAATTAATAGAAACAAAAATTAAATAATAATTTTCTATTTATTTTAATTATAGAAAAATACACATTAAATCTTTACTAGTGAATAGTTATTAATTTAATTAATATATACATTTTTGTAAATATTTATCTAGTTAAAAATGATTTTTTTTATATTTTATAATTAGGCTTTAGTTATAAATTTGATAATATAAATATAGTATTTATTATTTTTATTATAAATTAGTTATATGTATTGAGATAAATAAAAAAAATTTTAGTTGCAAATTTAATAATAAATTATCATAATTTTATTATAACTTAATTTATTATACAGCTAAATGTGCTGCTCTCCAGTATATCAAAATGTAATTTATTTATTAATTTTATTATAAAATATATTAAAAAGTAATAAAATTAATTTTAAAAATTAATAAAAAAATATACTATGATTTATTTAAAGTATATAAAATAATTAATTTGCATACCATTATATAGTTTTAAAAAAATTGTTTTAAATTTTCTGTAATGTACTGTATATATAATAAAATATGAATACGTTATTTTCAATATTTAATTACATTACATTAAGTAATTGTATATTTAGAAATATCATAATTAAAAAATAATATAATTTATAAATAAATGGAAATTCTCTACTTTTTTTAATTATAACAAATATTATACCTTTTTTACATTTATTATCCTTAATAAATATTTAGATCTATTTATGTCAACTTTTTAATCCTAAACTCTATAATCAAATAATTTTTGTCTATCACTTGTATTGTTGAGATATTTACTAATTTAATGTTAAATGAGTTAATAATAATTAAAAATTATTTTTCAAAATTTTATTTATTAGATTTAAAAGTTATAAATTAAAATAATTAAAGAATTTAATAAAATTCATATATTTTATCAAATAAAAAATAAATTATGATTTTAAAATATGATTATGAAAAACAAACAAATAATAATAAAATAACTATAATTTAATTATCAACTATTTTATCGATTTCATCGGTTCTTTTGCGTCCAATTTCGTCAAATATATTGTTAATCACTTCAACAGTAAAGGCGTCGTCAGTTTCACGTCTACTGACCTCAACTTTTCCCGACGACTCCCGGATTAAGTCTTTTTTTTCTTCGCCCGAATGATAACCAACTGAACACTTGTATTCACCAAATGCTTTGTTGTTTACATTAATTATCTTAACATTTAATTTATCATATATTATATCATAATTTCCTGTAATATTGACGGCTGAATTGTCAACTTTATATTCTGTAATATATTAAATTAAATATATATATATAGATTAAAAATCTATTTATAAAATATACGACAAATTATAATTATGTGTTACATTAAATACACTAATATACTATTAATTAGAGTTGGTTTTCATAAATAAACATTTTATTATCAGTTTTAAACATATATATATAATTTTAAATTAATATTAGCTATAATTAAACTTTTTTATTATTATAACTTTAATTAAATTATTAATAATTAATATAAAATACTGATTTACCCCATTTTTCTTCCACTTTTTTTGCTGTGAAAACTTTTTTGCTGTTAAATAAAACGGACAGTTCTTTGACATTGTCATCGATTTCCCGATCATAATGACAGCTAAATGCTAGAGTATGCGGATATCGCTGATATAAATTTGAATTATCTTCAATACCCACAAACAATGTGTTTATTTGATTTAAAATAATACACAACAATAAACTTGAGAAAACTATTTTTACATTAACATGCATTTTAATGTTTATTGTTTGAGACAGCTAAAATAAAGTAACTGAGAGATTGTTAAAATAATATAAGTTATTTGGAAAAAAATAAATACTATTTATATACTTATTTATAAATTTTTAGATACTTGACAATAAATTCTTAATTGTTATTTCATGCACTATTTGAAAAATTGAAAGATTTAATTTATGATGTTTTATGACAATATTTATTGTTATAACGTATTATTCATGGCTATAAAAAATTATATATTATTACATTTTTATTAAATTGTACACTTTTATTGTAATACTTTATTTGTTTTAGTAAAAAAATATTTGATAATAAAATAATAAACAATTTATTACTAAACAATTTATTTTCATATTTTAAATTGTATCTGTTATCATATTTTAAATATAAATATCATATTTTTAATCTTATACTAGTATATATTGATATTATTTATTTTTTATTTTTAATTATTGATTATTGATTAATAAATAATAAATTAAATTTATTTAGTGAATATAATTCTAGATTATTATTTGTATTTGTATTTAGCTAAATTTTATTTTTTATATAAAATATATAAAATAAAAATAAAATATTTATTAAATAATTTAATAATACATTTTTTAATAAAGATTTATTAATTTAAATATAAATTCAATTAAATAAAATAATGAACATTATGTAAGAAAACAAAAATTTATAAATAAATAATTAAATTTAATTAAATTTTCAATTTGTGAAAACAAACAGTAAAATTGAAATAATAGTTAAAATCATTGAAAGTTTAACAGCGACGGCATTGCTGTGGTATTCAATAAAATAGAAACTATTGTTAGACCAACGGGTCGTTTCGTAATACATAAGCGATTTGACCGGTTCTTTACTCGGGGAGTAGTTTACTTGGCACTGGTATTTTCCCTCTGAATCACGGCTCACGTCTATCAATGGGACAGTTAGTTTGCATGGCTTTGAAAAAATTGCTTTCTTTATATCAACTTTTGTCAAATTTTTGTCAAATATTTTGATCAATTCTAAAATAAAGAGACAAATAAATAATAATATTAGTAATCAGATTAATGTTAATCATTATTATTTTTTAAATAAACAAAAATAATGTTTACCCGGTTTACTATCAACTTTGGTGGTGTCTATGCTAACAATTTCTTTATCATTAAACAACAATTTGATTGAATTAACAGATTGACCATGGTCATAATCACATTTGCATTCAAATTGAGTTGTCTTGATTGGAAACTTCCAAAATTGTGTTAATGGAAATTGTATTGAATCATAATTAGAAATTCTAACATAAACACAATCAGTAATGTTAACTACTATAACTAGTAAACTTATTGCTGTTACTATTTTACTAATCATTTTTATTAAATTAATAAAAAAATTGATTTATTTTTTTTTAATAAATTGAATAATTAAAATATAGTATTATTTTTTTAAAAAATTAAAGAAAATTTTTAGGTTTTAATAGCAAAATTAGATAAAAAGAAAATACACTAATTTATATATATTAACAATTTTCTTAATATATACTCTATATAGAGTCACAAAAGTTGTATCATCTAAATGAAATTTATGTTTGTGATTGTTATAAAATATTATATTAATTTATCACAAATGATCATAAATTTAATCTCTTTGTATCACTGAGTAACATATATAAGTAAAATGTGAGATATATAAAAAATAATCACTCAATATAGTTCATAGCATTTTATTTATAATCTAATAAATATTGTATGCATCATAAAACATAAATTTATAGTATAATATAATATCATATAACACATTATTGCATACAATAATTATTTTGTTGAAATATTTTGATAGTAATAAATTGTTAAATATTTATATTATATTTAATAAATTAATTGACCTAATAGTGTATTTAAACTTTACAGGTGTCATAATAATTGTTTTGTTTTGTTGTAATTTTTGTATATTACCTGTACTTAATTAAATCTGGTATTAATATAACATCTAATTAATTATAAGATAAAATAAAATTATAATATTATTTTTGTTAAATAGTTATGATTATCATAAAAATATGCCCATTAATCATCAATTAGTAGTTTATTATGTATCTAATATTAACATTGTAATTTTTATTATATTTCCTATAGATTGTAAAGTTTATATTAATATTTTTATAACATTTTTTTTTTACTTTTTTTGCTTTTAAATTTCATAGTATAGAAGAAATACAATTGCAAATGCAATGTAAATAAATTAGTAATACATATCTTAATTAATCTAACCCTAAGATATTTATAGTAGTAATTAACAATTTTTAAAATGATAATTAATAAAATAGTTTTATTGACTAATTATGATTAAAGTAAAATACATGCAGTTTATGATTAATATAAAAACTCATGGAATTGATATGAGATAACATTTCTTACATATTAATAATAAAATAATATTTTGATAAAATTGATTATATCTAATACTGAACTACATATAAATGCTTTCCATTAATAGAAAATTAATTAATTATTAATTATTTTATTACTGTAAAAAATTCAAGAAACTATAATATAAATACCTTATATTTAAAAATGACTTAAAATAAAATATTTCAATAAAATTTTCTTATTATAATTTATTAAAGATTATTACAATTCAAATACGTGTCGACCTATTTATGGGTCATCTCTTTGACTTTCTAATCAATGAATATCTAATAAATTTTTGTGAGAAAGTTTCTAGAAAAGTTTTCATGATTAAATTTCTATAGAAAAACTTTATTGTTATAGCTATGGGATCCCCATATCTATAGCTACTGTAATACAATACCATATTAATGAGACATAAAACTATATAGTACATATTTTATATCACATGACAAATTAATTGACACAAAAATTAGCTTACAATATGTGACTTAACTTTATTCTATCGATAATAACTAAAAAATATTAATTATTGTTTTAATAAAATTGATTTTTAATAATTTAATGTTATAATTTTTAAAATTATAATACTTATATAAACTATTTTTTAATTAGTTTTCAATTGCACAAAGTTGAGCCACATAAAAATATTAAAAATCAATTTTATTAAAACAATAATTAATAAAATCAATAATTAATTTTTTTAGTTATTATCGATAGAATAAAGTTAAGTCACATATTGTAAGCTAATTTTTGTGTCAATTAATTTGTCATGTGATGTTACATAAATTTTAAAATTTGATCCCAGGGACGGGTGTTTTTTGGGGGTTCAAAGTTTGATTTTTCTTGTATACCTCCCATTATAATCAAAATTTATTTTATTTAATAACTTTAAAATTATTGGTCCGATTGATCTAAAATTTAATATATTTATGTAAAATTATAATATTTATTAAAATATATCAATTAAAATATTAATTTCCAAAATTTACTTAACCGTCCTGCTACTTTATATTCAAATAAAATTATTACTAATGCATAAAAAAAATTACAACTATACTAAAAGACAACTAATGTGTTAGCACCATAGATCAAATCCACTGGCACACTGTGGAAGTTAGCAATGTTATCCAGTAAAGTCATAGCAATAGGCGCTGCAACTATTATACATATAAAGTCAATTTGCATGTATAAGTTAGGGGAAATCTATCGGTGCTTATATGTTTGATGTATGGTTAGCACTACTAAAGCTACACATTGATACAAATATACAGTACAACCACAATATAGCATACAGTTAAGTGAAAACACTAATTGGTCATTAATTGTGTATATAATTAATTATTTAGAAATTATTAATTATTGTGTAATACCATTAAAATTTAGGTTAGGTTGCGGGGCGTACACCAGGTTAGGTAACGTTAGGTAACACTGATTTACTATTACTTGACTACTATTGCTTGCTTTCTATGTATATGTTATACTGTACTGTATATTATACAGTGTATAACATACACAGTGTATAGTTTTAGTTAAACTAAAATCCAATAGAGGGGGTATACACAGCTCGTACTCTAAATTTTGCCCCAACAAATAATTTATATAGAGTACACATTTATTTATTCGACTAATTATAAACGTTAAAAAATAGTAATTGAAAACTTAAATTAACTAAAAATTGTCTAATTTTAATAAACTAAATATATTATTTATTTAAGATACTTTTTATGGCAAATAAGTAATTTATTTTATTTATAATATTAATATATAATTAGTGTAACTTATATGATAAATGTAAAGTCATTTTAATAATATATTTATATTAATAATTACTGTAAATAATATTCATATTAAAAGCATTATAATATCAATTAAAAATTAATAGTTTTTTAATAGTTTTGTACATTATTTAGCTATTATATGTATGAAATCTTATTATTTTGATATATTTATAAAAAACTACTTTTTGAATTAACAACTTTTATATTAACTACAATAATGTAATAAATAATTATAATTGTTTAAAAAATTGATTTAATTTTTAGTTGTTAATTATTTATTAGCAGAATAATTAAAATGTATTAATTAAAATTTTATTTATATATTTATTTATATGTAAAATTATTTCTTAAAGTGTATTTTTCTATTCTATAATATTAATTTAATTTAATAAATAACAAAAAAATAATCAAATATGTTATATACAATATATTACAAATTTAGATTCACAAAACTAAACAAATCAATTAATTAATTTTTCAAAATATATTAATTATGTCTTTTATACTAAAATATGCTCCGGTAATAAAACCAAGTAAACCAATGATAAATATAATTAAATTTCTTAAATAAATAAACACTCTTTTTGTGCCATCTGTCAAAATATAATATCAAATAAAAAAAATTTAATCTAAATTATATACAATAAAAATACTAAAAAAAGTAACAAAATTTTACTCATTTTTATAGTCGAACAATAGATAGTATGCAATATTGGCGGTATTATTATGGCAATTGAACTTTTAAAAAATATATAATTAATTAATATAACAAATTTTACATTATATAAAATACATTAATTATTTAAAAAAATATGTAAACTAAATAATAATAATAAAATAGCTAAAAAACATACCTGCATGAAATGGCACCAACTAATGCTATAATTAGATCTAATCTTGGTATAAATGCAGCAAGTGCAACTAAATTATATATATATAAAACTATTTTAATTATTTATAAAATTAATTAAATTTTTATTATTATTATTATTATTACATGTTAGAATTACTAGTAAAGCGCGAAATACATAATTGATTATTTGTATAAACAATTGTCGAATTTGAAAATGATCCAGGAGCATTGACTCTAATCGTGGCCATAACTGTTCAATGACAACATGCATTTGTACTGAATAGGATATAACAATAGCAAACGTATACATTATTAAAACACTATTGTAAAGTGGTTCATTTGGCAGTGATAATGTAATAACACTGGTCACTTGGTCACCATATTTTATATAACCGGCCAAACCTACTAATATATACAGACATATTACAAAACCTATTGATATATTTACGACACCCAATGTTTTGCCAAAGTTATGCTTATTTTTCATAGCACTGTAAAGTGGCATGATCTTTTTTGTTTGAAAATAATATAAAATTTGCTATTATTTTAAATATTTTTTTAAAAAAAAAATATTCAAATAAATTATACGTACGACAGTAATGCCTTCAAATGTAAAAACAGCTGTACTAAAAAATAATGGTAATTGTGTGCCAAACATTTGGCGATTATGAATATCTGGTATATTATTAAATAAGTTATACAATATAATTCCCAATGCGGTGTATTGGGTAATGTTTGCACAACCGGACGCTATGGACAACAGTTTAAGATTTTTAATAAAATTTAATAAAATAATAAACGGCATTATTATTAGCAAATATAATCGTATTGACATTGAAACATGCGGTAATGTTGTCATATTGATTAGAAACTAAAATATTGTTATAGCAAAAAAAAAAGAGATAAATATTTTAGTAATTGTTTTTTTAGAATATTAAAAAATAAAAATATATACAAACTTGTCTAATATTTTCTGATATAAATAAACAATAACTGCAACAAAACCCCAATTGTGTTAATAGTATAAATATAATGATCAATGTTTGTGATAGATTAGCTAGTTTTCGCAATGATGTTGGTCCATTTAGGAATACCTGTTTTCCTATCTAATCAATAGTAATTATTTTTTATTTTTTAATTAATATTATATATATATTTATAGATATTTTTATTTTTTTAAATTAACTTTTTCATAGTCCATTGGTTCGCATTTTAGTTGACGACATAGAGTGACATTTATTTCGAGTAACATATGTATACAACTGTTACATAAAATGCCGATAATTGTCGTACCAATTATGCCGATCACAAAACCCGAGTGGCTATTATTTATCAAAAAATATTAGTAGTTTATAGTAATATGATTTATAATACTAACTATAATTTTTAATAGTATTATGCAACTAACCTAAATGCTAAAGGCATAGCCAATATACCGGTTCCAACATATGCCTTAAGTAAATGCATAAGCGCTTGGACACTATTAATTTTAGTAGTGACCTGGTGCATTTTGTATTTATTGTGTCCACTAGCACAATTATTTTAAAACTGTCACTTAAATAACTATAATTATTAGCTTAATATTTGTTTGTTGTGAAACTCTAGTAACAAAAATTGTAAATATCATATTGTTTAGTCATATTCTTGATTACTGTAGTATATTTGTCAAACACTATTAATTTAATATAAATTTCTTATAAAATTTTTAAAATGTTGTTTTAACTATTAATGTTTTACACAATTTACCAACAAATAATTTCAAAATTGGATTCAATTTATTTATTTTGTCTTAATTGACAGTTTAATTATTAATAGATCATTACAATATTCAAAACATTAGATAATACTGTTAGTTAAAAATATTAGTAAACAATGAAATAACAGTTATTTACTATTAATTATAGTACAGGTATCAACTTTTTAATTTTTATCTAGTTATAACAAATAATAAAAATAATTACTAATTTATTTACACAAAATGATTATACATATTTATTATGTATTAACTTATGATAGACATATTTTATTAAATATTTTGCTAAACATTTATTTTAAAATAAAAATAAACAAAAAAAAATTATTAACACTAGAAAATTGTTATTTAGTACTTTAATAATATTTACAGTATTATATAAAAAAACATTTAATATATTCTCTATTTGACAGATATTTTATTAGTAAAAATCTTTGATAATTATTTCATGTTTTGATTAAAGTAATTAAGTTTTAATGATATGTTTTATTGATACACGTGTTAACAGTATTAAATAATAAATTAATTAATATTAATCAAAAGATAAGTTAACTTAGATAACTATGATTATTATAATATTATTAACTTTATTTATAATTATAACAATATTTTAAATTATAATAAATTTAGTACAAATAAATATAATATTTTACAAATTATTAAGTCATAAGGAAAAAGTATGGTTTTTAAAAACTACATATAAAATTTAATTACAACAACAGTATATTTGCTAATATTATAAATTAATTATTATTATTATTAACAATAAGGATACCGGACACAAACAAATACATAATGTGATTGACATAAATTTTTCTATAAATAGCTTAATTAAAAAAAATATTTAATTATAATATATTAATTTATTTCACTATTTGCTAATAAATAATTGTTGAGATTTTTATTTGTCATTATTATAACATAAAAAATTATTGAAATGGCGGGTGTATTAGGTATTCTCGTGGGCGGACTGTTATTCGTAGTGCTATCTCTAGTAGTACTGGTGCTCACTTTAGTACTATCATTAGTGGCCGGACCATTGGCACCATGTGTTGGTTGTCTACTTATGTGTGTTGTATGTCAACTATCCTGTGCCATAGCTATGGCATTACCGTAATATATAAACTATAAGACATCAATAATTCTGTGATTGAAAGTAATCAATATTTATATATATATATTATGTAACTTGAATTTTATTAATTATTTTACAAATAATATCTCATATAATATTTCTCAAATTGTAATAATTTATATATATAAAAAATAATAATTTCTAATAAATATTTATTTAAATTATTAAATAATTTATATTAACTATAAGAAAGCTTATTTTTTCTATATTGTATTGTAAAACTTTATTATTATAATTACAAAAATCATGTAATTGCAGTATTTAAATAAATATCTTATATTATTATTTATTATTATTATTGATTTTTAATAATTTTATTTATTTGATCATTGCTTCGCTAAATCAATATGTGTCACGATTTTAATCTTAAAGTCATTTATTAGATTTGATTATAAATGTACAACAATTATAATCTGTGCGTCAAAATAAGTTTTTATTATTTATATAAATACAATATTATTTATATATTGAAAAAATCATAATCTTATAAAACAAAAGCTTTGCATATATTACCCTTGAAGTAGTTTTTTAATAAAAAAAACAAATATAATAAATAAAAATCATTTACAATTACAACATTACAATAGTAAAGTTTTAGTGTAAAAGAGAGTTAATTACAAATTTACTAAATCAAAAATAACAAAAATATTATTTAATTTTAATAATATATAATTATTTTGTTTCAAATTAAGAATGGGTTGTCAATGCATGTTAAATAAAAGCCCCAAAAATAAAATTATTTATAAATTATCATTACATACACCAAATATGTTAACTAAATTTAAATACAAACTATAAGTAACTTATTATAAAACTAAACAATCTTTTTTAAATAAAGTTTTTTAGTGATTATCTTCAAGTTATATACTATTTGTGATTCAAATTTAGAAATAAGAAATGCTATAAATCTTATAAATATATAAAATTATAATTTAATATATTTGTATTTCAAAGTCATTTTATTTTCAATTAAAATTTTTAATTATTTTGTAAATTATTTATTAGTTGATTAGTTCAATACTTATCAATACTTTATGTTTATCTGGTTTATGACAACAACTCTCGAGTCGCACAAAATGTTTAGACAACTTATTTTACTAATGTTTTGCTACAGTTTTATCAGTTGTCATGTTTTCCAAATATATATCCCTCTCTTAGACTTGGGTGAGGTTGACCTCTGGGACAATCCCACGTGTGAATCGGCACTCAGACCGTTGCGCTACCGGTGCGAACGGACCTACAAACAAACGGTGAACACAACACTACATATGCATCGTATGGATGTGAGTACAGAGTCAGTCAAACGGGCCGTTTGTTGCGGCGGTTGGCTCACCAAACAGTGTGTGACTCGTGCGGCAAATAGTATAAGTGTTTGCGGCGATAAAGTGGCCAAACTTTATGGACAATTGCCGAGTGAGGCACACATCAAACACGACGTGTTGGACAAGTGCTCCGAATATCAAGAAAACTCATTAATTTGTAATTATTTTGTCGTAAATCAAACAACTTTTACTAGATTTACCAATACATCAGTTTATTTCATTTTAACGTCTATTTTAATAAATATAATTTATTATTATTTTTAATAAAACAATATATTAATAGAAATGTATTATTTAATACATTATTTATCTATTTTAAATATATTCTATTTTTAATACTGTAATTATTTATTTATTAACTTTTTAATGTATTATAATCTAATAATTTTAATTATTTTATAAAAATACAAAATCTTGTTTTCGTTTTTTATGTTTGAAGTAAATATCAATAAATTGATTAAAAATTAATTAACTTAATAAATATAAATGTTAATGTTTATCAATAATCAATATTTAATAAATTAGTAATTGATTTTAAAATATTACATTTAATATACTTTCAGAGGTTATCGTTTTCTATGTTTTAGCAATTGTATAATATGTTAATTTGTATAAAAAATATTGATTTTTTAGGTTATTGAAATCAGTTACACTTGGATTTATTTGAAGGATAATTCAATAGAAATTATGTTATAAATATGAAATAAAACCACAATTACTTTACTGTATTTTGTAATCAAACCTCTAATTAAATTGAATGATTCATTCAATATAAATGGTATTTAATATATTCAATAATGAAATAAATAAAAATATTTAATATACTGTATACTGTATAGTAAACTATGATTATATATGTTATAAAACAAGGTCACATATAATACATTGATATATTTTAAAAAATAATTAATAATATAATACAATATTAATTAATAAAAAAACTAAACAACAAAATCATTGTATCTAATTATACATAGAAATTAATCAACTATTTTCATATTTTATTATAAATACTTATATTTATATATCATTTATATAACTCGTTTATACTGTATTTCTAACTTTTTCTAAAAAAAAGATTCAGTGTTAGACAGAAAATAATTTTTATTTTATTTTTTGACAAAAATTTATTTTAAAACTATTAATAACTTTTTTAAAGCGCAAGTGCTAAACATATATAAACTTGACATTAAGTTTTAGCATATTTTTGTTTAGCATTTTTTTGAGAAAACAAATCTATTATTAAAATAAATGCTAATTAAATGTTGAGTTTTTTAAATTAATTTTTGTAAAATAATAAATTATACAATGCTTTATGTAAATTTGTTACACTCAAAGAAAATTAATTTTTTAGTTTCTTTATTATTACTATCATTTAAATTAATTAACTGTAAAACATTATTCACTGTTAATAATTATTATTACACTCTCAATACTATTGATAGTTTATGTTTAAACAAATTGTTGGAAACAAATGATTTGATTTTATGTGAAAAACAATTCATACAAAATATTAAGGAAATACTGAATGAATATTCACAAGAATCTCGTAATAACAGTGTGTTTTGCACCGGTATGTTGTGTGCCATACAACGGGCACAACAGTGTGACATGAATATAGTGCTGTCAATGACTGGTGACCAGGGATGCGATGCCTATACATTGCAACAGATTATCATCAAAAAGTATGAAATCTTTTTGAATAAACTATACGAAAATAATTGTAAACCATTTAAAAGTCGCAAAAACAATGATAAACTTAAATGCAATGAAAATGTTAAAATTGTAATAAAAGATATTTATATATTTTGTCTAATATTGTTATTTATTTTATTTATAATTTTCTATTTAATTATAGCATTATAATATAATTATAAAAATTAATTATTTTTTATAAATATAAGTTTATATAATTTACATAAACAATAAAATACATTTAAAATTTTATTTAAATACAAAATATATTTGAACTAATATTTTGTCAATTACCTATTGAAGGAAAAAATATAATATTTTCAAACTAGCACAAAAAAAATCAATAAACTCAACTTGTTCCTATTTTTCAATTGAATTCAGGATATCACACATACAGTAATGTTGTTAAATTTAATTACAATAAAATATGTTACATACAGTTCGTTACATTAGATTTTAAAAAAAATATTTTTATTGTTGTTTGTAAAACAAAAATTATAATATAATAATTAACATTACAATTATATAAAGTTTTTGATTGTAAAAAACAATGTCTTGTTTGGTATTTATGTTATTGAAGACATTTGCCGAAATACAGGCCCGTGTTTTTGATGCCCTTCTAAGCCCACTATACTCGATGACTCGTGTTAGTGGTCTGGGAGATTGGGGAGAACCTAGATTTTATAAAAACTATCAAATTGTATCAAGTATATTTCAGGAAATAGGTGAGATGATTACAGTTGGCACCCAAGTAGACAATAGGATGACTACAATCAAATTAGGAGAAAAACACAATCACATTGCAGGTAAAGTAGCCGTAGTCGCCGGTGCCGATGATACCCTCGGTAGAGAAACGGCTGTCGAGTTGGCCAAACTGGGATATAAAGTAAGTCATAATTTTGATTAAGTATATATTGATTTTTTTAAATAAAAATATGCTATAATATTATAATAATTATTTTGTTATAATAGGTAATCGTTGGAACCAATGATATTGACCTAACAGAGCGTTTTATAGCTAATGTCAAGAAAGGACACAATTATATCAGTATGAGTGTCCACAAACTGGATCTGAGTTCAATGCTGTCCGTCCGATTGTTTACCGATTATATCACTAAACGAGATCCAAAAATTGATTTGTTGGTTAACAGCGGTGACGTATTTAATGAGAAAAGGGTGATCACTGCCGACGGATTTGAAAAGACATTTGCCGTCAATTATCTGAGTGAGTCATAACAGTTTGAATTTATAATATATATATTAATAATTAAACAAACTATTTGCCCGACAGACCAATTTCTATTGACTCGACTACTTATGCCAAACCTATACAAGTCGTCCGACGCCCGAATAGTCAACGTTACATCAGTGGCCCATCATTTCGGTCAAATCAATCTACTGGACATCAATCAGGAGCTAATGTTTATATCGTTGACAGCCTATAACCAAAGCAAACTGGCACAGGTACTCATCACCAGAGAACTGGCACAACGACTACACGAAACCAATATCAAAGTGTATGCAATAAACCCGGGTGTCCTTCGCAAGCGTTATCGTACACCGACTATGTTTATTGTGGACGATATGCTAAACCGTATGTCAACCGCTTATTTAGGCGTACAATCCATTATACATTTGGCAGTGGAGGACAAGTATAAAAATGAGACTGGCCAATATTATAGGTATTAATTGAGTATAATTGTTTCGAGTGTGTGTGTGTGTGTGTGTGTGTTATTCAAATGATATGTTTATTATTTTATAACATTAATTTTGTTAAACTTTCAGCAACTCTGATAAACTGCAACATATGACTGATAAGGCAACCGACGGTGTTATGGCTGAGAAACTCTGGAATTTGAGCTGCGATTCGTTAAATCTTAACAAAGATATTGATCTGACCAGTGATAAGACCAATGATGATGAAGAAGGTGGCGATGATCTGAAAGAACTGTCTAAAGAGATAAAGACCGAAGATTCACGTATAATGCCGTCCATCGAGTCTAATGTTGATCATAATACTGAACAAAATGAAACAAATAAACCAAGTGATGGTAATCAGAGCACTGGTAGTCCAACCGAAAGTGACAAAAGCACAAGTAGTTTACCAGAAAGTGATCAAAACACTGGTAGTTCAGCAGATATCGGACCGACTAAAAGTACAGAATTGTAATCCTTGTTATTAATAATCTAAATAACAGTAGAAACTTCACAATACTTGCTAATAATAATATTATTATTATTGATAATATAATTGAATTTATTAATAAATATCATTTTAACAACATTTTGTGACTTAATTTGATGAGATGTAATAACTTATGATATGATTACAAATAAATAATAAATAAAACATAAATACAATAATTTTGATATTAATTAATATCAAAATTGACTTAATTTGATTTTTTCGTATATTTCAATAAAAAATTAAATATATTTGTAAGTCTGGTAATGGTATTATCGTTTGAATCAATTGCTGTAATCTGTTTATATCTAATCCACGGATTATCCTTGTATTGGGCTAATCGCATATCAGTGAAAAATTCTGATTCATCTAAAACAGTGACCAACCGTTCCGGATAATTGGTTATAATGCCATCGATACCAGTCCTTGCAATTAAATATTATAATTTATTTTTTGGTTAGTATATTATGAATACAATAATTATTATATAAAAAATTAATCAATTTAGAAAATGATCTAGTTAAACTGAGTTAAGTTACCTGAGTGAATTTCGCAGTGAAAAATGTAAGTCAATAGTCCAGTGATAAACCTTTTTTACTAACGGCCTATCCTTTTGATCTCTGAGTCCGATAGCGGCCAACAATCGGTCAAATGGATTGACAAAACTTATACAGTTTGTAATGCCATCGCTTTGCCAAACGTTTTGTATGGTTTGACGTTTAAAAACTGATACTAATTAAGTAAAAAAATAGTTAATTTCAAAATATAATTAAAAATTGATTGATTTGTTAAATAACAAAAAAAAGTAAATTTAGTATTAAATAAAATGTTTTACCGATTGAATCGAGCGGTTCATTGCCACTGATATCCCAACCAATAAACTCATTCAAGTGATCCATACTATGTTTACTCATAGCACTGGTAAAGCCATCTATAAATGATTCATCGGTATAACGTTGTATACTTAGTACAACCTTGACCCGGGTGTCTGGCTGTTTGGTGCTACCATTCAACAGGTTTCTCAATAATAGTGTAAACATTTTGTTGCCGGCAGTCCTTTTGGCCTCTGAACTCAGTCCTTGTAGTTTGAGATCAAGTAATAATAGGACAAACCTTTCCCTATAGTTTTTACTCTCTATACAAATAATAGAAATAAGTTTAAATATTTTATTATTAATAAAATTATTTAATAAATTATTTATTTAAAAAAACTAAACTAAATCTTCATTATTGTTATTAAAATTGCTATTTATTAAAATTGCTTACTTGGTGTAGTTATATTGTGGACGTACTGTATAAACATATCAAATGATGACCATTTAGTGCAGTCCCGGAAGCAATCGCATGGAAAGCCATGAAATAAATAGACAGGTGTGCCGTCACTGAGAAACTGTACGTCCGACTCAATAGCATTGGCACCTCTGTCCAGGTATGTGTCTATTTGGCCAATCGAGTTGACCATATGTGCTATGTTATAGATGGGACGTTTTGATGATGATAATGGTGGTGATGGTGATGAATTAACATGATCATTTAATAAATATAATATTGTTATCACAAAAATTATAAAGTTTAGACACATTTAATATATTTTTTGATGATTTTTATGTTTTTGACGATAAATAAAGTAAAACTAATGAATGAATGAATGAATGAATGTAGTGGTGAAAGGGTTAAACAAAACGTGATTTTATAAAATAAAACTCTAATAATACTGCAAAACATGTAAAAGTTTGCAAACATTAAAATGTAAACTTTTTTTCGCTGCACTTCTACTGTATTTCATACCTACTCTCTTACCTTTAAAACATGACATTCAAAAATCTATTCATTATTTAGTTTAGCAAAAGTTATAATATTTTTGAAAACTAGTTTGAAAAGTGAGTATTTGAAAAAAACAAACAACAATTGAAACCATGTAATGTACAGTATATTGTAAAACAAATATTGTATTAACATTTTTGCTGATAAAACTCGTTCAACACATATGTTATAAAGTTTATAAACATAGCACTGTATTTGACAATAATATTATATTGATTAATAATATTAAATCTAATTAGTATACAGTAATAATATTAACTAATAATAATTTATATAAATATTAATATTATACGTGAAATGACTGACAAGTTGAAGGGTTGAATAAAATTAAAAATTGATTGAATACCAAGGTTGTTTGAATGATATAATTTAAATTATATATATATATATATATATATATATATTTAGATTGTAAATTAAATGAAATAAACTTAATAATGTGTTTTTTAGAGTAATATTTTTTTGACTCTATTGTTTGAAAAGTAATTGAAATGTAAAATTAATGAGAAATTACTGGTGTATATCAGTTAATAAAAAGGAAGTTTTTATTATTATTTCTATAAAAAAAAAGTTTTTATGAGAGAATATCCTATTTTTTATTCATATCCCTGTTTAACATGTTTTTAATAAGAAATATCAAATAATAGTAATAAATAAATTAAATTTTAATCTTTTAGTATTTTTATTAATAAACTTTTTAAATAATATATCACATATTTCACAGTTTGTATATCACTAATCATAACAAATTATATTATTTGTATATAGAAATAATAATTTAGTATTTATGTGTTTCTTATGATAATTACAGTATGTTTAGAAAAAAATAGTTTCAAACAGGAAACAACAAATTTTGAAAAAGTGCTTAATTACTATATTTTATTATTAAATACTCTTTCTATTGAAAATTATTAAAGTAAATAACAAAGTTAAATTTATATTTATTTATTTATATATTATAATTTAAAAAATCATTCTAATAAACAATTATTAAATTGCATCAATTACATTAATAAATAACATCAATTAATCAATAAACTAAATGTTTATAAAAATCAATTTGAATATATCATAAAATAAAATTAATATTTACTTACATGCATGAATCAACTCTAAAAGTTTAGATAAAAGTTTTAACAATATTACAAAAATTTATTATAATAAAAAAAATAAATACATAGAATTCCATGGCAATATTTTATTGATTTAATGACAATTTGCTTTAATATATGTTAATATAGTGTTATAATAAAAAAATAACTCATTAATATTAAATACAGTACATAAAGTATATAGCTAATAAAAAATATTTTTTAAAATCTTAATATTATTTTTAATAATATTGGAAAACAATTATTACTTTTATAATGAATGATAATAATACAGTTAAAATACTAATATATACATTATGTGCTATTGGATGTGTTATACAAATAATTAAAATCAGTCAAATATATTTCAAATATGACACAAACACTGATATTCGTCTTGAAAAAGATGGTCCCATTTATCTGCCGGCGCTTACAATGTGTTCAACAAAATCGGCATTTATTAAACAGGATATTCTAGAAAAAATATGGCATAAATATGAGCTATTAATAAATACAACACACAATTCTACATTTAATTATTATATTGAAAATGAGTTAAACAAGTTAACTATAGAAAACCAATTTAAAAGCTTAATTAATATTAATAATTTAACTAAATCTGTCAATTGTTTTTCACTTAATACTCTTACTTCTAAATTAAGAAAAAATAATAGTAATTGTAGTTTAATATCTCCAATAAAGCTATCAATATCTGATGAATTGTTGTGTTTTACATTATTTTTACAACTAAATAATGAGCTTGATGAAAACTATCAAATTGACCAATCTCAATATTTAGCTGAACAAGGTGTGGCAGCCATGATAAATGTTAATTACATATTGAAACAAATGTATTTAATAATTCACAATAGAAAACAATTAATATATAATGTTTATCAATCGCCAGTTGTATCGATAGATAATAGTCGAGATAGTATTACAGTTGCCATACGTTATGAACGTATTGAATCAAAACTGCTACCGGTGCCCAATTGGTGTATAAATCATAGAGATTATGGTTATCTGAATCACGATGACTGTATTGCTAAATGTCAAACGCGCTTATCTATGGTCCAATTGAATAAAGTACCGGGTCAACTATTGAATTATAATGCAAGTTGTCAACACAAATTTTTACTGTACAAAGATATGCGCCTAAATGTTTACAATACGCGCAAAATTTACGACTATTGCTTAGACCGGTGCCCAAAATTACCCGACTGTACGAACCATTATTATAAAATTGATAAACAAGAAGTCCCTCAAATGTCGAGGAGAGGTATAAGTGTGGGTTTGATGTTACCATTGCATCCAACTATGATTTTCAAACAATCATTGAAATTAGAATTAACGGAATGGATATGTTTTATAGCCAGCACAGTTAGCTTGTGGTTTGGCATATCATTGGTAATGATTGGCGAGTATATTAATAAAGGTATTATATATGTAAAAAATTATACACAAAAAGTTAAAAATAAAAATATTCTGCAAATTATGGTTAAACAAAATGTAAATATTAAACAACAAACAAATTAAATTAAATATTTAATAAATCAATACAAATGAATAAATTAATTGATTTGAATCTATTTTAAATAAATTTATTGATAACAGTTTATTATTGATTTTTTTATTTCTACTATTAATATACATAAATATAATAAATATTTGTTTATTTAATAATAGTATTTTATTAATTTATAAAAGTAATTGTAAGATACTGTTTACTAATATATACTAATAATACTATTTATTTTATTACAAAGAAAACGCATTAAAATTATTTGATTTATTGTTTGTAATATTTGAATAATACTCTACATTAATAATACAAAAAACTTTATTAAGTTATTATTGATGAATATTTTTTCCAAAATATCAAAACAACAATATTTTATTGAATTATATTAAATAGTATAATATACTGTACTTTAGTAATATTGTAATCACTAGTACAGTATTTTTTATTAATATTAATCATTAATATTATCATATAACTGATTGAACATATTTATATATGATTCATATAATTATTAAACATTTATTGATATAATTATTATACTGATTATAATGTCTGATAATAATAATGAATAAAAAACTAATTATTAATTTGTTTGTATACCCATTATGTATAATTGGATGTCTATTGCAAATCATAGATATTAGTCAAATCTATTTCAATTATGACACTAACACTGATGTTAACATAGAAAACGATGACACTATTTATTTACCGGCACTTACAATGTGTTCAACAAAAACAGCTTTTATTAAGCAAACGACTATTGAAAAGTTAAAATCACAATATAATCAAACTGTCGGTGACTTCAATAATAATTTGAATTTATTTATTTCCAATGAGTTCAATAAGCTAACTGTCCATGAACAATTTGCTAATTTGATTGACTATGATAATCTAACTAACAATCTATTGTGTCTATATGTTAAAACAAACAAAAATAGCAAACTAATGGAAACAACTAGCAATTGTAGTATTATATCAAATTTAAAGTTATCACTTTCATACGATATGGCCTGTCTTACTTTGTTTAGCCAGATTAATGATCATCAACGTAATCTATTACAAATTGATTTGACCAGGGTCACATATATTACTGGAAAGATTGTTATCCTACAATTCAATTACAACTGGCCATTTCTATACCTATTTGTTCACCATGGTCAAGAATTACTTTATAATTATCAGCGAACATTGAGCGCACTGTTAGACATTCAATCGGGAACTCGAGCTCTGGCACTAACCTATGAGCGCATTATATTCAAACGTCTATCAATAAATGATCAATGTATTAATTATAATCAACTAGGTTACATTAATAATGAAGATTGTATTGTAAAATGCTATACAAATAAAACAATAGATAAGTTTGGTGTAGTGGCAGGTAGTCTACTAAACTATAATAATGTACCTGGACAATATAAATTTTTATCTACATTTAATCAGTCATACGCTGATAATGATAAATTAGATCATATTTATCAACAATGTCAATGTCGTTGTTCGAATCGACCAAATTGTACACAAGAATATTTTAGACTAAATAAAATTGAAGCCCCAAAAAATATGCTAACGAATGTTACCTGGATCAATTTACTATTGCCTATATACCCGGCTATTAATTTTGAGCAAAAACTTAAAATTGGTGTACAAGAATATCTATGTTTTCTAGCCAGCACAGTTAGCTTATGGTTTGGCCTATCGATTGTTATGATTGGTGATTATATAACTCGAACAATCAATGGATTTAAAGTTTTAGTACAATACTATAAAGATCAAAATGGTACTAGATACAATATTGCCAATCTAATGTTCTATAAAAACAACAAAGTTGACATTGTTGTCAATAATATTAATTGATTAAAAATTAAAATTATTATGTAAATGTTAAATTATAATTATTATTGTTTTGCAAATAAAATTATTGTTTTATTTATTTAATTTGAGTATTTTTACTTAAATTTTATTTTTAATGATGTATTAGTGAATTTATATATTATATTAAATGAATTTCAATATTTAATTTGCAAAATTAGAAAAATCACTTAAAATTAGTTATAATAATATTTACCAAAATTTATATATTGTGTATAAAATAATTTAGAGTAAATATAAAATATTTATTTTCTTAAATTAAAGTCAGAAAATCAATTTCTGTATTTGTTTTTTACTTTTCTTAAAGTTTATTATAAATTTTTTTTTGATTGATTAGATTTTTAGAAAATATTGTGATTCAAAAGTTTTATTATATAAAACAAGAAAGTATTTTTCTATTTAATTTCTATTTAATTTAATTCTAAATTTGTTACAAACTTATAAAATAGTTATAATTATGTTACTTAACAGCAAATTGATTGTCACAATTTTAATATACGATACAAATACTGATGTAATAATTAAAACTAAAGAATCCGTTTATATGACAGAAATTACATTATGTTCACCAAAAATTTCATTCCTAAAGCAAAACGTACTAGATACTATGCGTAATCAATATAAGCATGCTAAATTAGCTAATCAAACAAAGTTATCATTCTATGATTATACCAATCATATGTTAAACCATATGACTGTTACTCAACAATTTGATAGATTAGATCAAATCAACAATTTAACACAAAAAATCAAGTGTCGGCACTTTAACACTATTAATGTTAAATTTTCATAAACTAATAAAAATTGTAGCTTAATATCCGACATTAAAGTGTCCATGTCAAATGAATATCTATGTTTTACATTGTTTCAACAGTTAAACAATGAGCCTGACGTTGATTATCAAATTGATCCAGCTGCATATACGATAACAAGTGGCACTATGCTTACCATTACATTGAGACTTAATGTGAAGTTTTTGTTTGTTTTGATACATCACCGAAAAGAAACAATTTATAATTATTACCGAAAACCGGCGATTTTGGTTGACTATACATATGGTATGAAAAAAGTGGTTATCAATTATGAACGACTAGAATCACAATTGTTGTCATTGAATGGAAACTGTATTGACTATAATTCAATCGGTTATCTCAATCAAGAGGACTGTTTAGCCAAATGTCAAACAAGTGAAACAATTAGATACTTTGGTTCAATACGACGACAACTATTGAATTATGATTCACACTGTAATTATACAATTTTAGCTTATAATAAGCTCACGTATTCAGTTAACGAAACAAATATATATATATAGATATTGTGTCGATAAATGTCCGAAACTGTCTAACTGTACGCAACAATATTTTAAGTTTACTAAACAAGATGTCTATAGCAATGCATCAACAGATATGTGGATATCATTGATGTTACCAATGAATCCCTTATTAATATTTAAGCAAACATTGAAATTAGAATTGACTGAATTCCTATGTTTCATAGCCAGCACAGTTAGCTTATGGTTTGGCATATTATTGGTTATGGTTGGAGATTATATTACTAAAGGATTGGTTTATCTAATAAATTATAATCTAAATCTAAAGAGTAATAAAATTGTTAGCCGACAAATATTTCATATTAAATTCTATAAAACATAAAATAATCGATTTATTATAATATTATTATATTTAACATATTCATACATTTATTTATTATTTATTACAACATTTATTATAATGTATACAAAAAATCAATTAATTTCATTAGTAAATATAAATATAATATTTATAAAGTGATAAATAAATATTGAGTTATTAATATTATTAAATTTTGTTATTATTGTACTTATTATTACTTAGTTTTACTGTATTATAGCAAAATAAAAAGCAATATTATACTTTACTTTGATTAAAATCAATGACTATTGCTCTAGAAAAATGTGAACTAAAAAATAAAAAAAAACTATTAATTAAAAAAAATATAGATAAGTAGATAATCAATTTGAATAAAAAAATGAAATTAACAATATTTTTAGATTTTGTGATTTATATAATTTGTTTTATCTCATGTTTGCTACAAATTATCAAAATAAGTCAAATTTATTTCTTATACGAGACGACCACTGAAGTTGAGTATGACATTGAAAAAACTGTTTATTTACCGGCCGTTACTATATGTGGTCCCAAAAGTGGATTTATTAATAAGCAATATAGGGATCAATTACAACAACAATCCAACACATCTGATGCCATAGTTTTTAGTAATTATGTTTATAAACAAATGGAAAAAATGCCAGTAAATGAGCAAGCTAAATTATTGATGACACAAAATGAATTAAGTAAATCTATCAAATGTGATAAATTGAAAACTAAAAATATGTCAAAACTATTTGATGATAAAGATTGCAATAAAATATCACCTATTAAATATAGTATGAATTTTAATACAGTTTGCATAACATTGTTTACCCAATTGTATAATGAATCGGACGATAATTATCTTATTGATAGAAATTCCGATGGCTTTCTACAAGGATTTTTAGTTATACTATACTATAATTTGGATAATATTTGGTTATATCTTAATTTGCATAATAGACGCGATGTTAACTACAATCCCCATCAGCGCTCATATATTATAATCACTGACCGTAGAAATACTGTTGTTAACTATGAGAAAACAATTGTCAAACGTATGACATTTGGAGATTATGTTTGCAGAAACTATACTCAATTTGGTGGACACGTATCGCGTGAAGATTGCGTACGAAAATGTGAAAGTAAAATGTACATTGATCAATTTGATTCAATACCATATGAACATTTTGTCCAGGTCACTAATGTTAACAATAAAACATTTGAACAGTTATCGGGAGAAAATTATAGTATAATTTTACAACAATGTAATGATCAATGCGGTCAATGGCCCGATTGTGTGACCGAAATTACACGACTCAACAAAATTCAATTTGTAGACTATAAGCAAAATTATACACCTATTGTCATTAGCGCACCATTTGTACCGATTCTAACATTCACTCACAAACAAAAACTACATATTCAAGAGTTTCTCTGTTATATCGGCAGTACTATCGGTATGTGGTTCGGTGTGTCAGCCGTTATGGCCATTGATTTCTATGGATCAGTAATAAAGTTTGTTCAAAATGTTAACATGGTCAATTGTTTGCAAATTATTACAATTAATAAATTTAAAACTAATGTTGTTGTGCCAATTGATAATTAGTAATTTAATGTATAATTAAATTATTAACAGTATAACGATAATAATCTTATTTAGATAATTAGCTATAAGTTTATAAATAGATTAAAGTTATATATAATGTACTAATTTTTATTTTAATCTGTTTTATTTTGCAATAATTTCAATTAATTTAATATACTTTAATTTATTTATATATTATCTTATATATTTCTATAATCATAGTTTTAAATACATATTATTACATATCTATTATGAAATATTGTTATTTCCTAATAGTAAAGACATCAGTATATAATTCTGGGAATTTTATAATAAGATTAAATAATGTAAAAACAAATTTATATTATGTCAATAGTAGTTAAAAAATAAAAAATAGATCACTTATTAATATTTATAAATATTGTTTGTTAGTAGTTATATTGTTATTTATAAATTATTGCTTTTACTAATTTTGTCATTGAGAAACGTTTTTAAAATTATTTTTTATTTACAATAATTTTTTATAAACACTTAAATATTGTATACAATATGTAATTATAATACAATTAATATTATCAAAAAACAAATACTTAATTAATTTATGGGAATAATTACATTTGTTACCAGGCTTAATTTGAAATAAAATTTTTGTAGATTAGATAATTACTACTTTTAATTTTCTATAAATACAGTGTAATTTACAAAAAAAAATATATTTAGTAAATCATATTTATAAAATTAAATATAATTTATTGAATTTTATAATAACAATGAAGTACATAATCTGTAGTATTGTATTGTCAATATATGCCATCTATTTGTGCCAATCGGCCAAAGTATTGTTGACTCACAGGCCATACCTAAACAACTCCAACACCCAAATCAATTGTACGGCACAATTGGACCGACGGTCAGAATGGTTCGCAAGTTTAGAGGTCAATAAAGACGGACATATTTTCTACAATTATGACAACAATACAAAATCTAGTAATATTTTATTTAAACAAATAACTTTCCCTTAATTTGTTGAAAATGAATTGAACTAATTATTTTTTATTGATATCTATAGATCCGGTTGTAAATCAAGTCTACGGTATTGATAGACAAGCGGTACAAACGTACGGATTTGCTCCAGGTGTGTTTGTTATTAATAGATTAAACAAAACCAGCTCCGGTAGATATACATGTATAGTCAAGTATAACCGTGGTGCAAAATCGGCATACAATGCTACCGATATTGTAGTCAAAAGTACATAAATATATTTTAAAAATAATATAATTAAATATTGTACTTCAAAAACTAAATAAAATTTTGCAATTATTACAAAAATTGTTTATGTATTAAAGAAATTACTTTATCTTACAAATTAGTTAATAATTAACTAATCAAATGATATTACAAAATATTAAATTTTTAACAAATTATTATAAAAACTAATTATTTGTATATAAAAAATATAATGTATGTCACAAATTGTTACTATTAATCTAAATATACTATATATCATACAACACATGTAAATTTTTTATTTTTTAAATTGATAATTTGTTTTTTGGTTAACTGATTTCAAATAAATTATTATAATTAGTACTGCTATAAATTTTACATTGCATTAATAAAATAAGTAATATACTGATTTTCTTTTTATATAAAAAAGTATATTGCACCTGGTTGTTTTATATAATATAATGTACTATAATTTAAATAAAAATTAAAAGAACAATATAAAAATAAATAATGTTTATAAAACTTTATTTAGAATTAGAAAACATGTCATTAAATTGGGTGAACAAATATATGAAAAATAGCGGTAAGTTTTCTATAAATTAAGTTGAATTTAAAATAAATTGCAAAAAAAGTTTTGTAAAGTTAAATTATTACAATTTTATAAAATTAAATTATTATAATTGAATAAAGTACATTTATAATTCATAATAATGTTTACTAAAATTTTTGCTATAGTTATTGGTAATCAAAATTTGTTTATAATTAACAGAATATTAAATTACTTAAATTAAATAATTTATTTTAAATATTATTTTTTTATAGCAAGTAGTCTAGCAATGGCTGCATCATCAGGTAACTTATATTATTTATTGTTATCAGGATAATTATTTTAAAAATTTATTTAACTAACAATAATATAACTAATTGCTTGAAATTAGATGGTCTGCAAAATATGCTAATCTATGCAACTATTGATCAGTGCGACGGTAAGGATGCAAATAATTTTACCTGGATACAACAATACACCCAGGACCAATTGTGTACCGACCAGAGCACTGTACTCACACCTATAGACGGCGATACTATTACAGCCAGTAATACCAATCAACGAATAGTTAATAGTGTGAAAACTTTAGCTCAATCTATATATCCTCAGGGAGGTATTGATAAAAAAAATCAATTGTTTTTTATTATTAAGAAAAAATAATAATTTGTAAGTTAAAATTATTGATATTTTTTACAACAAAAAATCCAGCTTATAGACAACAAGAGATAATGTACCAGGCAACTCGGGGACAGGGATCATTGGAGGGTAAATATGTGTACATAAAAGCTGTATGGCTGGTGGATGCTTACCTCAAAAAATGTAGTTCAGTGTTGGGCTATTCCTATGTAACAACTAAGGCACTAACTTTGCTTATTAGCGATAAACTAGATCTCAATGTATTTTTATCGCCCAGTGGTGCCTACGATGCCTTCAAAAGACAGTGCACTACAGTGTGTAAGGGACGCGGATATATATTTTGAGTTATAGTAAAAATTAAGTTTTTAATATAATAAATATAATCTCTTTTAAATTATTACATATGATAATATATATTATACTTGTTTAATTATTTATTTATTATTTATTAATGCTAATTTTGATATTTTTATTTAATAAATTTAATTTTAGCATATTTAGATATATTTTATTTTAAATTAAAATAAGGTGTGATATAATTAAATAAAATACATTTAAAAAATAACATTATTAATAATAAATTTACTATTAATATAAATTTACTGATATATAATTGATTAAAAAATTTAGTGACATTTTATTAATCGTAATATTTTATATTATAAATTAAACCTTGTTAATATACTGTACATTTATATATAAATTAATATATTTATTTATCAATATTATTCACTTATTTAATTTTATTGAAAATAAATATTTAAACAAAATGATTTCAGTGACCAAAATGACAATTGATATTATAGATAGAAAGCATGAAATATCAATTATAGCAATCAATTGATGAACTTTTAGTGATTTTTTATTAATAGGGCGTAACTTTATTTTTGTAAAATATGTTTTTCTCTTAAAATGTTCAAATTTATGATCAACTTTTCTGAACCAATGAACCAATAGTCCAGCGCTTCTAATATTTTGAAATCTAAAACAAAAAATATTTTTACAATTATTTTATATTTGATTAAAATAAAATAGTTTACATTAATTCAATTTGATCTTTATATTGAAACTTTTTCTGCATAATCATACTATAATAGTCCATAGATATAGTGGACTCATCATTATGTGGCGGCAAATAGTATTTAATGATTTGATTATACTTTAAATAAACACGTATTATATTTCGTGCCATAATTACTACGTATTTATGGTCAGTTTGATTCAATATTTTAAGTTGATATGGATTCCAATCGATAAATTGAATTGACCTACCTAAATTATTATACATTATCGATTTTTTGTCCTTAAATTACAATTAGAAAAATTTAATTTAAACAAAAAAATTAACATTTTGTATATTATTACTTTTTTAAAATATAAAATTAAAATTATAACTTAAATATTACCTTAAATAATATTGTATACGGTATATAATTGTAGGACAGGGTAACAATTTCATTATTACTAATGGCTTCAATGAGTGCATTAACAGTTTCAATTTTATTTGCATGTGACAATGACATTATTGAGTGTAATGTACCGCTAAATGATGATGATAATACAACACACACAAATGACCATGTATATAATATTAGTTTAGCTTGGCCAGTTAGCTTAAAATGCTTTTCAATTGGCTGCTTGACTAGCATACAAACTGGTGTCCAATTAAGTGATTTACAATATAAATGTTTATTTTGAATTTGATACGACATCCATAAACATAGCATAACACTGGATACGGCAGCGATCAGGTATATCCATATAAACGAGTCGAACGGTTCGAATAGACTGGCAAAGTGATCGATTTTGGGAACGGGAGCCGTGAATGAAATGGCGTCTATTATATGTGGATAAGCGTAATCAATGACTTGTTGTCGTTCAGATGTAAATGATATGCCACCGATTCCGAAGTTTGCCCTCTATTTCCAGTATAAAACAAAATTGTAAAATCAATTTATATAACTTATTATATAATAATAATTTAAAAATATAACATTAATTACTTTATATAAAACTTCACCAATAATGCCATCCCAGGAGCCATTGGGTTGAGGCTCACCAAACATGTCATTCGTATCAATCAATTTATAAGTACAGTTCCATAGCTTAGCTATTATCTCAATAACCTCTATTTCAACACCACTGTATGGCTTATCCATGAAAACATATGGCCAGGCCTATTAAGTATTAAGTATTAATTATTAATATAATATTTATTTTTTTGTGATAACATCGTAAAAATATTGAATTAATTTGTATTTTTATAGATATATTACCAAGGTAGTGGCAACCCTAATTTCACTGCCTTTTAGGTCAATCATTATTTAATTAATTAATAAATATACAAATATTTAATTTTTGTATTATTGATTCAAATTTTTTATTTAACCCATAATTTATGATTGCTTGTGAAATATACTGTCAATACTTTATTAATATTAAAAACTAGTTATTGACTATATTTTTAAATATATTATTATAATGCATAATAATACTTAACTATTAAATTTTATTTATACTAATATTTATAATCACAATATTATTATTTTTATGGAATAGTTATTTTTTTCATTATAACTTTATTGATTTAAAGAAAAATACATAAACCGGATTTATTTTGTAATAATGTTAGTATATTGTAAAAAAATAATAAATATTTAATGTTTTCAATTTACTAACATTTACATTTCATACACATTAAATGAAAAATTTTATATACAAAACATATACTGTATTTACAATACTATTGTTTAATATATTTATTATTTATAAATTTAAATAAAAAATAAAATATTCAAATATAAAGTTTATAAGTGATAATACTGTTCCCATAATAAGCATAATGAATAATGTTTTAATTTTATATAATCTTAATTCTTCATAAAAATATTGATTTTGGTAAACCAACTGTTTATTGTTATTCATATAATTTAATCCAATTTTTAAATATTGTTTTTGTATCCAATGTTTAATTAGACCAGAATCTTGCATATGTTTTAAGCTAAATACATAAATTTTTTTAGATAAATATAATTTTTTAATTAGTAATTAAGAAAATTAATTTACATTTTATCTAGATGAATTTTTAATTGACAATTATTTTTTTGTAAAGCTATAGATATATAATTAATAGTCAAACTTGATTCATCAAAATACTCTGACATATAATGTGTTTGAACGCGATATTTGTGTAGAAAATATTGTAGACTCAGTCGGTTCCTAATGAATGCCGTATTTGTTCCCATTTGTATTGCATTTTTCATTGGTATATATCTATCTAATAATCTAACAAATTTACCTAAATTTTTATAGTATCCATTCTTTATTGAAAATATAAAGTTGATTGAGTATTGATTAAATATTGAATGACAATCTAACCTTAACAATATCATTATAAGGATAGACATCGTAAGCATAGACTGTAATCCTTGACTGTTTGGCCTCCCGTTCCAAATCATACAGTGTTTCTATACGATACTCGAATGGCACCGAAATAATTGAAAATATTTTGCTACTATAGAATGCCATTATATTGAATGTAAAAAATTGCCATGCATATAATAAAATTAACATGCTCATTTGTGAAACCGATATTCGATAAAATTTGTTATCGAATATTCTAAACAAACTGTGACCATGGTTAGTTTTATTATATTTAATTAGTAGCATAAATAAAACTGTAGTAAATGTCAAACATATCCATATGAAAGTGTCGAACGGTTCGAATAGAGTAATATGGGTTCGAATTTGTGGTAATGGAGACGTAAAGGTTACCGAATCAATGTGATGAGGGTATGTAAAGTCAATGACATTTGACCTTTCATTGTTGTATACTAAAGGCAGTGCCATGTTCACTTTCTATAAATATCAAATGTGTATTTTAAATGTACATATATAACAAAG